GATTAATCACTGTTATCTTGCACAGTGGATGTGTCAAAAGTAAGTGTTTATATGTCTAGGTTTACTAAAGTTGGTTGGTTGGTTGGTTTGTTGTTTTACGCCGCACTCAGCAATATTCCAGTTATATGACGGCGGTCTGTAAATAATCGAGTCTGGACCAGACAATCCAGTGATTAACACCATGAGCATCGATCCACGCAATTGGGATAGATGACATGTTTCAACCAGACAATCCAGTGATTGACATCATGAGCATACCTCTACATCATTGAGTGAGTGAGTGAGTATGGTTTTACGCCGCTTTTAGCAATATTCCAGCAATATCACGGCGGGGGACACCAGAAATGGGCTTCACACATTGTACCCATGTCGGGAATCGAACCCGGGTCTTCGGCGTGACGAGCGAACGCTTTAACCACTAGGCTACCCGACCGCCCCTCCACATCATTGATATACAATGACATGCATCAACCAAGTCAGCGAGCCTGACCGCCCGATCCCGCAGAGACACAAGATTGATGAGGATGTTTCATGTTTCAGTGATGCCATCATCGTGACCCTCATCAACTGCGGCACCAGCGTGTTCGCCGGCTTCGTCATCTTCTCCGTGCTCGGCTTCATGGCGCACACCACCCACCAGGACGTGCAGGATGTTGCCGTGGATGGTAGGTCGTCACTGCTGCAGCAGCTGGGAGTAGATGGAGAGAAGCACAAGAAAACTGCATTTTCTTTGTCAACATTTTTGTCGTCCTTTATTAGTTGGTTGGTTTGTTGTTTAACGCCGTACTCAGCAATATTCCAGCTATTTGACGGCGGTCTGTAAGTAATCGGCTTCATGGCACACACCACCAACCAGGATTTGCAGGATGTTGCCGTGGATGGTAGGTCGTCACTGCTGCAGCAGCTGGGAGTAGATGGAGAGAAGCACAAGAAAACTGCATTTTCTTTGTCAACATTTTTGTCGTCCTTTATTAGTTGGTTGGTTTGTTGTTTAACGCCGTACTCAGCAATATTCCAGCTATTTGACGGCGGTCTGTAAGTAATCGGCTTCATGGCACACACCACCAACCAGGATTTGCAGGATGTTGCCGTGGATGGTAGGTCGTCACTGCTGCAGCAGCTGGGAGTAGATGGAGAGAAGCACAAGAAAACTGCATTTTCTTTGTCAACATTTTTGTCGTCCTTTATTAGTTGGTTGGTTTGTTGTTTAACGCCGTACTCAGCAATATTCCAGCTATTTGACGGCGGTCTGTAAGTAATCGGCTTCATGGCACACACCACCAACCAGGATTTGCAGGATGTTGCCGTGGATGGTAGGTCGTCACTGCTGCAGCAGCTGGGAGTAGATGGAGAGAAGCACAAGAAAACTGCATTTTCTTTGTCAACATTTTTGTCGTCCTTTATTAGTTGGTTGGTTTGTTGTTTAACGCCGTACTCAGCAATATTCCAGCTATTTGACGGCGGTCTGTACATAAGTAATCGAGTCTGGACCAGACAATCCAGTGATTAACACCATGAGCATCGATCCACGCAATTGGGATCGATGATATGCATCAACCAAGTCAGCGAGCCTGACCACCCGATCCCGCTAGTCGCCTCTTACGACAAGCACAGGCGCCTTTAACGGCAAGCATGGGTTGCTTAAGACAGAGACCATATACCGGTATATGGTCTCTGCTTAAGACCTATTCTAACCCGGATCTTCACGGGTCTCCAGTTAAGATCAGGAAACCCACATTTCACTACATTTTCTCAAAATGAAAATAAAGACCATGAGTAATATGAAGGAGAGCCTACTCTTAACTAGCAAATTCGGTGAATCTATCCCTCGTGAATTAATGTTAAAATGGCCCTCCACGTCTCGGAAAGTAGTTCACACGGTACAGGCAATTCAAATTCCTCGTTGCACGTCGGTTATTCTCTTAATATACAAAACAAACGCAATTCACTCTCTATTGTAACATAAAAGTAGGTATGTTCCCTGATCTGATTGGTTAAAAAGTGTTGTCGAATGAGCATAACATCACTGATTTTTGGGGGGGTCTCATCACCGTGTATGTATACATTAATTAATGGAACTATTTTTGAAATCATCAACATGGAGGAACAGATGGAAAATTACCCTGACTTCCACATCGGAGATTTCGATGAAATATTGAGTGAATGGGACGACGAGACATTTTCTGAGATAATTCAAGAATTTGAAGGTAAATGAAAATTACCTTTTTCCATTAATTACACAATCATAATCATAACTGATGTAATTTTCTTGGGCTTGGCCAAAGGAAAAAACAAATCAAAATCAATTTTTAACAGTAAAAAAACATTTATTGCAAATCTATAATAGTTATGACTTCCATACACCCACTTAATTTTGTTATTATTATTACTCACAACAGCTTTTGAAGCTGTAAACCGTTCTGAGATGGCCCCTGAACTAGGAAATACAGCCAGCGTTTCCGTAGAGCCCAAAGTTCAAGCGTCCAGAGACCCTTCGCGTCCCTTGATGCAAAAGCAGTACAGGACATCGTGGATGGGAACCTCTCCAAATCTATTGGGCGTAATACCTCCTGGGGAGTTAAAATATGTCGACGTAAGCCATTGAAACATAAAAGAATACATAAACACATACCAAACATTCCTACGCAGATTCGATCAACATCAGCGAGAGTTACCTCCCTTACACCATTGCCATGATAGCAACCCATATAAAGCGTGACCAATGTGTCATCGCAAAAATTGGCAATAATATAACGAGATTGACCAAAATCTTAACGTAAATTAAATATTTCGTTTTGTAAGATTTGAGACATGTTATGCTGAATGGATATACGGAAATTTCATTTAAACACGACGCCGTAATATCAACAAATTACTCCCACTTACTGTCACATTTGTACCCTGAACAAGGCAATCTTTTCACTTCCAGAATGGCTTGGTTTCCGAGGTTTTGAACCCAAGTTCGAAGAGCTTCCTGCTATCAGCTGAATGAGAGACTGAGGTTCTTTTATGCCGAAGTCAGAAATGCTGAGGGAGATCTTTACTCAAAATCGAGTTTTGTTGGGTTGCGTGCTGCCATACACAGGCACATCAGGGGACCGCCATTTGAGCGCAGCATAAACATTATCCAAGACCGGGAATTTGACACTGCAAACAATGTTTTTTCTGTCCACGATAAAAAAACTTGACCAGATAACACATCATGCAGCTATCCCCGAGAATGATTTAAAACAAATTCGTGAAAGTTTGGATACGGAAACTCCTTCCGGCTTGCTTCGTAAAGTGTGGTTCGAGCTTACACTCGGTTTCGCTCGTCGTGTAAAGAAAACCAAAGGGAATTAACTGCATCTTCCTTTCGTGTATCCCCTGATGAACAGGGGTTCGAGTGTATTGAAATGACACACTCCGACTCAAATGGGCCCAACAAACGCATTTATGCAACATCGGACCAATTCTGTCCTGAACTTTCATTTAAAAAATACATGTTCCCCCCCCCCCCCCCCCCCCCCCCCCAAAGAGTTCATGCAGAATTTATATAATTGTTGCAATTGAACCTAATGACGAAAGTAAGATCTTTACAATATATAAATATATAAATTATGTAGAACACCGTTGAAGACGTATGTGCTCACACTATGTTACAAAATGTGTAAGCTGGCAAACATTAGATATAATTACATTAGATAATACAGTAAACTACGGTTATAACGAACTCAAAGGGACCACTAATTTAGTTCGTTATAACCGTAGTTCGTTTTTAGCGTATATACAGCATATATATACAGCAAATGTCCTGCACCAAAAAGAAAACAGTTCGTTATATCGTAATAAGGGTGTTCGTTACACTGTAATTAAATATGTTTTACTTTAATGAATAGCCTTTCTATAAGGGTTATTAACTTATTGACTTATTATAAACTTATTTCTTTAACAGGATGGAAAAGATAAGAATGTTGAAATATTTCTCACCTGCAAACAAAAGTTCTCCCTCCAGTAGAGGTCATGCAGAATGCATGTGGAGGGCAGGTGTGAAACGAAGTTTAAAGAAGACCAATGGCCAATCAGAAGACAGGTAGCATCTGACTGATGGAGTGAAAGTCGATATATAACAGTAATAACAGAAAATAAGAGGTGGTTGGTGTATCTAAAAATAGATCGGGGAAGTCCAGGTGTAGATGGGAAAGTCACAGAGGCTGTAAAGGGTATCCGAGTTACAACATATAATGCATAAAGCATGCAATGATGATGATGATGATGATGATGATGACGATGGTGATGAGATTCGTCTGTGGGATGCATTTAATAACATACGGCCTAGTGTTTTTAGGGTATCGACTCCATGACAAGCATTGTTATCTTAAGGAAAATAACAAAAGGAAAACACAGCATCGTTGTCGTCATACAAAACACGGGTTCTCACACTTAACGATCTATTCTCTTCTGAAAATCAGCTTCATCATGTCAGGAGTCTGAATCACCAAAATTCGCTATGAAGAGTTGCGCCCCTTTGCTGCCAGGATCCGCGCCAGTTGTTGGTACGAATCCTATATTTGCCCTGATTATGATCATTGGTCAGCCAGCATCATGCGAATAACCGTGCTTGTTGGGTTCATCAAATTGTAATTATAAACTGTAAGACATGCAGTACCCTTGCCTTTCCTCCCTCCGACACGCCGTGATATAACTGAAACACTGCTCAAGTCTTAAGTGGACTTACATGTCAGTTCGTTACATCTACACAGGCGAACGGTAACAGTACTGCATGATTTCAATCTATTGACAAAGTTACCTTAATCGTACAAACACAAGAAACAACCGCTTAATAAAAAATAAGTGAAAATTCTACTTGTATACACTCGTTTAATTCATACACAAAAAGTGAGAATAATTAGTTAAAAACAAAAAGTAAATAGTAAACGCGACGAATAGAGCTTTTACAAGATGTTGGCTTTAACAGTTTAACCACGTGTAAGGGAAGTAACTCTCATTTATTTACCGCGGGTCTGACGTCACAAAATTGTGGGGAATCCCCTACAAAGTTTGTCACCGTGTGTTCTTCCCCAAATCAGCTGCTGATGGTGGTGTATATTATTTTTACTTATATGACTGGCATGTGTGTTATTGCTTCGTTCTCTTGTTGCTGTTTACCAATACCACCAAACCATATCTATGATCATGTGACTTCCGCCGTAAAACGAAAGAGAAAGTAGAGGTGTCTCCCACACGACGCAGCTTAGCAAGAATGAGAACTGATTGACAGATGTGTCTCAGATTTGTTGATCAAAGGACAAAAGATACCAAATGAGAACTAATTTGGAATTGGTAAACTTCCTTCTTAGCTGTCCACGGTAGTAGACGGGGAGTACAAGAGCAAAGAGGAGGGGCCGATTGCAGTTTCACGTGAGAAGCCAGGCTAACGGGGAGCTCAGAGGCAGCCATTATGGAGAGAAAACTGCTTGTCGTCAAAGTGAGTTAATCTTTACGCACACCAGTATGCTGTCGCATATACCACATTTCTTATGGTAAAATAAAACTAAATATAATTAATAATTATTGTAACTTTTATATTTAGTTTAGTTTATAGGTTTAATTTATGAATTTCAAAATATTAATTGCTAACCTATTTTTTCCAATTTGGAAGAAGTCAACAAATATGTACACGAATGCACAGTACAATGAATAACAGTTATAGTAATGTTTTTTTAGAGTATGAAGTACACCTGTCAGCTATAACAATGATAAATTTTAAATGTGCTAAATGTCATGTTGAATCTTGCAATGCAGTTGATTAAGTGTTGGAAACATCTAAATGACCATGACGTTACTATGTACGGATGACTGTTAGCCAGAACTTGTGCTAATCTGGACGATTTCATTGGGAATGGAACCGTCCGGATTAAAGAGGTTTTCTATATTGCAAGTAAACCCCTGTTTACCCCACTCAACCCTCTGTCGGCCGATAGACGGACAACTTTTGAAAAACAACTCCATGTCACCATCATTCATTCTGAGCTGTATTAGGTGTTCAAAAGTCTGAACGAGTGATTTGGGTTTAATGTTGCATTGAACAGTATTTCAGTTATATCACAGGCTCTTGGTTAATGTGGGAGATAAATCGAAAGTGGCTAAAAGTGCTGCCGATAAACCTTGGCTAATGAGTATGAATCTGGGATTGAAACCCCAACTCAGTGAATCCTGGTGAGACCAAGGGACACAACTCTGTACAGCAAATTGTGGCACATCAGATGATCGGGCCACTGTAGCACACTGTTCAGAGGGGTATATGTAGCTTAAGGTGGGTGGTTGAGGGGGTGGGTGGTTGAGAGGGTGGGTGGTTGAGAGGGTAGGTGGTTGAGGGGGTAGGTGGTTGAGGAGGGTGGGTGGTTGAGAGGGTAGGTGGTTGAGGGGGTGGGTGGTTGAGAGGGTGGTTGGTTGAAGGGGTGGGTGGTTGAGGGGATGGTTGGTTGAGGGGGTTGGTGGTTGAGAGGGTGGTTGGTTGAGGGGGTGGGTGGTTGAGAGGGTGGGTGGTTGAGGGGTTTGGTGGTTGAGAGGGTGGGTGGTTGAGGGGGTGGGTGGTTGAGGGGGTAGGTGGTTGAGAGGGTGGTTGGTTGAGGGGGTGAGTGGTTCAGGGGGTGGGTGGTTGAGAGGGTGGGTTGTTGAGATACGACCGGGCAGTAACATATATCCCTTTAGAATTTTGAGTCAGTAGGTATTTAGTAGCATATATATTTTATTCTGCTTTCACTTTTTGTTCTAACCGCCATGTCAAAGCTATAAATAACAATGCTGTGTGAGAAGGTCTACTTTCACTTTCACAGTTTTGGATAAAAAGAAAATTCCATTTTTATGCTTAGCAGTATTTCATGATCAATTTTTTAGTATACTAGATGGATTCAGACTTACAATGATGCTTTGGGTCAAGGGGACCTGTCAGGACACCTATATTACATCTCTGATACAGAAATATGAAATGACAGGAAGTCCCGAGCCGACACAGATGGAGGGCCTAAACTTCACATAACACAGGCTTTTGTCCACTGTTTCAGTGTAACAGACAATAGCTGAAGCTGTCACTAGTCCAACACATGAGGATGTAGGATGTAGGATGTAGGTGCTGTAGGGAAGTAAATGAGCCATTCTCATTAAAATCAGATCTAAATTCACGCTGCCGCTAAACAAAGAACTGAGGACATCCCATTGCGGGTCACGTCAGAACGACCTTTCACGAACTTTGACCGACCAGTGAAACGACTAACAAGAAGTCGACATCAGCCAATTAGAAAGCAGCTTTCTCGAGCTTGACGGTACTCGTTTCAACCTGACGACTTCCCTTTTGACTATGCTTGAAAAATATGTTGACACAGTTCTGGATTAAAATTTGGAAAACTGAACAAACGGACATTCCCGAATGTCTAATATATGGTTGCGATTGTATGGCAGTGCTTCCCATGTACTGTGCAACGTCTCCTCCATTCAAATGTTCATCCCACGGGAGCGAGAGATAGACGATAATTTTGCCGGAATCAGTCGTACAGGCCGTAACTGTCGTTCGGAATACCCCGTTTTAACGTTTTAGAGATTGTATGATTTGAAAACACATTCCAACTGTCACTTTCATGATCTGGTAAGCGACGCTTTGATTGGTCAGCTGTAAGGTCATTCTGATGTGACCCGTAATGGGATGTCCTCAGATCTTTGTTTAGCGACACCCGTAGAGTGTGTTTGTCTTCTTCAGCCAGTGGATAAGCATAATATATTTCACTCCCTGAAACTTTAAAGGAATAATGTGTGAATTTTTTGCAGACTGAGACAAAGGGTTAACTTGGAGGGTTAACGTGGAGGGTTAGCTTGGCCAATCAGCTTGGGTTTGTTCAAGGCTTACATCAAAAAGCACATCTGACCTACATTTAATCTTCTAACCACTAATATGGCGTAAAAGTTCAACATAGAATAACAGACACAAAAATGCAGACTCTGAAGAATAATAAATAAATATCTATCTCAGTAATTTCTCCATGTAGTGTATTTTCCATAATGAGCGCTCTGGGTGTTAAGAAAATTGACAAAAGGGGTGATCATTAAGACCATACACAACCAGCTAATTTGTTTTAAAGAATTTCAGAGAACAAGCAGTAGGGAAAAACCTAGTTTAAAGATCAATGACACTGAAGAAATCTTTTTGGTAACAGAGTCAAACTTGGTTGTGTCAAACTTGAATGTGTTGATTTCCGGTTGTCTCGTATTTACCTTCCAGTCCCAGCAAATTTCTTCTATATTTATCCTCATATATACTCCGATCAGTTGAACTGGATGTGTGCAATTGCTGGTTGTCTCAAGCTCATTTAGGAATCCCAAGTATCCAAATTAAATCTTCGGATGTCTTGAAATGTTCAAAACAAAAAAATAATGTCCACGCACTCACAATCACACTTACATGCGGCCAAGGATCGAACCCCAGACCTTCTGCTCTCTGGGCGGGCACTCTACCACTAGACCATGGAGGGGGTTCTACCACTAGACCATGGAGGGGGGTCTACCACTAGACCACGGAGGGGGTTCTACCACTAGACCATGGAGGGGGGTCTACCACTAGACCATGGAGGGGGTTCTACCACTAGACCATGCAGGGGGGTCTACCACTAGACCATGGAGGGGGTTCTACCACTAGACCATGGAGGGGGGTCTACCACTAGACCACGGAGGGGGGTCTACCACTAGACCACGGAGGGGGGTCTACCACTAGACCACAGAGGGGGTCTACCACTAGACCAGGGAGGGGGGTCTACCACTAGACCACGGAGGGGTGTCTACCACTAGACCACGGAGGGGGGTCTACCACTAGACCAGGGAGGGGGGTCTACCACTAGACCATGCAGGGGGGTCTACCACCAGACCACGGAGGGGGGTCTACCACTAGACCATGGAGGGGGGTCTACCACTAGACCACGGAGGGGGTCTACAGTGATGTAGATATGCAGGGTAGAGATGGTAATACACATGTCATGTTCTCCACTCTTGACAGGACCTCCCGGACTGCTCCGAGGACACCATCACCAACTACCTTGAGGTCATCTGCGACAACGGAGTGGAAGACATTCACTTCTATGATGACAGGGCAAAACACATTGCCATGGTTACAATGGAGGAGGACCTGGAAGGTAGGGGAGTTGTGTCATATTGCTCCAAATTACTTGAGGTGTAACGATGCGGTAGGAACGTGATACAATACATATCCCGATACTATAGGTGCGATACGATTCATATCCCAATACAGCACTTATATTTCATAAGTTGATATTCTTTCTTTTTGCAGGTGAAACACAACTTGAAACATTTGTTTTTAAATTTCAGAGAGTGAAAATAGGATATTGTAGGACAGAAACATATAGATTGGAGGGGATCATGAGTGTTATGCTAATAACAATAACTGGGGTATACTAGAGAATCTGCGCAAGCTGGTTGTTGAACAGATTCTGTTGTTTATTATGGTTCTGTTCGGTTGAACAAAACCTTCCAAATGCATGCTGGTTTTCTTGGGGGAATTAGTCAGCAAAGAGCCGGACACACTTTTATTTACAAGAACAATTAACATTGGACAATTTACAGTATCTTAGAATATAGCTGAGGGTGCCACAGAGAGTTGGTACAACCCTCTGGGCTGTGGGAGAGAGATCTGCTTGGTTAGAGCGTCAAACCCCTTCTGCTTAACATTTTGCTTTTGTATGTATTTAACAAAACTTAGACCAATAAAAAGGAATATGATTGGTTGATACACAATGGGGTTAATGTATGGTTAGACACAAGGGGAATACTTAATTGGACTGGCACTAATCGTGTTGACATAGTTACTGGGTGCTTGTAAAGAGATTATGGTACATGTATCACTTATAGACGAGCTTGTATGGGGGCTAATCCTTCATGAGTCTAAATTGAAGTATTGGCTGAATGTCATTCTAATACAGGTGATGACAGATTTACTTAAATAAAATAGTTCAAGGTAATCTATAAGACTGTGTAGACATATCTTTTGTCTGAGAGATTGGATCTTGATACCTTAGGCTAGCATTTATCTAAAAGCTTCAAATCTAATAAACTATGTAGACATAACTTTTGTCTAATGGAATAGTATGTCTGTGAGATGGGTTCTCGTTACCTTAGACTAGCATCTATCAAAAAACTATAATTGAAACTACTGATATAATGTTTCCTTGATTAATATGTACTTCTCGCAAAACTATAATCATATGAAATTTTGTATAAATGTTACACCATGATAACTCATAAAAGCACTTGCTGTGGATCTAATTGTTATATGAAAACTTAGTATAATTGTTATATCATGATATTATTCACATGCTTTTCATACATGTAATGTATTGTATTGTATGTATTGTATACAGGGATTGTGAGCCTTGTATTGAATACAATACTGTATTGCTGTATCATGACACTACTACAAATTGCACTTGTGAAGATTCGGGGTAGAATGGGTCTTCGGCAACCCATGCTTGCCGTAAAAGGCGACTAACGGGATTGGGTGGTCAGGCTCGCTGACTTGGTTGATTCATATCAATGTATCCCAATAGTTTGGATCGATGCTCATGATGTCAATCACTGGTTTGTCTGATCCAGACTTGATAATTTACAAACCGCCTTCTTATGGCTGGAATATTGCTGAGTGCAGCGTTAAACAAAAAGAAACAAACAAACAAAACTACAAATTTCGCAGATTATGAGGCATTAAGAGCCTGTCCACTTCATGAGACCCTTGATTATATGAACATTGTTTTTGACACCTCTTTCCATAACCTACAATAGGAATTAGGGCTGGGGCGAGTCGTAATTTACCCATCCCCTATTACCCGACCCTGACCGGGTACCCACCACCCTATTACCCGACCCTGACCGGGTACCCACTGTAGGTCTCAAGAGATGTCCAATTGGGAACATTTTTAGCATAGCCCTGGCAAAACGTATTTAGATACATGTACTAAACAATCAGGTTATTCATACACTGAAGTTGAATTAAGTTATATCTTTATTCAACCACATGCAAAATCAGTCAGAGTCAGAAAGAAATGCGAACATTAGTAACTTGAAGTGTAACCATGGAGTTTCAATAATTTTTCTCATTAAACAATGTATCACGTGACCAACCACGGGTCCGGATAGTCCTGTGGGTACCGGGGTCTGACTAAGTACCCACACGACCCGGGTACCCGAGTTACCCGTCCCAGCCCTAATAGGAATTGTCATTTTAAAGATACTTCATGGTTATCAACCTTATACAACTAGTTTTGAGGATGTCTTTTGAGTTCTACAAGACTTTCTTATTGATAGATTTCTCCAGCTGTCAAAGAAAGGCCAAGAAGCGTTCTATTGAAGGTCAGCAAGTGAGCCTGGTCGAGGTGTCTCCAGCTAATGGCGTCCTGGTGAGGGATCTCCCCCCAGGCATCACCGAGGACACCCTCAGGTTCTACTTTGAAACCCCCAAGGCGGGAGGGGCTGATGATGCTGTTACTGACAGTATCATCTTCACAAATCTCCAAGTAGCAACTGTCTTGTTTAATGACACAAATGGTAAAAATCTTTTGTAGTTTATACTTTGTAAGAATTGAATGGTACCGATGAGTGTGTTACTTTCGTAATGAATGGATATTGTATTTTCCTGGGGAAAAAAACAAATGATAATCTACTGCAAAATGAGTCATTTAAAATAAACTGTCTTTAGTAATTTGACCTTATGGTGAAGCCAGGCCAATGTTTTTCTCTTATATTCTGGGTTTTTTTTAACCAAACTGGCTGGATGGAGCTGGGGAAAAAAGTATATGCTCAGGTCAATAAAAGATATTTGTATACATGTATGGGGCTAAATTGTTTAGAGGGATGAGGACAAAAACAAAAACCTTAAAAATGTGAAATATTTCCTGACCTATGGAGTGCCTACCATGTTTTTTGGTGAATACTGTGCACTTTAAAAAAATACAGATGTGAAAAGGAGGGTTACACACTATACATGCATACAAACGATCAATATTTGAGTGTTGTTGGCGTCATGTATACTTTTTAAATCTTCATTTTTTATTCTTATCATTTTTTTCTTAATCAAAGAAGAAGAAGATTGGTGGATGTGTAATAAAAGAAATAATAATATTAGTCTAGTCTGAACATGGACAAATGTACCGTAAAAATGCAGTACTGAAATTAGCACGTGTTTTCACCATTCGGACAGTAAGCTGTCACAGAAACATGTTTATGGAGGAATTGTGAACACAATAGTTAATGTCTAGCGACATGGGTGACCTAGTGATAGAAGTCCTGAGGTGAAACAATACACCTCTTTGATCCACCGTGATATGTGGTCTTCGATGCATGATCTGCCAGAACTATACACTGGGGTTCCATCCAGGTCGTACATGCCTATGACCTACATGACCTTGGGCTGTCAGACCCAAGGTCGTCACAGTGTTAACCCTGACTCTCATGCTCTGTTTCGTTGCAGTTGTACAACGTGTACTTAAGAAGGACTCACACAAACCACAGAAGAACAGTCCACCGGTTGAAATCACGCCTTACTATGAGGCGTTTCATAAGGACGTCCTTCAGTATCTTAGCAGTCTCCAGTCATCTCCAGCCTCATCTGGATACACTACTCCAGAAACTGGGAGTCCTGTGACTACACCAACATCTGAACAAGCCTGGAGCTCTGTGATTTCACCTGAAGCCTTTTCCAATCCTGTGAGTTCACAGGAAGATGCTGGGAGTTTACAGGAAGATGGCCTCAGATCACCTGAACCTGTTGGACCATGGATGAGTTTACTAGGACCTGCAGCAGAACCTGCTCCTCATCCTCCACACACAGATCTCAAACATATTATGGAGAGTGTGTTACCAGTTCCACCCACATTGCAGTCATCGGATAACCTGACTTCACTGACTGGTGCTCCACATCAAAGTGAACCCCAACTGGCCGCTTCACATCTTTACCATGGGGAAAGAATGAAGAGTCTTGAAGATGTTGACGAAGATGACTTGTTTTCTGTCTTCAATCGAGAAGTTATAGCTTCTGTTCATGAGCCTGCCAGATGTTATGAAGCAGCTCTCACAAGTGCTGCCCCTCCAGAGAAGCCCCCCAAACCAAAGACCAAACCAAAAGTCAAGCCCAAACCTTGGCAACATGCTGCTGTTCCTGAGGAAACAATTAAAATATCTGTTGACTTTCCTGTGGCCCATGTAAAGCTCCTAAAAGTTTCAGGTGTGGAAAATGAGTTTCCCATGTGTACAATTACCTATAAAAATGGTTCCATCTTCATCGAAGGTCCTGAATCCAAACTACAGGAAGTGAAACTGAAGCTGTACGAGAAGAACCAAGACATCTGCGCTGCCACTCATACAGTTCCCCTGGTGATAGCTGACATCTTGAACTCCAAGAAAGGGAAGAGCTACCTGGACAATGAGTTGAAGGTGTCAGGGCCTTCACAGTGGTACGTCACGGGTACCACCATGCACTGTGTGGCTTTCTCGGCGTCGGAAACCAGCGCTATGATAGAGGATGTGAAGAAGCTGATTGTCCAAGAAACTGTGCAGTTTGATCAATCCCACCAGCACTACTTGAAGAGTCCAGATTGGAAAGCAAGGCATGACTCCTTTGAGGAACAATTGATGGTCAAGGTGACCTGCAATGCTGGCCAGAGGAGTCTGACCATTGATGGACTTAGTGAGGATGTGAAACTGGTCAAGGGGGAGTTGTGTGGGGAGCTGAAGAAGCATGCTCACTCTTCCGTGAACTACTCCCTCTCGGGGGCCAAGGCCAAATGTATCAAGAACTTCTACCAGAATGATCTTGCGGACATCAAGAAAAAGTTATGGTATGTTTGGGAATGGATATGATATGTGTGAAAGAATCTAACCCTGCAGGAGTATGTTGGTGAATTGGGGGCCAAAAAGCAATCTTAACAAAGCGTTTAGATTGAATTGATGCCCGAAGTGTTGTATTTGTTGTTTAGTGTTGTGTCTGTTGTTCAGTGTTGTGTTTGTTGTTAAATAAAGTTGGTTTGTTGTTGTGTCTGTTGTCCAGTGTGGTGTTTGTTGTTTAGTGTTGTGTCTGTTGTTCAGTGTTGTATTTGTTGTTTAAAGTTGGTTTGTTGTTGTGTCTGTTGTCCAGTGTGGTGTTTGTTGTTTAGTGTTGTGTTTGTTGTTCAGTGTTGTGTTTGTTGTCAATTGTTGTGTCTGTTGTTCAGTATTGTGTTTGTTGTCCCGTGTGGCGTTTATTGTTTAGTGTTGGTTTGTTTAGTGTTACGTTTGTTGTCCAGTATTGTGTTTGTTGTCCAGTGTGGTGTTTGTTGTTAAGTATTTGTTTGTTGAGTGTTACGTTTGTTGTCCAGTATTGTGTTTGTTGTCCAGTGTGGCGTTTGTTGTTTAGTGTTGGTTTGTTTAGTGTTAAATTTGTTGTTCAGTATTGTGTTTGTTGTCCAGTGTGGCGTTTGTTGTTTAGTGTTGGTTTGTTTAGTGTTACGTTTGTTGTTCAGTGTTGTGTTTTGTTGTCCAGTGTGGTGTTTGTTGTTTAGTGTTGTGTTTCTTGTTCAGTGTTGTGTTTGTTGTCAAGTGTTGTGTTGTTGTCCAGTAGTGTGTTTGTTGTCCAGTGTGGCGTTTGTTGTTTAGTGTTGGTTTGTTTAGTGTTACGTTTGTTGTTCAGTATTGTGTTTGTTGTCCAGTGTGGCGTTTGTTGTTTAGTGTTGGTTTGTTTAGTGTTACGTTTGTTGTTCAGTGTTGTGTTTTGTTGTCCAGTGTGGCGTTTGTTGTTTAGAGTCGGTTTGTTTAGTGTTACGTTTGTTGTTTAGTGTTGGTTTGTTTAGTGTTACGTTTGTTGTTCAGTGTTGTGTTTTGTTGTCCAGTGTGGCGTTTGTTGTTTAGAGTCGGTTTGTTTAGTGTTACTAAGGTTGTTTAGTGTTGTGTTTTGTTGTCCAGTGTGGTGTCTGTTTTTCAGTGACCAGGGAGGGAGAGTGGACGACTCAGGCAGTATGTCCAGCCTCACCCTGAAGATGGAGGGACCACCCAGGGAGGTGGATGACAAGCTGAAGAAGCTGAAACAACTGGAAGGCAAAGTGTGGCATGAACGACTACATCTGGGCAAGGACGTCGCCAAGGAGAAAGGTCAGCCTGAAACATTTTGAAAACTTCCACCATGAATATTGACAAAAGAGAAAGATGCATGCACATTACGAAGCAGCTTATTGATTGTTTATGTGTTTATCTGCAGGAATAAGGATTCAGCTGTACATTTCCATGAAGGACATGATTCCAATCTCATTAAAATCAGATCTAGGTTCTCACTGCCGCTAAACAAAGATCTGAGGACATCCCATTACGGGTCATTACGGCAGAACGACCTTTCGCGAACTTTGACCGACAACTGAAATGACTAACAAGAAGTTGACAGCAGCCAATTAGAAAGCAGCTTTCTCAAGCTTTACGGCACTCGTTTCAACCTGGCGACTTCCATTTCAGACTACGCTTGAAAAATATATTGACGCAGTTCTCGATTAAAATTTTGAAAATTGAACAAATTAACATTCTAGAATGTCTAATATATGGTTGCGATTATATGGCAGTGCTTCCCATGTACTGTGCAACGCCTCTTCTGTACAAAGAGATAGACGATAATTTTGACGGATTCAGTCGTACGGGCCATAACTGTCGTTCGGAATACCCTGTGTTAACGTTTTTGAGGTTGCATGATAAGAAAAGACATTCCGACTGTCACTTTCATGATCTGGTACGCGACGCTTTGATTGGTCGGATGAAAGGTCGTTCTGACTTATGAGGTTGGACATGACTCAGAAATGCTGGTGCCAAATTTTTGTGAAGTGAATCTTTTAACAACTGTCATGATATCTATCAGGAATATATGGCATTTCTTTTTCAGACTTGAACCTGTTGATTAGAGGGTTACATGGCATTGACCCAAAGGCCATGGTAGCTGCATTTGAGGCTCAGCATCCCTGTTTCCTGGAGCTCAACCTGCCTGGCAAGAAACCAGCATCTAACAGAAGCAGCATCATCCAGCAGGTGCCGGAAGCAGCCAGCAGCAGGTAGGAGACCCCACGTGAAGGACGAGGCTCCGTTGAGTTGGCAGTCCCATGTATGTCCGGCATCCGATGTGCGACGTCGGTCGCAAACATCGTCTTCTCTGAAACCACTGGACCAATGAAGCTGAAGTTTCACATATATGTTCCCACCAATCATGGCACCCCATTTTGTTGAAGAGGGACAAATCTGATGTCAAATATGGCCGTCACAGCAGCCACTTTGAAAAATATAGTTTTTTCTTTTCCTAGCACTTTTGCACAAAATGTCAGGAAATTTTAAAATGTGTAGTTAGAAGGCTTAACGTTGATATTCCGATTTGTGCGATATCTGGGAAACTTATTACCCACATTTCCCCGAGGCACTCAATGAGTGGGGGAAAACGTCGGAGAGTCTCATGGCTGAATGAACCTCAATGATTCACTCTGTAATCCAGCTAATAGGTTATGGAAACAATTATGTGAGTGAGTTGGGTTTAACGCCGCTTTTAACAGTATTCCAGTCATATCGCGGCGTGTCGGCTTAATGTGGGAGGAAAGCCCGTAGTGATGCATGTCTCTGACGTTTACCATTTCGGTGAAACCCACGAGCACGGGTATGGTGCTGACAAACCTAGAAACATAATGGAAACAATTAAGAATCAACGTGTTGACCAAGCATGAAAAGTTAGTTGGTTCATTGTAGATTAATCCTTGTTAATGAAGTATTACTTGAGTGTTTCTTGAAGGTTGTATACTAAATACATGTGCAATTGAAGTAATCATTGTTGCTTAAGAATAAAAATACAATAAGACCACAACTGAGTTTTCATTGAATTTTTTTTTTTTTTTAAAACAGAGTCAGAATTTCGAATAGACCGCTGTCTGAAAAAAACACTTGGGCCATAACAAAAAGATTTTAAAAGATGGTACACACACACCAAACACACATATGACAAAACATACACAGCTACAATGGTATTTGATATGCAGGAATTTTCTTTTCAGATATGAGAGCCATCTAAGACGGGTTGCATCTGTAGAAAACATTGATACTTCAGAAGGTAAACCGGAGGAGATAGATATCTTCGAAGGTCTCAGTCAGTTCACACGACGTGCCACACCCCCTCGTTCAACAGTTCAACAATCAAGTACCAAAACAGTTGGAAATATCAAGATATCTGTCAAAAAGGGTGACCTCACTAAGGAAAAGGTTAGCATTAAGGTGTTGGTCATTTGATTGTATGTCTTTGAGGCCTGGGCTATTTGTCAAAAAAAAGGTCCAGGAAATTCTGTAAAAAATGATTTGTCTTCAGGTTGGACAACAACACATAGGTCGCTGGACATGCTGATGTTGTGAAAAGTAGTGAGTTGTGGTGTCCCACAAAATTGTAAAAGTTTTTAGGCACTGACTGAACAAAAAATATTCTATAGCATAGAAACACTAATGTTTGTCATGATGCTGGAAATTCCATGATCATGATTGCTTTGGAATTCCAGGACATTGTAGGCACCTTGTTGGCTGTACTTGTAATAAAAGCAGACTAGTGGTGATCTGGTAGTTACAATGTCCGGCCTCCTTTGCTGTGCCCTGTTGCCCGTACATAGAATGCTGCTCATGCTATCAACCACTGGTTTGTCTGTTATAGACTTATTTTTATCCCCCTGTCTGTCTGTATTTCGTTTCCGGAGCAAAACTTGAAAACTGTGAAAGATTTTTCATCCAAACTTGGTACATGTATTAACCAGGGGCTGAATTGGTGCATTTGCTGTTGTGGGAGCCGGGGAATTTGTTATTTTCTGATGACTTTTGTTTTTTAGACCTCCATGATTTTTTTGTTAAGGATACAGACGAATTGATGAGTAGTCTTAAGCATGGACCCTAAATATTGCCTCTGTTGCGCACGCTACACCAACACAGGGGGGTGGGGGGTGGGAGTGGGTTGGGGGGAGGCGCAGGTGACCAGTCAAGCGCGGCGAGATCAACAGTGGTGGGCACAGTGGCCTCCAGTTCATCGTATTAAGTGTCCATGTCTTTAGTGATGCATTGTGTTGCACAGAGTTGTGTCCCTTACCCATGGCAGGATCTGAGTTAAGAATCTATTCAACATTAGTAGTAAGGAGACATGTATTATATGAGTCACAATATTTCTTTGAAATTATCGTTTTACTTCCACAATGTTTACCCTGGCGTCAAAAGTTGAAAGTGCAATTGAATTGATCTCGACTTTTTTAATATATTAAATTCATTTTAAATCATTCAGTGTAATAATGTTAATTATTTTGTTTCGTACAATTATGTTGGATCAGTGTGATGTCTTGGTGAATGTGGTTTCTAAGACCCTTAACCTCGGAGAAACAGCCGTCTCAACATCAATCATGAGGTCTGGAGGGCCAGAGTTTATACAGGTATGTAACCATGACCGCCCCATGTCAGGATGCACCACGGAGAGTTTTAGGAAAACATTGTGGGAATTCCAGGCCAGAATAGATCGTTAGTAATCCATGCTTGTCTCCCTGAGGAGATTCCAGGCCAGAATAGATCGTTAGTAATCCATGCTTGTCTCGCTGAGGGAATTCCAGGCCAGAATAGATCGTTAGTAATCCATGCTTGTCTCCCTGAGGAGATTCCAGGCCAGAATAGATCGTTAGTAATCCATGCTTGCCTCGCTGAGGAGATTCCAGGCCAGAATAGATCGTTAGTAATCCATGCTTGTCTCGCTTTGGAGATTCCATGCCAGAATAGATCTTTAGTAATCCATGCTTGTCTCCCTGAGGAGATTCCAGGCCAGAATAGATCGTTAGTAATCCATGCTTGTCTCCCTGAGGGAATTCCAGGCCAGAAGAAATCATTAGTATGTTAATAAATATTTATTAAGATATATATTATTATTGTTTTTTGCAGCAATTTGAGATGTCCAAGCTGAACTGGTCGGCTGGGGGCATCATACAAAACTCTACCTGTCGGAATCTGCCAGGGAAGAGGGTTTTCACCATTGTGTTGGACAAGTGGAATCCTCCTCAATCTAAGATGGTGAGACTGGGACGCACAGTTTGGTTCCTAAACACCTTACTTGTGCCAGGAGCCAAAATACATGGGCTCAATCTCATAATAATCACCGCTATGGCTAAACAAAGATCCCATTAGGGGGCACATCAAAACGACCTTTCATACGACCAATCAGAGCGTCGCTTACCAGATCATGAAAGCGACAGTCGGAATGTGATTTCTAACCATGCAACTTTAACACGGGGTATTCCGAACGATAGTTACAGTCTTAACGACTTAACCCATACAATCTAGACCATCTTATTAGCCATTCCAGAATGTTCTTTTGTTCAGGTTTCAAATTTTTTATCAAGAATTTGTCAACATATGTTTTGAAGCGTAGTCGCCTATTTGTAATCAGTGCTGTAAAGCACCAAAAAGCTACCTTCTGATTGGCTTCTTGTCAGTCATTCCACTGGTCTGTCAAAGTCCTGTAAAGGGGTGTGGTGAGAACGAAGATCAGATTTTAATGAGATTGTACATGGGGTGTTCTTCAGTGGGGAAGGTCACACCAAATCATCACTATATGATTCTCATACCCTTTCTACCAGACCAATGAAAATCCGGGGTAGAATAGGTCTTCAGCAACCCATGCTTGCCGTAAAAAAGGCGTCTATGCTTGTCGTAAGAGGCGACTAACGGAATCGGGTGGTCAGGCTCGATGACTTGGTTGATGCATGTCATCGTATCCCAATTGCGTGGATCAATGCTCATGATGTCAATCACTGGAATCATTAATCTGGTCCAGACTCAATTATTTACAGACTGCCGTCATATAGCTGGAATATTGCTGAGTGTGGCGTTGAACAACAAACCAAACCAAACCTTTCTACTTATCTACGGTCTTTTACCGTATGCCATTCTAAAGGTTCAGTGAATGAAATTATGTCTTAAACATTAATTACGTTTACAAAGACAGCTATAAGATAAAGAGATTATTCACATGCCAAAGGCTGACGTAATGTATTCCTGTTGTATGGTGTTGACGATGTGTAATCACACTTGGCTAATAATCTCTATTTGTACACCGTGGTTCTGTGTGACTTCTTGCAGGACTTTAAGAGTTTGATTGATTCATGTTTGAAGACGGCGGACGCGGCTTCTTACAAGTCCATTGCACTCGCTGCAGTGGGTTGTGGGAGACTGCTGAAGTACCCTGAGAAGTTTGTGGCAGCTGCCACTGTGGCAACCGTTACAGCCAACAGTTCATTGAAAAACTTGAAGGTGTGAAGTCATTGGTCATTGTTCATTTCAGAGTATGACAGTTAAGACTCTGTAGGAATTCCAGGATAGAAATGGTCCCCAGTAAGCTATGCTTAAGTCTTGGTCCCCAGTACCGATGCATGTCTCCCCATGGGGTTTCCAGGGTAGAATTGATCCCCAGTACCGATGCTTGTCTCCCTATGGGGTTTCCAGGATAGAATTGGTCCCCAGTACTGATGCTTGTCTCTCTATGGGGTTTCCAGGATAGAATTGATCCCCAGTACCGATGCTTGTCTCCCTATGGGGTTTCCAGGATAGAATTGATCCCCAGTCCCGATGCTTGTCTCCCTATGGGGTTTCCAGGATAGAATTGGTCCCCAGTACCCATGCTTGTCTCCCTATGGGGTTTCCAGGTTAGAATTGATCCCCAGTACCGATGCTTGTCTCCCTATGGGGTTTCCAGGATAGGATTGGTCCCCAGTACCGATGCTTGTCTCCCTATGGGGTTTCAAGGATAGAATTTGTCCCCAGTACCGATGCTTGTCTCCCTATGGGGTTTCCAGGATAGAAATGGTCCCCAGTACTGATGCTTGTCTCCCTATGGGGTTTCCAGGATAGAATTGATCCCCAGTACCGATGCTTGTCTCCCTATGGGGTTTCCAGGATAGAATTGGTCCCCAGTACCGATGCTTGTCTCTCTATGGGGTTTCCAGGATAGAATTGATCCCCAGTACCGCTGCTTGTCTCCCTATGGGGTTTCCAGGATAGAATTGGTCCCCAGTACTGATGCTTGTCTCTCTATGGGGTTTCCAGGATAGAATTGATCCCCAGTACTGATGCTTGTCTCCCTATGGGGTTTCCAGGATAGAATTGATCCCCAGTCCCGATGCTTGTCTCCCTATGGGGTTTCCAGGATAGAATTGGTCCCCAGTACCGATGCTTGTCTCCCTATGGGGTTTCCAGGTTAGAATTGATCCCCAGTACCGATGCTTGTCTCCCTATGGGGTTTCCAGGATAGGATTGGTCCCCAGTACCGATGCTTGTCTCCCTATGGGGTTTCAAGGATAGAATTTGTCCCCAGTACCGATGCTTGTCTCCCTATGTGGTTTCCAGGGTAGAATTGGTCTCCAGTACTGATGCTTGTCTCCCCAGTGGGTTTCTAGGATAGAATTGGTCCCCAGTACCGATGCTTGTCTCCCTATGGGGTTTCGAGGATAGAATTGGTCTCCAGTACCGATGCTTGTCTCCCTATGGGGTTTCCAGTGTAGAATAGGTCCCCAGTACTGATGCTTGTCTCCCTATGGGGTTTCCAGGGTAGAATTGGTCCCCAGTACCGATGCTTGTCTCCCTATGGGGTTTCCAGTGTAGAATTGGTCCCCAGCACTGATGCTTGTCTCCCTATGGGGTTTCCAGGGTAGAATTGGTCCTCAGAACCTTGTAGGAGTGGTGGTCAGGCTCGGTATTTTGGCAGATTGTTGCCATCATGTCCAGGTGGCAGGTATGCTGCTCATGTGTACAATCACTGGCTTGTCTGGTTCAGGCTGCACTATTTACAAACAGCATTCACATAGCTGGAATATATTTCTGACAATGGTGTTAAATGACATTCACAGACTCTGAAAGTTTCTTTGTACAATATAGATTCATACCCTTGCTTTGTGTACCTGTTTTCAATGTTGTCCCACTTTGCTGTAGTATGTCAACCTGATCCTGTATGACGCAAAGACCTACCAGACATTCCTGGATGAAATAAGCCCTCGACCTAGACACACTCTTGTTGGTAAGTGTAATCACAACGCTGTGTTATTTGTTACGCTGATAACTTCTCCATGATTACAGTCCTTGATTACCTTGGCTGAAGTCAGCTCGTGTCATATAGTTCTACTGTTTACATGGGGGGCACGGGTGGCCCAGTCGTCTAAGGCGCCGCGATTCGCTGTGTAGAGTTGCGTCCCTTGGGGACGCCAGAAACCTATGATTGTGGGTTCGAATCCCGGTTCGCCCCGATTATGTTTCTAGGTTTGTCAGCACCATACCCGTGCTCGTGGGTTTCACTGAAGTGGTAAACGTCTTAGACCTGCATCACTTCGGGCTTTCCTCCCACATTAAGCTGACACGCCGTGATATGACTGGAATACTGTTAAAAGCGGCGTTAAACATGTTAAACCCAACTCACTCACTCACTACTGTTTACATTGTCTATTTCTGCATAGGCAGATACAGAGGGGGGGTCCCCCCACCCCCACCCACCCTTGTGTTGGCACGGCTGAAACCTACGATGATGGGTTCAAATTCCAGTTTGCTCCAATAATGCTTTTTGGTTTGTCAGCACCATACCCTGCTTGTGGGTTTCTCCAGAGTGGTAATCTAAGACCTGCATCACTTCAGGCTTTCCTTGCTCGTTAAGCTGATACGCCGTGATATATCTGGAACACTGTGGAAGTGGCATAAAACCCAATTCTACCATGAATTTTAAATTTACTCGATTCTGATTGGTCAATCAGAGGCTATTAAATCACAATAAACCCCCTCTGATTGAAACAGCTGGTTAGACGGCCGCATCACCGCAGAAGCTTATATTCATAGGATAGTACTATTTTCAGTAATTGTCGGTAGGCATGTTTAAATAATTATATCTACAATTACAGGTTACAAAATGCACAGATGCGGTTACTACAATATTCAAAGGATGTGTGGCAATACATTTCATGCAGAAAACACGATAGAAATGTACAAAGGGAGTGTGTTTACGTTTTGGAGACAACAGAGAGCTTGGAATTTTGGCGCTTTTCTATACATGTATATCTTTTGCGTCACAATGAGCGATATGACGTCATAATGGTGACGTGCGATGTAGAGCGAAAGCTTTGCAAAGCTTGCTTTGTTTTCTTTAAGGATGCCCGCCTCATGTTAACTTACCAAGTTGCCGTGCTTATATGCTTTCAATGTCATATGTTCGAGTGAAGTATTACAGTGTAAACAAACTGTTTGAGTATATACAGCACCATATTTTGTTCGGTGATTCCAAAGAGTTCGCATTTTATTTAGTCATGGTAGAATGGAGATAAACATACTGTGTTTTCAATGTAGAGCTAGGTTACCGCTAAATTTAACATTTGAAACCTCACGCTGCGCGTTCGGTTCCAAATTCAATTGAGCGGGGTTAAATCTAAAGGTAACCTAGCTCTACATTGAAAACACAGAATGTTTATCTCCTAATTCACTCACACGTTATGAGATGAAGAGTTAAATCTGGTGAATTTTTTTGCAGATCATAGGCCACAGTATGAAGAACTCATGTATGTATTTTCATTGTTTAGTGTCTCCAAAATATACTTTTGATCTATTCCATAAGCTCTATATACACCTATTCAAGATGTAATGAGTCATAACTCCTCTTACGCTATCTCTGTGAGGAGCTCGGGGATGTCCATGTGCACACAAAGTGTAGTGTCACATCTTCCAGCTCATACAGCCATGCAGTCTTACAGGATGGTGTAGATGGAACATACATGTACTTCATTGTAAGAAAAAATCTACTCACTATATAGTTGATAACATTCAAGTCTCAGGCTCAAATAATCCTCTTCACGCCATAAGGGGCGGTGGGGTAACCTAGTGGTTAAAGCGTTCGCTTGTCACGCCAAGGGCCCAGGTTCGATTCCCCACATTGATACAATGTGTGAAGCCCATTTCTGGTGTCCCCCGCCGTGATGTTGCTGGAATATTGCTAAAAGCGGCGTAAAACCATACTCACTCACTCACTCACTCACTCACTCACTCACTCACTCACTCACTCACTCATTCACTAACTCACTCACTCACTCACTCACTCACTCACTCACTCACTCACTCACTCACTCACTCACTCACTCACCATGCCAGATATGGTGAGGCCTGGAGAAGCTTGTTTGAGTTGAAAGCTGTTGTCAGTAAATGGAATGATTTTAATCCAACAATTTTTCTTTGTTTATTAATCCAAGATGTAGATCTACTTTTATCAGCATATTTTAAAATAATATGTCATAAATAATATTTTCTAAGTACCATCTTACTTTCATAGTACAGTCATGCCCCCCTTATACGGACTTCAGATATCCGGAAACGTCGGTTCTCGGACGATTTTCATTCAAAACGAAATCATTACTATATAAATTTACCCGTATATGCGGATATTCAGTTTCCAGAACCGGATGGTCATTTTCATACACAAAACACTGAAATGCACACAAAATTGTCTCACTTACCCGGACAATACACTTCCGCTGGTGGTAATCCTTCCGCTGGTGGTAATCCTTTGGTTTGTGAAAAGTCAATTAACCAAGTGACACTGAGTTACGTTTGAGACGAGCTTGTTTATTGTACATGTAATCCCATTCGATAAATATTGCGATCTAAGCAATTTGGAATTATTGTTTAAAATTCAAACCTCAAAATGTGGTAAAGTTCAAACTTCAATGACCGATTTTTGGCGTGTATGTCTTGAATGAAGATTGAGTGGATGTATCTGTTTGCTCTGTCATCTGTCATGAGTTGCGTAATTAAAGGGAAGTAACTCTTCCAGTAAGAAGCTGGTTTCAGTTATACGGAAATTCGTTTATACGGACGAATGGTGAAATGACGCAAGTGTCCGTATAAACGAGGCACGACTGTACAAATATGTAGGACGCTATCTGATCCATGGCAGATTATCATATAATATCAACAATTGGCAATTTCTATAGTGCTATATGTTGTATAGATTCATGTATAGTGGCAGACTTTCAGTGATCAATTTTGTGATTTCTCTGGGTGATTTTGAACATTTCCCCATTGGAACGGAATCGTTGGTGCAGAGATTGCATATCGGTACTTTTCTTAAAACATTCCCCAAAGTTTCATCATAGAAAGACCTTCCGCAACATCCGTTCATTTGCCGGAGTTGATAAAATCCTGAATATTTTCCCCCCTCTCCCCCTTCATTCAACAACTGATTCGGCATTAGAACATTTCAAAACTGGTTTCTTCCTCTGCCGGCATGAATCCGCCATAAAAGAAAACATTCATTTTCTATTGTGTCCGGCTTCATTGATTTTGACTGATCGTTATGTCTATCGGTGAGACGTTAAACTTACATGACATCCTCACAGGCAAGGATTATTGACGTCATCTCAAGGATGACATCATATAACAATTGAACTGATTGTCCATTCACGGATAAGAAATCATTGCAAACATCACGTCATATTACAATGAGAATCTGCCACTGAGCTGAGAATACGCCAAGGATCTGATTTTCAGTAGGGACAGTAGCCCTGTGAAACGAAAAATAAAAAATTGTGTGACCTCTTCTAAATCTTTAAACAGTTAACAAAATTATTTTCTGTTCAGTTTGGACATAAAACTGCAGAATATGTATTCCTTGTAGGGAATCTATGCCGGTTGGAAAGTCGTTGGGAAAGTCGGTGACTGTTGGGGGCACGACGATCAGCATCCAACAGGGGGACATAACCAAAACCAGGGTAACGAGCTACACACTATGTGCTATTTTCAGTACTGAAACTGTCTGTAGAGATGATCGAGTGTTATATGTCATCCATGTGCTCAACTTATTTGGCTGCAAGTTTGTACATTTATACATTTTAGGGATGGGATGAGTCCAAATTTACTACCCGGGTACCCACCACCCTATTACCCGACCCTACCCGGGTACCCACTTTAGGTCCCAGGAGATGTCTCAAAATGTCTGATTGGGAACATTTTTAGCATAACCCTGGCAAAACGTATTTAGATACATGTATTAAACAATCTGGTCATTCACACACTAAAGTCGAATTTAGTTAAATCTTTATTCAACCATATGAAAAATCAGAAGGAATGGGTGCATTAGTGACACTGTGTAACCATAGAGTTCTGAATAATTTTTGTCATCAAACAATATATAACGTGACTATCCACGGGTCCGGGTAGTCCTGTGGGTACCCTGGAACTACTCAGTACCCACCCGACCCGGGTACCCGCGTTATACGTCCCAGCCCTAATACATTTTAATCATGTTCTTGATAATTCTTTTTACAGATATTGCTGTGTCCTGATCATGTTTCACTCAATCTCACTAAAATCATATGTCAGTTCTCGCTACTGCTAAACAAAGATCTGAGGACGCCAATTACATGACATGTCAGAACTAGGTCTGGGACGGCTAACTCGGGTACTTGGGTCGGGTGGGTACTGAGTAGCGTTTATGACAAAGATTCACTGAAACTCCATGGTTACACTACCAGTCACTAATGTTCGCATTTCTTTCTGACTATGCACGCATTCCTTCCTGGCGTTCATATGCTTTATTAAAGATAAGCTTCAACTGCAGTGTATGCATGACCAGATCCTTTTATATGTGTATCCCGTGTTATGGGTTTTCAGACGTTTATGAAAATTCGTAGTTTTCTCTCTAATCACATGAAAACTGTAAAACATCTCATTCACTTATAAAAGACAACTTTCTCTTAAAAACAAGCCATCATCTGGCTATTTGCATTGTCTGTGTGATGCTACCCCATCTGAAAACATATGATGTCCGTAAACCTCATGATTCGACGATATTATATAACTATCTGAATAGTTTTTGCCAGGCTCTGGTACATAATTCCCAATTGGACATTATATACCAACTTTCGAGCGCAACAGTGGGTACACGGTTAGGGTCAGGTAAAAGGGGGTTGGGTACCCGGATAGGGTCGGGTAATAGGGGGATGGGTACCCGGATAGGGTCGGGTAATAAGGGGGTTGGGTACCCGGATAGGGTCGGGTAATAGGGGGTTGGGTACCCGGATAGGGTCGGGTAATAAGGGGGATGGGTACCCGGATAGGGTCAGGTAATAGGGGGTTGGGTACCCGGATAGGGTCGGGTAATAGGGGGTTCGGTACCTGGTTAGGGTCGGGTAATAGGGGGTTGGGTACCTGGGTAGGGTCGGGTAATAGGGGGATGGGTACCCAGGTAGGGTCGGGTAATAGGGGGATGGGTACCCAGCTAGGGTCGGGTAATAGGGGGTTGGGTACCTGGTTAGGGTCGGGTAATAGGGGGTTGGGTACCTGGATAGGGTCGGGAAATAGGGGGTTGGGTACCCGTGTAGGGTCGGGTAATAGGGGGTTGGGTACCAAGCTAGGGTCGGGTAATAGGGGGTTAGGTACCTGGGTAGGGTCAGGTAATAGGGGGTTGGGTACCCGGATAGGGTCGGGTAATAAGGGGGTTGGGTACCCGGATAGGGTCGGGTAATAGGGGGTTGGGTACCCGGATAGGGTCGGGTAATAAGGGGGATGGGTACCCGGATAGGGTCGGGTAATAGCTGGGTTGGGTACCCAGCTAGGGTCGGGTAATAGGGGGTTGGGTACCCAGCTAGAGTCAGGTTATAGGGGGTTCGGTACCTGGTAAGGGTCGGGTAATAGGGGGTTGGGTACCTGGGTAGGGTCGGGTAATAGGGGGATGGGTACCCAGGTAGGGTCGGGTAATAGGGGGATGGGTACCCAGCTAGGGTCGGGTAATAGGGGGTTGGGTACCCGTGTAGGGTCGGGTAATAGGGGGTTGGGTACCTGGGTAGGGTCGGGTAATAGGGGGTTGGGTACCCGTGTAGGGTCGGGTAATAGGGGGTTGGGTACCTGGGTAGGGTAGGGTAATAGGGGGTTGGGTACCTGGGTAGGGTCGGGTAATAGGGGGTTGGGTACCCAGCTAGGGTCGGGTAATAGGGGGTTGGGTACCTGGGTAGGGTAGGGTAATAGGGGGTTGGGTACCTGGGTAGGGTCGGGTAATAGGGGGTTGGGTACCCAGCTAGGGTCGGGTAATAGGGGGTTGGGTACCCGTGTAGGGTCGGGTAATAGGGGGTTGGGTACCTAGGTAGCGTCGGATAATAGGGGTTTGGACACCTGGGTAGGGTCGGGTAATAGGGGTATGCGTACCCGTGTAGGGTCGGGTAATAGGGGGTTGGGTACCTGGGTAGGGTCGGGTAATAGGGGGTTGGGTACCCGTGTAGGGTCGGGTAATAGGGGGTTGGGTACCTGGGTAGTAAATTTAGTAAATCACAGACCCAGTCAGAACGACCTTCCGTCTGACCAATTGCTTACCAGATTGGGGAAGTGACAGTCGGAATGTCATTTCCAGTCTGTTTCTATATAGATATATTATATATGTTTGATTTAAAGTGATGCACTTCTATTTAAGGCAAATGTCCTGGTGAATTTGGTAACGGCTGACCTTGACCTTGGATCTACAGCAGTATCACAGGCCTTTGCGCGTGCCGGTGGACAATCACTTATTGATGTGTGTATATATAATCACTTTGAAGTCGTGTTTATTTATATATTAATTGTTTAGTGGCCAGTCATATCTGGGATCGGGAATTTCTGTATCGGTGTGCAGAGTTGCTTCCCTTAGCTGCCAAGATTCACTGGTCATAGGTTTGAATCCCGGTGGTGACCTGACTTTGATCTTTTGGTCCGTCAGCAAAATAAACATGCTCATGGATTTCACCAAGATGGTTGATGTGTACGACCTTCATCACATTCAGCTTCCTTCATGCATTCAATTGACACTTCAAGATTCATCTTCAATATTTTCAATTTGGTTTTATATCAGGAAGAGAATTTATGGATGTGAACTTCTTTATTATGAAGAACACAACGTTTTGGAGTAAAACTTACTCCTTTATCATGTCAATAGCACACAGGAGCAACATAAACCCTGAAACGTGTTCTTCATAATAAAGAAGTTCACATCCATAAATTCTCTTCCTTATGTGTATCACTCCTAAACGCCATTCAGTTGGTTTAATATCAAACTCAATATGGTAACAAAAACAAGAATTATGAAGGTACAGTTTTTTTTGTAAAAGGTCACTCTCTCTGAGTTGTTCAAATGTTTCATATTTCAGGAATTTGAGTCCCAGAAGGCCACTCCAGCAAGAAACAAGGTGATCGTGACTAGCAGCGGGAATCTGCCGTGTCAGTATGTGTATCACGTGGTCCTCGGCAAGTATCACGCCCACACTCAAAAGGTACTACAGCTTGACCAATCCACAGCTTGTTCCATCAACATTTGCGATGTTTGTTTGTGACTTTCTCTCAATCATTTGCTATTTGCTCTTGTCATCTCTGTTGGCATTGTTATTAGTATTTTTATGATCCAGCCTGTCCACCCTTTCATCTCTTTATCTGTTCTTCTCAAAACTAATGTTTTCACAAAAAGTGTCCCCTACTTGTTTCAGAGTAACGCTTTTTATTTTGAAGAATACAGCCTCCATGCCAACCTGTTCTCCTCATGTACCATTGAACAGATAATGTTTAAATAACTATACATGCATATCCAATTATTGAGTATTAAAAAAAATTACCGTATTCGACGTAATAAGCGCCCCGCTCTAATAAGCGCCTGCGGCGATATTTGCTAATATATTGGCAAGTGAACAATCCCAATTAGCACACCTTCCGATTGATCAATGTACACAAGACTTATTTAATCATGTATAATGCGCACTCGTGTGTTATATGCACCCTTTATTATGGGCAATTAAATTCTGGAAAAATAAATCTACATAAACATTTCAGGCTGTCAGCATAAACCTCGAATTTTATCTTTCAACTCTGTTTTTTTTTCACCAAAATAATATTCTAATAAGAGCCCCCTATTTCTAATTTTGAGAGCGCCCTAGGCGCTTATTACGTCGAATACGGTAACTATTTTGGCACATGCTCACCACTTTGAATGTTAAACCTGTGAATAAAGGTGAGCTTCTGTCCCTGTGGTACTCTGGTTATAAATAACATCAAGCACCTCACATCAGTGCAAGCTGTTTGTTATAACATAAATTCCATACAGAAAGATAGAATAAGGAGTGAGGGGACAGCCTTCATTGTAATACAATCAAACCAAGAAGGATCTGGTCTGAAAAAGGGTTACTGTATTCGACGTAATAATCGCCCCGCTCTCATAAGCGCCCACAGCGATATATACTAATGCATTGGCTAGTGAACAATCCCAATTAGCACCCCTTCCGATAGATATAATGTATACAAGACTTATTTATTGATGTATAAAATGTGTGTTATACTTAATCCTTAATTATAGAAATTAAATTCTGGAAAAATATATCTGTCGTAGTACGACAGTCGTACATATAAACATTTCAGGCTGACAGCATAAACCATGAAATTTTAGATCTTTCAACTCTGTTGTTTTTCACCAAATTAATATTCTAATAAGAGCCCCCTATTTCTAATTTTGAGAGCGCCCTAGGCGCTTATTACGTCGAATACGGTAACTATTTTGGCACATGCTCACCACTTTGAATGTTAAACCTGTGAATAAAGGTGAGCTTCTGTCCCTGTGGTACTCTGGTTATAAATAACATCAAGCACCTCACATCAGTGCAAGCTGTTTGTTATAACATAAATTCCATACAGAAAGATAGAATAAGGAGTGAGTGAGTGAGTGAGTATGGTTTTACTATTTTAACAATAATCCAGCAATATCATGGCAGGAGACACCAGAAATTGACTTTATGATAGAATAAGGAAATTTTTTTTTTGTTCAATCGTTTACTGACTGAACATGTTTTCAAACACATTTCAATTGATTTTATTGACCGAATACAATTTTACTGCCATCTGCCTGAAGCCCCTTGATCTTACTGCCTACTGAGTACTGCCCACTGAGTACTGCCCACTGAGTATTGCCTACTGAGTACTGCTCACTGAGTACTGCCTACTGAGTATTGCCTACTGAGTACTGCCTACTGAGTACTGCCCACTGAGTATTGCCTACTGAGTACTGCCTACTGAGTACTGCTCACTGAGTACTGCCTACTGCCTACTGAGTACTGCCCACACCCACAGGAACCTCTTGAAACCTCTAACATATGGTTGTTCTGCAGGAGTACGAGTCAGCTGTCCGGGACTGCTTCCAGTTGGCCAATGGCTACAATGTGCAGTCGATTGCTTTCTCGTCTCTTGGGTGTGGAGCCCTCCTGAAGTACCCTCCAGACTTCGTGGCCTCCTGTCTCATATCACAGGCCAAAAAGTCAACAGTGGCGGTAAGTGAGGTTGAAGCCATGAATTATATGGAATATAATATATATATAATATAGATATAATATAGATATAATGCAGAAATGATAGCACAATCTACTTTATTCTTATCAGCTTATTTAGGTTGAACAAGTTGAGGTTTGTCATGGGTTGAAGACTACAGAACATTTACACATTGTCACCCTGTTGGGAGTCTGGGCTAGAATAGGTCCCCAGCAACCTATGCTGGTTGTAAGAGGTGACTTAGTGGATTGGGTGGTCAGGCTCGGTGACTTGGTTGATAGTGTGTCCTCGTCGGCGTGGATTGGGTGGTCAGGCTCGGTGACTTGGTTGATAGTGTGTCCTCGTCGGAGTGGATTGGGTGGTCAGGCTCGGTGACTTGGTTGATAGTGTGTCCTCGTCGGAGTGGATTGGGTGGTCAGGCTCGGTGACTTGGTTGATAGTGTGTCCTCGTCGGAGTGGATTGGGTGGTCAGGCTCGGTGACTTGGTTGATAGTGTGTCCTCGTCGGAGTGGATTGGGTGGTCAGGCTCGGTGACTTGGTTGATAGTGTGTCCTCGTCGGAGTGGATTGGGTGGTCAGGCTCGGTGACTTGGTTGATAGTGTGTCCTCGTCGGCGTGGATTGTTGCTCATAATATCAATCATTGGATTGTCTGACCCAGACTAGATTGCTGACAGGCTGCCGTCATATAGCAGGAAAATTGCTTAGTACGGCGTCAAACTACAAACCAACCAAACAAACAAAAGTCTTGCGTCTTGCTCACAATCTCGACCATTGGTTTGGTGATTTATTCACCTCCATCTCAATAGATGTGTTATATCGAGATAAACTAATTACCTACTCAGATATAATATTGGTTGGTTTGTTGTTTTACGTTGCACTCAGCAATATTCCAGCTATATGATGGCAGTCTGTAAATAATCAAGTCTATACCAGACAATCCAGTGATTAATATCATGAGCATTGATCCACACAATTGGGATACGATGACATGCATCAACCAAGTCAGGGAGCCTGACCACCCGATCCCATTGGTCGCCTTTTACGACAAGCATAGTCGCCTTTAAAGGCAAGCATGGGTTTCTGAAGACCTATTCTACCCCGGATCTTCACGGGTCCAGATATATCACATGATGAATAAATATCTGTTGCCAGAATGTGAAGTTGGTGATATATGAGAGGTCAGTGATGCACACCTTCCTGGACGAGTTGACCGGCGGAGATCTGCAGGAGGAAGGCTCAGAAGACATCAGTACTCTCAGACAATATGCCAAGTACTCAAAATCAGGTAGGTGCCAGCACAGCAACAGTCACGTGGCTTCAGGTTTATGAGGGAGTGAGTGAGTATGGCTTTACGCCGCATTGAGCAATATTCCAGCAATATCATGTCGGGGGACACCAGAAATGGGCTCCACACAATTTATCTATGTGGGGAATCGAACCCGGGTCTTTGGCGTGATGTGCGAATGCTTTAATGACTAGGCAAACCCACCACTCCTTCAGGTTTATGAAAACATTCATGCTCCAATTGCATCACATGTATTCTGTTTGTGTGGTTTGCAGATAGTAAATGGCGACTCTGCTTGTCGTAAGAGGCGACTAACGGGATCGGGTGGTCAGGCTTGCTGACTTGGTTGATACATGTCATCATTACCCAAAAGTGTGGATCGATGCTCATGATGTCAATCACTGGACTGTCTGGTCCAGACTCGATTATTTACAGACAACCATCATATAGATGGAATATTGCTGAATATTGCATACATTTCGTTGAGAGGCATTTAGAAGTTGGTGTACTAAAGTCAGGATAAGATATATAGATGAACAACTTCTTTATTACAATTAGGAGCGACGTTTCAGTATAGGTTCTAACACCGTTATCAAGCACCCAAAACATCGCTCCTAAATGTAATAAAAAGTTGTTCATCCATATATCTTATCCTTACTTAATTGCATACATTGTTGAATGTATGAAACCACTTTTGATCTTGACATTGTAAAACTTGCTTACATTGTTGAATGTATGGAACAACTTTTGATCTTTTGATCCTGTTTGGGTAAAACAACACCAGGCTCAGTCCTGTTCCACACAATAAATTATTCCCGACTAAATAGCTAAAGGCATATTCAGTGTTGTTACTAAGGTGACTTGGGTAGTGGACACGGTAATCAATTGGATGAGCAGACGAAAAAAAAGACTTAAATTATTAAAAGTTCTAGCAGACTTGGCATCGGCCCGATCATCATGATCATTAAAATTACGCATCACTTCAAACATCGGCAACCCGATTTGACCTCCAGTGAGGTGATTCCCTGGTGAGCAAATTTTCGTTTTGTGGAGGTTTTCGCCTGTCGTTTTTTCGTGTCAGTTTTATATACACTATTTCATCTTTATTTATATGTTTTAGAAATTTTATTTTAAATAGACACAAGCATTATTAATAATGAAAACATATGAATATCCCAACCATATGTTGATGGTTTAGGTCGGGAGCCCTCCACGGACACCAAGGCAGCCAACATTGTGGTGTATGGGGCCAATCAGAAAACTTGTAACAGCTCAAAGGCAGCTCTAGCGAAACACTTGAAGGCGGAGTACCTGCATTCAGAGACCATTGAAAACGAAACTATACTGAAGCTACCCACAGACATCTTCCAGAAGATGAAGAACATTGCTGAGAAGAGTGGAATATGGATTAAGTTTCCTGATCCAGGTAATTTCTTGTACTTGTAATCTCAAAACTTACGATATCCTCGGGTAGGTTGGTTGTTGGTCGGTTTGTTGTTTAACACCGCACTCAGCAATATTCCAGCTATATGACGGCGGTCTGTAAATAATCGAGTCTGGACCAGACAATCCAGTGATTAACATCATGAGTATCGATTCACGCAATTGGGATCGATGACATGCATCAACCAAGTCAGCGAGCCTGACAACCCGATCCCGTTAGTCGCCTCTTACAACAAGCATAGTCGCCTTTCACGGCAAGCATGGGTTGCTGAAGATCTATTCTACCCTGGATCTTCATGGTCATTTGTAGATGTTCTCCTTATCAACTTTTTCTCCAGGACAGCATAATGGTTTGTGCTTAGAAATTCAACATGGCCGACATGATGATAAAACATGAGTGGCCATTTATTTTTTCAAAGCATCCCTACTGGATAAAACTTCTGGCCATCAATCAATGAACAAGGAAAAACAGCTGTACGAGAACATGCTTGGGTAACGTGTAGTTCACCTGGGGTACTCTTTGAACAGTTATATCTTAATGGCTGTCAACCTTTGTTGACATGCTGAGCTGCTGAGGAAGAAACCAAGTGAACGTCAGTGCCTGATGACAGCTCAAGGAAATGTTGATATAAAAGCTAAAAAGACAATAAAATACATATGTTTTGAAATTGGTAGCTAGCTTAAATATCATGAGGTGGGTGCGCTGTGCTTGCTCATTTGTTTGAATATTTATGAGGGAGCCGATATCTGATTGGCCAAAATTGAATATTTCAAATTCCTGTATGTATAAATATATTTTGTTTGATGATCAAAATCGTATTGTATGACAATAAGGAGACATTATCTATCTGATTGGTTGAATTTAAAAAAGACACATATTTCTTTAATAAGTTGTTTCAATATTTGAATTGGCTTTTATACGTCATTGTCGATATGTTTGGCATTGTCTTCATACTTGCATTTTCCAAAAGGGAAATTCTTGGACATAAATCAATACTGTTGAAAATGTTTTTTGTTAAGATTTTCCCCTCCACTCTTGATATAAAAGATGTTTTGTAAATGGCCTTCATCCATTATATCATTTTAACAGACAAACGGAAAAGGGGAAAACCACAGCTGAAGTTAAAAGGAGAGAAGAACTCTGTCTTTTTTGTCAAATCACAGGTCCATGAAATCCTCATGACAGCCATGACAAGAGCAATGAGCAAGCCATCTCACTCTACAACAAGTGCCAAGCGTGGGACGAAAGGCTTCCTCGCACACATGGGTACTATGGCCCAGTTTTACCCACCCAAGTACTGGAGCCATTATCAGCCTCAGAATCCGCTCTCAAACATAATAACAAAATGGGCAGGCAAAATAACAGGTAACAAAGAAAGGACGTGGCGACTCACGTCTGTGGACACAGCAACACATCAAGCCATTGACTCCCTGGTTCAAAAAACCTGGGACACCACCCATGCTGGCCATGGTAAGGATGCAGTGGGCCTTACACACAAGAGCATTAAGGTTAACAAAATAGAGAGACTTGAACATCCAGAACTGTTCATCAAGTACTGTCAGAAGAGATCGACCAGGTTCATGGAAGCCTGCAAGTCTGGAGGCAATTGTCCTTCTCTTCACAAAATACTCGGATGTAAAAGAGGCGTGCCGCTCACCACCCAGTACGCTGGCCCAGAGCTGCAGTGTGAGGTGTACTCTGATGAAGTTAACGAGCACTACTTCTTCCATGGCACGAAGGTGGAGAGACTCCAAGCGATCTTGTCTCACGGTTTGGATAGCAGGGTTGGAAGTGTGACTGCGATGTTTGGCAGTGGGATATATGGTGCAGAGAGCTCCACTAAAGCTGATCAGTATACAGGTTAGTTCATTGAGAGAGATCAATATTGGAGGTATATGATAGTGTCCTGTAAATAATTGATGATCCATTGATGACACTCTTTCGGTCAAGTCAGCAAGTCTGACCACCTGATGCTTTAACTCACCTCTTACGATTTGGTGGTCTGTAAATAATTAAGTCTTGACCAGACAATTCCTTGATTGATAGCATGAGCATCGATCAACGCAATTGGGATCAATGCAATGCATCAACCAAGTCAGTGAGCCTGACCACCCGATACCGTTAGTCACCTCATATGACAAGCATGGTCGCCTTTTATGGCAAGCATGGGTTGCTGAAGACCTATTCTACCCCGGATCTTCACGAGTAGGCTGCTAGGGACACATTCTACCTCAGACTCCACACAGAGGATGACAACAGAGATCCAGCACCAGGTGTATTGGTAGAGACACTTGGTAAACACATGGTTTTATATGACTCAAAAATATGTGTCCACCATTCACAAATAACTTGAATGTACGCAGAGAAAAAATATATTGCATCTCGAGGCATGCACAGTAATATTCATTGTACCAATTTCTCCATCAGACATTTATAAGACCTGTTATTAATGCATTATCAAATCTTACAGTACAGTACTCTACACATTTCATTACATTACAGAACCCTCATATTTCCTGTAAGGACCCTCGAAATGTATTAGTTAGGGATCCCTTGGACGCCTAGTTTCGTCGGTCAGGGTAAAACCCAGTAAACATACCGTATTTGACATAATAAGTGCCCAGGGCGCTCTAAGAATTAGAAATAGGGGGCTCTTATTAGAATATTAATTTGGTGAAAAACAACAGAGTTGAAAGATCCAAAATTTCATGGTTTATGCTGTCAGCCTGAAATGTTTATATGTACGACTGTCGTACTACGACAGATATATTTTTCCAGAATTTAATTTCTATAATTAAGGATTAAGTATAACACACATTTTATACATCAATAAATAAGTCTTGTATACATTATATCTATCGGAAGGGGTGCTAATTGGGATTGTTCACTAGCCAATGCATTAGTATATATCGCTGTGGGCGCTTATGAGAGCGGGGCGATTATTACGTCGAATACAGTAACCCTTTTTCAGACCAGATCCTTCTTGGTTTGATTGTATTACAATGAAGGCTGTCCCTGCATGCATGCACATGCATGTATTCATGCAGGCGTGCGTCCATCCGTGCAAACTGTACAATATTTCTTCACCAAACTTGGTAAATAGATAGGTCTTGTGGTCAACTGGTGCCTTTTGATAGTTTGGGATTTATAAAAAAAAAAAATTCCGAGTTTTGGGCAATAACTTTAACCGCTGAAAACAACCGTTTCTGGAGCTGATTTTAAAAAATGTTTCATATTTCTTTTACCAAACTTGGTCCAGATGTGTCACAAACAGGTTGTGTTATGTTGGTTGGTTTCTTGTTTAATGCCACACTCAGCAATATTCCAGCTATATGACGGCGGTCTGTAATAATCGTGTCTGGACCAGACAATCCAGTGATTGATATGCTGAGCATTGATCCACGCAATTGGGATCGATGGGTTGTGTTATGACCACAGTCAGACTGTCAGTATGCAGTCTCATTAATATCAGATCTAAGTTCTCGCTTTGTTTAGTGGTAGTGAGAACTCTGATCTGATTTTAATGATAATGGGCTACTGGAACTGCACATCCAACATTCTGACATTCCCTCAGGCTGACCGGCTGGTATGGGAGATGAATTACCAATCAGAGAGCTAGTCTTAATGCGTGTGATAATGTTAACTTACTTTCAACAGATGACAAAAACAACAGGACGGGAGGGGACAAGCAGATGGTGCTGATGAGGATGACTCTCGGACACCCCTATCTGAGCAGTAAACCCAACAAGTTCCGGCGCCCACCGTGCAAGAACAAAGCACATCTGGATGACGGCTGCAGTGATCCTACTCATGGAGGATACTTTCACTCTGTCATCGGGGAGGGGACTTGGCTCTTCCGGGAATTCGTAGTGTACGAGCCAGAACTGTGTTATCCTGAGTATGTCATCACATACAACCGAGTTTAGACCGCGGTCCTGATGTTAGGGCAGTGGTACGACAGGTCTTTGATGAGAGTGCGAAGATGCTTCTGAATTGAACAGTGAGCAGTTGGGTTTAACGCCACTTTTAACAGTATTCCAGTTATATTACAGCATGTCAGCTTAATGTGGGAGGAAAGCCAGAAGTGTCGCAGGTCTCAGTCGTTTATCACTTGGGTGAAACCCACGAGCACGGGTCTGGTGCTGACAAACCTAGAAACATAATCGGGGCGAACAGGAATTCAAAGCCATTATCATAGGTTTCTGATGTTCTAAAGGGACACAACTCGTCACAGTGAATTGCGACGCCTTAGGTGCTGATTTTGAAAATTTGATGTTATATGGTCTGTCGGATACTTTACTCACCAGGCTGTCAGACAAGTGGCGGGAGTTTCGATAACCACACCCAAGGTCCATGTTCAGTTCCACATTGGGCACATTGTTCGATGTTCACCATAGGTGGCCATCACCATCATATTTCTGGAATATTGAATAAACCGTATCAGAAAGTCCTTTAGGAAAGTAACAATCCTTCATAGATATAGTAAACTACGGTTACTACGGTTATAACGAACTCAAAGGCACTACTAATTTTAGTTTGTTATAACCGTAGTTCGTTACAAGCATATAAACCAAATAACTACAGCAAATAGTCGGGACAAAAAAAGTAACTTTGGTACATCCGTCAATTCATTATAAGTGTGTTCGTTATAACCGTAATTTACTGTATATGTACTGTATAACCTGTTTGAAGAACAGCCAGTTGTACAGGAATGCTATATATCCAACACTGCATCTTGTTTTGCATCCTACGTAATATTCCATGTGTTCTCTGTATGTGTAAACAAATAGTATTCACAATAGTGTACTATATTAGTTATGGTGTATTTAGTTGCTGTATACGGTGTCATATTAGGGCAGGGCGTCAGCTGAGCCCAATATTTTTCAGCTATCCTAATATGACACCGTATGCAGCAACTAAAGACACCTCACAAATTTATTTGCCCAAAAGGTATTTGTTATCTTTATCATATGTCAAATGATTCTATGGTGTTTGGTTGGCTAACCAAACAATTGTTTTCATAAACCAAAAACAATAAGGTATTTTGTACCCAAGTTGAGTGTTTTTTGAGTGACATCCGTTTTTTCAAATGTATTATTTACTGTTGGTTTTAGACATAAGTGACAGCATATGTATAATTCATGTTCTTTGAGTGTCTGAAAAACGCAATTTGTTACATTTTTGCAATAGTTAGATATAGTTTAGGTATTTTTTTTCATTCTGGTTCAGCTGAGGGGCAGCCATGCTTTAGGTAAATCCTGGGAAATATTTGCTTATGAACAAAAACAAATTAACTTGAAAGTTCATTTTCTTAGCATTTTACATTATCTACTTGAGAATAGTCTTGAGGTGAGGTGAAATTGGGTTTAACGTGACGTCTAAGATTATTGCACTTATATAGCAACGTGCATGCACGTGTGTGTGTGGCAGCTTATACTAGTCCGGACTGATGCCGAGATACCATGCCGCAGTTTAACATGAATACCCCACTTAGACACAGTATACTGACTCCGAGCCGACCAGTCCTTGTTTTAGCCCTTTAATGTTGAGCGCCAAACAGGGTAACAAGAAGTACCATCTTTTAACGTCTTTTGGTATTACGCGGCCGGGGATCAAACCCCAGACCTTCCGCTCGTTGAGATTTTTACCCATTTGTCTTCAGACATTAGATGGCTGCCTCCGTGGTCCAGTGGTAGAGCGTCCGCCTGGAGAGTGGCAGGTCGGGGGTTTGATTCCCGGCCGCGTCATACCAAAAGACATTGAAAGAGGTACTTGTTGCTACCTTGCCTGGCGCTTGACATTAAGGGGCAAGAACAAGGACTGGTCAGCTTGGTGTCAGTGTACTGTGTCTGAGTGGGGTATTCACTTTCAACTGGTATCTCAGTGGGCTAGCACTATAAATCGGCATCAGTCCGGACAAGCAGCCAAACACACACACACAAACAAACCTGCATGCAAGTCACTTTATAAGTGCAATAATCTTGAACCTGACGTTAAACCCCATTTCACCTCACCTCAGACATTAGATTCTCACAATGGAGATCTGCATCTGAAGTCTATTGTTATTTCCCTCAACTTGAACTTAATGCCGTCTGATCTGCTTGAAAGACCCCTGGCAACTCATCTTCATCTACTTCCGAGATGCAGAAGATCCATTCTTTTACAGTAAACCCTGTTCACTGTGAGAAATGATTTATGCCCAAATACTCAGTGTGGATGTTCAACACTTCAAACTTAGGAAAGCTATTGAAGTACAAATTCACTCCATCTAAAAAATATAATACTGTTTTTTTTGTTTTAAGTTATGCTGTGTTTATTTGTGTAATAGGGGCGGGGAAGGAGGGTAATGTGGATATACTAAGTAGATATAGGAGGGTATATGTGTATGGGAGAAGGAGGATATACTAAGTAGATATAGGAGGGTATATGTGTATGGGGGAAGGAGGATATACTAAGTAGATATACCGGGGGTATATGTGTATGGGGGAAGGGGACATGATTGTGTGAGTGTATGCGAGAATGAATACTTGTATTGGGTCTGTAACATGGTTAAAGGGAGATACAGTGAGTGAGTGAGGATGGTTTTACGCCGCTTTTAGCAATATTCCAGCAATATCACGGCAGGGGACACCAGAAATGGGCTTCACACATTGTACCCATGTCGGGAATTGAACCCGGGTCTTCGGCGTGACGAGCGAACGCTTTAACCACCAGGCTACCTGACCGCCCCTGGGAGATACAGGCTCATGAGTGGGAATGGGTTGGTGTACTAGTGCATGTGTGTAAATATGAAATATGTTGTACGCTATCTTACCGAGGCAAGAGTGTGAGCTGACTATAAAAGTCGTTTCCACCCTTGCCAAACTAAGTTGGAATTTCTGGGTTCGATCGATGCCACCAGTGGTTATTACGAGTTATTACTTGCCCGTGAAGAGATCACCCGTTTAATAAACATACAGCTGTATTACACATTGTGTAATACCAAAACGCGTGCTTATGTACTCTCGGAACACGTTTCACGAACAAATATTGAAAGCTCTCAACATCCCTTGGCTTATTCAACGACATCGCGTGTGGAGTTGATAGATCTCTGAGAGGAGCTTATGCAAACTCGATGACCCCAGCAACCTTGTTGCTAGGGTGATGTCACATGGCATTGTTTCGCCGAAGGATCTTGCAACAAAATTCCACAAATAAGGTCATCGGGTATTGTGACGTCATTGTAAACTTTGAGCTGCAGTGTTCCACAAGGCGATCGTACTGTAGCGCAACGACAGCCGTTGGTCTAAGTTAAAGTATGTGAGTTGCGATAACTTTGGGGCTACGATAATTTTGTGGAACGGATGCCTGAATTCTAAAGGTGGGCCGTGTATGGTAGTAAATTCATACGTTTCAACTTTTGACGTGTTTGAAGTATTATTGTGTTAAACTCAGTTGGATTATGCCATGGATCGTGTAGTTGTCAGCCTATTCATACTCAACAGTATAATTCTAAAAACAATATAAATTGCAAGTAATAAATAAAATACTAAACTCGCTCCCGTGTAAAACCAATTTATGAAACTCGTGAATAGTTGTGGTATCTGACTCGCTTTCGCTCGTCAGATACCACAACTATTCACTCGTTTCATAAAATTGGTATTAGCTCGTTAAGTATTCTATATTTATGTCCCTCCTACTGACCAATCAGACTGTTATATCTCTTGCATTTGCTTCAAATATCATGGAGTCGCCCAGTGAAGATGAACTGACGCTATGTTGTCGGTGCACATGCTTTGCAAATCCTGCAATTGACTGAAATCTGCATGGCAGTTTACGAACCAGATGTCGATTTCGTTAGGCGATACGCACAGACTCGTCAGTCCAGCCAAAGAATAACTCCATAATTCCAGCCTAGTTTGGCAAGGGTGGAAACTGGATTGTTACAGTCCGTTAACTCCCTTGCCTCAGGAAGATGGTTGTACATGGCTGGAGTGTCAGGGGATGGGGAAATATAAGTATAATGTTTTGTTACTTGTTTTTAGCACCTCATACGCATACCTCATGTAACATATACTTTATGCTTTTAAATAGTTTTAAAAGATTTTAGTGTCTCACAGATCATACTGGGTTGGCATTCTACGCAATCCCATCCGCCCATAACACTTTTATGTTGTACAATACGTGTGCCACCCCTCGATTGTGACATCATGCATTTATAAAATAGCTTGTTCACTTTGCTTCTTCCATTGATCAAGACCACCCCTGTAGTCTAGGTGATAAAGCATCAGCCCGGAGAGTGGAAGGTCGGTGGTTCGATCCCGGGCTGCGTCATACCAAAAGATGTTAAAAGAGAGTACTTGCTGTTACCCTGCCTGGCGCTCAGCGTTAACATGATAAACAAGGACTAGTCGGCTTAACTGTGTCTGATTATGGTATTTATGTTAAACTCGGGTAAAATACCTCAGTGGGCTAGCACTATAAAACCGACATCAGTCTGGGCAAGTACAAGCTGTCATAAACACATGTATGCATGTAGCTATGTAAGTGCAAAAACTTAAATGCAACGTTAAACCCTATTTCACCTCACCTCTAACTGATGCAACATCTTAAATCCAGGCTAAATATGATGGTATATGTGTAAATATTTATTTTAAGAAAACACAGCCAGTTGTACAGGAATGCTATATATCCAACACTGCATCTTGTATTGCATCCTACGTAATATTCCATGTGTTCTCTGTATGTGTAAACAAATGGTATTCACAATTGTGTACTTTATTAGTTATGGTGTATTTAGTTGCTGTATACGGTGTCATATTAGGTAAGCAGAAAAATATTGACGCCCTGACCAATATTCCCTGATTGGTCACTCATGTGGTTTGATTGACAGGTGGCGATAGATTAATTACTGATGCCATCAAGGATACCACAATCAGATCATAGAGGGTTAACACTGTTGGACCACCATCCAAGTAATAAATGTCCTTGACCCGAAAAGTATATATTATATGAGTCATGAACATTCATTCACTTTTATTTAATTTTTTATCTTAATAAACTAAGTTTAATTCATTATCTCTTGTCACTATGTGTATCGTAGCGTATCGAGATACATATTGAATCGTGATGTAAGTATCGAGATACCTATCCTATCATGACCTAGGTGTATCATTGCAGCCCTAACAACAATTAAGTCGAAGTCTGTATCATCCTGGCAGAGGCTGCGAGATGAGACGGCAGATGAATGCTTGAAATATTCTCCTAAGCCCTTGTTATTACATGTATTGTTTTTTTGGAATAATCCTGATGTATGTGGAAAAAAAAATGATATCATATCTGTTTTGTCATAATTTCCACTGTCGCTTGGTTTTGACAAAGAACTTTGTGTAATCTCATAATAAATGAACATGCTTATTGGTTGTTTAATTCCTCACTCTGCACTATTCCAGCTATATGATGACAGAGGTCTGTAAATAATTGAGTCTGAGCCTGACAATCCAGTGTTAATTATCATGAGCAACATCCCACGTAATTGGGGTACATTGACACACAATCAAACAGTTCTCTGAATCTGAAAATCCACGTAATTGGGGTACACTGTCACACAATCAAACAATTCCCTGAGTCTGAAACCCACTTAATTGGGGTACATTGACACACAATCAAACAGTTCTCTGAATATGAAAACCCAGGTAATTGGGGTACATTGACACACAATCAAACAATTCTCTGAGTCTGAAAACCCAACCCATTCAGTCGCCTTGTGCGACAAACGCAGTTTACAAATTCTAACCCGGAATCCCTTTGTCTATTACATCCTTCGACATGTTGGCAATTGAGCTTAGTCGCATGACGATCATTGGTGTGCATCGCGTTTTTTGCAGAACAAATTACATCTGTAGTAGTAGCAGTGGTATTGGGGTAAAAATCTGGCTCCAGTGGAAGTGGTCCAAAGTCACCATTACCTATACTACTACATGGAATATTAGGTACCGAGCTACATCTTCATCAGAGCAGTGCTTAAGACAGGAGACTGTTCCAGCAAGACCGACAATGGCAAAGTCAGTTAAAAGGGTAACCATGGTAACTGAAAACAAAATGACATACTCTATTATGTCTTTATTGTCAATATTTACAGTTACTTGCAGACACAGTTATGATAGTTTTTTTTCACTCTAACAACACACAAGTCCAAAACAGCTTCTTCCTTGCCAGAAAAAGCCTACACCACCTGACTGTGAACACCTAGCGCACTGGACTCCATGGGACTAGAAGATCCTTGTATTTCTTCGGCTCTGAAAAGGGAATTGCACATACATATATTAAGACTAATGAAATCTACACAATTAAAGAACATGAAAATTTACAGAAAAGCACCCTCTTTGTTCAAATTGAAATGTCAAAAAAATGAATAATGTATGAAACTTATGTGTTCAAATGTTCAAAAATACTTTTTGTCTCACGCAATTAGTTAGATAAAAATGGCTCATTTAACAAAAGACATGTTTCTCAGACTTAAAGTGAGTGAGTGAGTTTGATTTTACGCCGCTTTTAGCAAGTTTCCAGCAACATCACGGTGGGGGACACCAGAAATGGGCTTCACACATTGTATCCATGATGGGAATCGAACCCAGGTCTTCGGCATGACGAGTGAAGGCTTTACCACTAGGCTACCTGACCGCCCCCTTAGACTTAGAGAGAAAATCTAACAATGAAGAAGTCCATTACCAGGATGAACACATGTTTGTACTGTCTACATGTCCTAAAATAACAAGCATAGGTCAAACACTTCCGGATGCTCCTTAACATGCTTCCTTAAAATCTCTACAATCAGCCTTCTCAGCACATTTAAGCCATACCTTAACATGAAAGGTGGAAAATTGAAAACAATAGATGTGAAGACATGAATGAATTTTATAAGAAATAGTAGAAGTTCTGTTCATTTCCTAAATAACCCATGTGGGACAAAATTAGCCCATGACCTGTCCTATACATGAATCTGAAAAGCAAGCATTGTATTGTAACTCCCTGGGTTGAGTGAGTGAGTGAGTGAGTGAGTGAGAGAGTGAGAGAGTGAGAGAGAGAGAGAGAGAGAGTATGGTTTTACACCGCTTTTAGCAATATTCCAGCAATATCTTGGCAAGGGACCCCGGAAAATAGGCTTCACACATTGTACCCATGTGGGAAATCGAACCTGGGTCTTCAGGGTAACGAGCCAACGCTTTAACCGCAGGCTACCCAACTGCCCCCTGGGTTAAGTAAGTTAATAATGGTCAATAGTGGCAGCAAGAAGACAACCAGATGAGACAAGCATGCTGACACATCACTAATCATAATGGTAAGTCAAGTCCAGGTGTCCAACCCATCATCATCATCAGTGGTCAAAAGTTAGCATGAAAGTCATGGGGTCCTTGTCATAACCTCATGTTATAAGTTTAAAGGTTAAAGATTTAAGAGGTCTGTGGATTCAAATACCATAAGGGAGGACCTCATGGACCACGTAAGTTTGAACACTTAATGCAAACATTCACACCTAAGACACCTGGGCCAACCATGTTCTTGCGATTGCTGGAGAAGAACCTGACAAACTTCTCAACTATCTTTACATAAGTTTTCTAAATTAAAGAGGCCCTGAAGGCCTTCCCTTATAGTATCTCTGAAACTATAAATATATGTCTAAAATGACATTATTCATGTTGTACATTGGCTGACCTAGTTCAGGGAAGTCTTCAGGATGCTGCTTGACATAGTCCTCCAGGATCAGCAGCTTCTCGCGCCTCTTGTTGTTGTTCCACGTGTCGATGGCCGTGCCCAGGTAGAACCCTCCGACACCCAGCACGGCATGCTTGTAGATCCCTGCAACATACACAGTACAGGCTGGAGTGTGGGGAACAGGAAGCAGGTGGTCATTGTGGTGGATTTATTTGCCTCTAAACATATGTTGGAACCCCGCCATAGTCCTTGGTGAGAGGTGCAGTAACAAAGCTACACTGGCATGATCATATGAACAGCCATGTCAGCTGCTGGGTGCCAACATACATTACAAGGCAGGAAGGGGAGAGGGAGCCTAAGCTTTGAATCACCAGGACCACAGCATTTCAGTTATATTCTGGGACGTTCGCTTCAGCTTGGGAGAAAGTGAAAAGGCTCAACAAAGACGTTTACATTTTTACAGTTTTATTATAATCAGAGCGGATCTGGGATCAAAGCCTACCATCAGAGGTTCCTGGCATGGCTAAGGTACACAACTCTGCATCGAGCCCTAAGACCATTGGTACAACTGTCTGTAGGACAGAGAATTGAATTTGTTCGATTCAATAATTGAATGCATTTGCGCATACAATTTTCTCATTTCTAACATGATAAAACAAAACAATGACCTAATTGATGCAGGTCTCAGACGTTTACCACTTTGGTGAAACCCACGAGCATGGTATGGTGCTGACAAACCTAGAAACATAACCGGGGCGAACCAAGATTCAAACCCACAATCATAGGTTTCTGGAGTGCCCAAGGAATGCAACTCTGCACAGCGAATCACGGCGCCTTTGAGGACTGAGCCACCCATGCCCCCCCAATGTAATCCAAGGTAAATCTGTACAAGTGTTGAGTTTTGCAGAAGAAAAGGGAGAAACAATGCAGTTTTACTGGAGAGAGCTTACCATTGCTTAGTATAGCTCTATTTGGCCCAGGCTACCGACTGTGGCTCTCGCTTCACACATCTTATGTTCCTCTTTGACCCTTAGGGTTAATTGCATTTGGGTAAGGGTAGGTTACTTGACTCTATCCTTTGCCCATGGATCCCCTTACCGAACAGGCTCCCCTTTACGGTCATAAGGGTTAGGTCACCCTTTCCAATCCATCAGTCAGCAGCCTGAGCAAATTTGCGTTATAGTAAGCTGCACCTTTAAAATACAGTACCACAACCTCTCTGCCATAGGTCACATGTCTCAAAGTTAAGCAACCAGTTTTTGTGAGAATCCGTCGGACGCGAACTTGTGAACTTTCGGATTGTTAGCCCGACAGCTAACCGACTTAGCTACATTCACACTGTGAAACAAAGTGCAAATTTACCTAGCCAGGCCTACGACGTTATGGAACTGAACGAAAAGGGTCGAATAGGTGACGGACACTTACGAAGGTTACTGGCAGGCATGGTGTCTCGTGACTTTAGCATGTTTAGTCTACGGACACTTACGAATGATCCCGATGCCATTTTTGTGACAGAAAAGTGTGGTTGGGAACACTGTAAGGATGATGTGGATAACTGAGAGACAGACAGACAGTATTCAGTATGCAAGGCCATATGGCCCATAGTACAGTTCAGTTTTAACAGATACATAAAAATCAACGTGATCTTGAACATAGTATAATATATTCACCTGAGTCTAAATACATGTTTCAAATACATTGCTTAAGATTTGATAACTTCTTCATTGGTCGAATTCAACAAATTGATCATTAATTGATTGTCTTTGTGTGTAATATCTAAATTAGGTAGAAACTTTAATCTCAACGTTTTATATTTTTCACATATAAAAAGAACATGAAACTTGTCTTCAATCTCCTGGTTGGTACAGTTAGAACATGTGGATAATAGTAAGGAACGAGGGAGACATGAGCATGGCTAGTGATGACACAAGGGTGAGTTCACTTTCGAATCAGTACTGAAAAAATGTAGCGGGTGAAAGTTGCTTGTGTGAATGTTCCAGGACAGTTTTCAGTAGCCAAAATATTTGACACAAAACCATTTCATCCATTTCAAGGATAGAGTTCAGGTAATCTAATAGTCACTAAACGGGTACCTAACCCTAATGATCGTAAAGGGGTGATTGATCGTAAAGGGGATCCAAGGGCTAAGGAAAGAGTTCGGGGTAACCTACCCTAACACCGGCGACATTTGTTCAGCTCCAATATAATATACCTAATAGACTGCTTTCTTGTGCATAATAATGAAAATTTATGTACTGAAAAAATGATATATGTATAGTAGTTCCCATTTATCACCATTTAAGCCACTTGAATTACGAAAAAAAACGAAATAAAATATATATTGAAAATAAAAGTGCTTTCATAAACTAGCCCTTGCTATAAAATGCACTGCCGCAGTCTATATTTAGTAAACTAATATTCAAAACTCTCAACATCGCTGGGCGTGTTCAATGACATTGCGTATAGAGATGATAGATCACTGGGAGGAGCTTATGCACACTCGATGACCCCTGCAGTCACAAAGCTTTGTTTCGCGGGAGTGAATGGCAACAAAATAATACAAATTACGACTTAGGGTATTGTCACGTGTTTGAAAAGTTTGTGGTACTGTATTCTAAAGGTAGGCCACAGCATTGTTACCACCTAGCTTCAAATTCATTGACAACTTGAGCTTGAGCTCTTCTGTAAACCAGGTGCTAACTGGAATATGAAAAAGTGAACCTAAATAAAGTGTGTTGACCTTCCATTTTGTCTGCTACTTCATTTCTTTAAGAAGTTGCTAACAAACCTACAAGCACTTGGGCAATGTTTTGAGTTTTAAATGCCCATTGAAGTTAACTGCACCCTTGTCGGGTTTTTTTTCACTATATGGATTAAAACCAGAATTTACCGCCACCCTTACATTTAAGAAAACGTAAAATGGAAGTAGTGCACTTTACCGGGCGCACTTTTTCAGATTGTGGGGGCTCGAACGCACTTCACCGGCTCACCAGCTCTGCTAATTAATGCGTAAATTAGCCGACGCTCTACCACTGGACCACGGGCGCTATCACATGTAAACAGTGCTCATTTAACGGGTCATTAGAATCCCCATCAACATGCATGCGTAATTCAGTAAACAATCAATTGCGCATGCATGTGACGTCACGGTCAGCTCTCTCATTCATTTATTTGACCGACCAATCAGATTAACCGTATTAACACTTGAAAAGGTAAGAATTTATGGCTAACCCTTGCCCAAAGCAAGCTTACCCTAAGGACCGAAAAGGGGTGTTGGATCGTAAAGACGTGTAAGTTTCCCTAAGACCGAAAAATGGGTGTTGGATAGTAAAGACGTGTAAGTTTCCCTAAGACCGAGAACGGGTGTTGGATCGTAAAGACGTGTAGGTTTCCCTAAGACCGAAAACGGATCGTTGGATCGTGAAGCACGAGTCACCGGAGCGTGAGGCACGGTAACGGTATAGCGAGACAGCAGATCGAGGCACTATAGCGCGGCAATTGAGCGGATGGTAGAGCTCGGGCTTCGCCCGGTAAACTGTATTTTTGCCCGTAAAACTTTATGGATAAAAACCAGAAGTTATTATCCATAAAGTTTTAGGGAGTAGTGCACTTTACCGGGCGCACTTTTTCAGATCCAATTAGCACTGTGGGGGCTCGAACGCGCTTCGCCGGCTCACCGGCTCTGCTAATTAATGCGTTAATTAGCCGACGCTCTACCACTGGACCACAGGCGCTATCACATGTAATCAGTGCACGTTTAACGGTTCATTAGAATCCCCATAGACATGCATGCGTAATTCAGTAAACAATCAATTGCGCATGCGTGTGACGTCACGGTCCGCTCTCCCATTCATCTTTTCTTGAATCCACACCCGCAATTGTTTATGTCAACATGACCGACCAATGGGATTAACCGGATTAACGCTTGAAAAGGTAAGAATTTACGGCTAACCCTTGCCCAAAGCAAGCTAACCCTAATGACCGCAAAGGGGTTTTGGATCGTAAAGATAGGTAAGTTTCCCTAAGACCGAAAACGGGTGTTGGATCGTTAAGACGTGTAAGTTTCCCTAAGACCGAGAACGGGTGTTTGATCGTAAAGATGTGTAAGTCTCCCTAAGACCGAGAATGGGTGTTTGATTGTAAAGATGTGTAAGTTTCCCTAAGACCGAAAACGGGTGTTGGATCGTGAAGCGAGTCACCAGAGCGTGAGGCACGGTAACGGTATAACGAGACAGCGGTGGCACTATAGCGCGGTAATTGAGCGGATGGTAGAGCTCGGGCTGCGCCCGGTAAACTGCATTGTTGCCAAGTTTTACGTTTTCTTACTTACTCACCAACTTCTAGAATGCCAATGACAGTTACCCTACATTTGGCACCAAGATCGAAGAGCAATCTAAATTTCTAACGCTGTCCGTACCTGTCATCATAGGTTTCCTGGCAGTTAAATTTAATATACAGGCTCCGCCAATGCCTGCTGCACAACACAACGCTTCACCGAAGCTTATTGTGGGCATATTGCTGTCGGTTTGTGATTGAGCAGGTCGAAGTTTGTCCAAGGTGAACCTCGTCGATACCGGAAGGAAGTAGCAATGGTTTATACAAAAGGATAACTTTTAGACGCATGGTCGTGTTGATCGAATATGAAGTATTTCTTACAATATTCTTTCCGACAGTGTTTATATTTACACTAAGACAACATTGTCTGGTGTATTATTAAATTGATATGAACATACGGTAGTTTGAGGAACTTAGTTGGTGATATTGTCCTGTTCCGTTTTATTGTTGTAGTTTTAATTTTGACAACTTCCGTTATGGCGGGTCATGAAAAACATTTGAACGAAAAGGGTTCTGATGATCGCGAAGTTTTGGTGTGGCAGTCGTCTTTGGCAAGCGCTAAGCAATGCATTTTGAAAAAGAACTATGGGAGAGCATTCGCTCACTTTCTCCTCGTGTTAAAGCTTTGTCCTGGCATGAAGAGTGCGCTCAAGGACGACTTTGTCCTGTCAATGAGGGAATGGACGGAGGGTCTCGAGCGACAAGGAAGGATCCATGATATGTTCAAGTGTTATGACCAGGCGTGCGAGCTATTTCCGGAGTGCGAAGCAGCATTAAATAACATCGGGGCACAATTATTTAGGTATTAAAGTGATGTTTTCACCGTGTCAGTAGTTCTACTTTAAAATAGAAGTGTTTTTATAGTCTTAAATCCTTAGCCCTTGGACATGTTTGTGCCTCTTACACTGTACAGAACAACCCTTTTACGATCCATAAGGTTAGGCATTCCTTTCCAATCAAAAACCCCTTCACAACCCTTACGGTATACCTGTCAGTTTCATTTAAGTATTTAAGTCCGATATTTTACTCTGATGCAATCCTCAGCTTGAGAATCAGACAAAATCTCCATAGGAAGTCTTGTGAGATGAATCCTGAATGACTGCCTGGCCTAAAGTAAGGATACATGGGTTCTTGAGCCAATCTGATGTCAGGTTCCTAAAAAGAAAATCACTACAGAACACAGATATACCCTTGATACTACACCCTTTTGGGTGTAGATGCCATGGTGTTCATAAACAGAAGGATGTGTAAAAAGTATCCACAATAATATAATGGTGCTGATTTATCTTTTTTGCTTTCTGAATTCCCCAATTATACTCTTTATCAAGATACAGAAACCAGATATGCCCAGATCTCCACACAGAGATGTGTGCTATCAGAGAAAAAGTTCTGATTTGAATGATTGAGCACTCCTTGCCAATCAAACACCTCTTAGGGCTAGTTGTGAGTTAGGGTTAGCCGTCTTACCCCTTTTTCGAATTAATACAGTGATGTGATGGAAGAAAGACAGCACACTTCAACATCTCTGATTGGATATTTTTAGAATAATAATTTTTTAAATGTCTGTATATTATCATGATTATAGCAATCTTCTCCTTAATCACTTCATTTCATCAACAGTGAACTTTGAATAAGGTTCCAGATCGAAAACAAATACAGATAGCAATTTGGTTGAAGCCCAGCATTTTGTTTCCAAAACCCATACTGTTTTTGTTCTTTCTATCATGTTGTATTTTTGCTAAGTTTTGATAGCCCCAAATGACACATATTACATTAATCCCATATGCGTTGAGATAAAACAGAAAAAAACTGTTCAAAGTCAGGGATTTATCTGGACCTGCTCAGAGGCCGATATTCAGGCCCAAATCTGCAGCAAATGTTAAGATACCTGCCCAAATTGGAATTAATAAATTCCTAATTCATGTGAATAAAGTTATAACTAATATTATACTTATGTGGAGCGGACATATATATTGTTAATGATTTTAACATTCTTCCTGCAAAGGGCAATTAGTTTGGAATAAAAAATAAATCCCTGAAGTCTTAATCCCTACTCACTATTACCATGGTAACGTATTTGTACTTTTACATATACAGATTAGGTTACACAGATGAAGCAGCCCTCTATGTTCGCCGGGCCCTGAAATTGTGTCCTGATTTTCTTGCTGCCAGAGAGAATCTGGAGAATATCTGCAGTCACCTTGTTGAGCGTTGGCACTTTCGCATGTTGAATGACATGACCCGAAACAGGGCATTTCGTGATGGTATTGACCTGGCAGTGACGCAGGGCTTCAACACGGTGCTTGACATTGGAGCAGGAACTGGCTTACTTAGGTGAAAATCATGCCTCGCTTGTTAATACTAATATATACAAATGATGATGTATTAGTAATTTTAGCATGTTTTACACAAGCACCCAGTCAAGACAATCTGATCGATAATCAAGATCTATATTGTAATAAAAAGGGTTCTTACTTTGCGAAGTGCATCAAATCACTTGAGCACCTTGATTTAAAACATGACTAGATTTACAAAATATCTGACGACGCCCAGTTGATAGTACACATGCTTTGCAAATCCTGCAATCGACCAAAATCATGTTGAAATCCATAGTTACGAACCAGATGTCTAGTTAGTCCAGCCAAAATGTAACTCCAGAATTCCAGCCTAGTTCGACAAGGGTGGAAACTGGACTTTTGTGGTCAGTCAACTCCCTTGCCTCAGGAAGATGATGATTGTAGGTTCGATGAGACCATCCCAGATCTCTGATGATTGCACATAACACAGCAATTATTGATATAGTATGGTAAATAAAGCATAGAGGTAGAGTGTGTTCGAAGATCATTGTTGTGTGGACAAGTAAGGGTTAGTCAGACACAAATATCAGGCCCTGCATGTGCATTTCTAACATGTCTTATAAGTTTGTTTGTTTATTTGTTGTTTAACGCCACAATCAGCAATATTCCAGCTATATGACGACGGTCTGTAAATAATCAAGTCTGGATCAGACAATCCAGTGATGGACATCATGAGCATCGATCCACGCAATTGGAATACGATGACATGCATGAACCAAGTCAGCGAGCCAACCGATCCCGTTAGTCGCCTCTTACGACAAGCATAGTCACCTTTTATGGCTAGCATGGGTTGCTGAAGACCTATTGTACCCCGGATCTTAACGTAATAATTTAGTAATAATGGTTCTTAAGATGGCAAAGGGGTCATGGTTATTGACCTTTGAAAGAAAGAAATGACCCTCTGTTTCTGAGCTATATGGATTCCCTTTCTGATACCCAGCCCTACAATTGAATAAGTAATGTGTTACTCGACCCTTACATATACCGTATTCAACCTAATAAGCGCCCGGGGCGCTCTCAAAATTAGAAATAAGGGGCTCTTATTTGAATATAATTTTGGTGAGAAAAGAAAACGGAGTTGAAAGTTTGTAAATTTCATAGTTTATGCTGACAGCCTGTAATGATACAAAAGAAAAGTATGTGCGTATCATACAAGACAGATATAGTTTCCAGAATTTAATTGCCCATAATTAAGGGTGCATATAACACACAAGTGCGTATTATACACGAAAATATAAGTCTTGTGTACATTGATCAATCGGAAGGGGTGCTAATTCGGATTGTTCGCTAGCCAATATTTTAGCAAATATCGCAGTGGGCGCTTATTACGTCAAATACGGTAATTGTTTATACAACTCAAAAGAAGTTGAAGAACACCCAATTGTGTCACATGACAATAGGTATCCGTCATGACATGATGTGGGTTTCACCAAAGTGGTAAATTATAGACCGGAATCACTTTGGCATTCCTCCCACATCCAACTGGCATGCCGTGATATAACTGGAATACTGTTAAAACGATAAACCAGCGTTAGAAATTGGCACTACTCCTGTAGTCCTGGCCAAATTTCCCAATAGTTAAGGTATCATAAGCACTAGCAGAATTTTGCCCTTTTAAGGGTTTTGCTATAAGTTGTCATTATAAGGACTAGTGGGCTAAAACTGTTAGTTTCTACTGCTGTAAACCTAACTCATCCACTCACTATTAATTTTGTGATTATCCACGTTTGCTTCAGTTTGTTTGCCGAGGAAGCGGGCGCTGTGAGCGTCCATGCGTGTGAGGTGTCCAAGTCAATGTGTGATGTGGCAGCCGAGATTATCACAGCAAACTGTAGTGCCGCTGACAAAATTAATCTCATACCCAAACTCTCACTGGACCTTTCTATTCCACAGGACATTCCTTCAAGGTAAACTTTGGTTCACTGTACAAAGGGAGATTACTCTCATCCCTACCCATAATGCATACTGATACCGTATGTTAAACTGCAGGACTATTCTGGCTGGCATATGAAGAACGATATTAAGCTGAATATCTTTTTTTTCTTTTATAGGTTGCACAAAGAATGCCATAAGACAAGAAATGTTATTAAATCCTGGCTTTTGGGGTGCCATGTGTTGATGTGCATCATGTTTATGACAATAAAGAAATGCTTTTCTTTGTTTATGTATTAATTATTTTGGGTTTTGTTTTCAAGGGTATCCCTGGTTGTAACAGAAACATTTGATGCCGGCCTGTTTGGGGAGCACATCGTGTCAACACTCCACCATGCCTGGGAACACCTTCTCCTGCCCCCAGCGGGACATTCACAACAGGTGAGACGGTTGTCATATCTCAACACTCTTCTGCCTGTACATATCACCAACCCATGAAGATCCAGGGTAGAATAGGTCTTCAGCAACCCATGCTTGTTGTAAATTAAGATGCGACTTACGGGATCGGGTAGTCACGCTGACTTGGTTGATGCACCTTATCAGTCCCAATTGCGCGAATCGATGCTCATGATGTCAATCACTAGATTGTCTGGTCCAGACTCGATTATTTACAGACCGCCATCATATAGCTGGAATATTGCTGAGTGCAGCGATAAACAACAAACAAACATATCACCAACCTCAATAATGTACTTCCTTACTCAATATACTGAATGTGCCACAAAGTGCAGTGAATTTCTGACTGGCAAGGGGAAGGTCGGTGTTTCAATCCCAGGCCGCGTCATACCAAAAGACGTTAAAAGATGGTACTTTGTTACCCTGTCTGGCGCTCGGCATTAAGGGGCTAAAACAAGGACTGGTCGGCTCAGAGTCAGTATACTGTGTCTCAGTGGGGTATTCATGTTTTACTGCAGCATGGTATCTCAGTGGGCTATCACTATAAAATTGTCATTAGTCCAGATAGTACAAGCACACACACACACACATACACACGTGCATGCACATTGCTATATAAGTGCAATGATCTTGAATGCGACATTAAACCCCATTCCATCTCCACGATATAGTATTGAATGCAAGACCTAAACCATAAACTGGTAGCAGTTTACGATCACTGGTAGAGGCAACTTAATGGATTGGGTGGTTAAGGCTGGGTCACTTGGTTGATAGTGTGATAACGTGCCCAGATGACATGGATCATTATGTTATTGATTATGATATTTACAGTCCGTCACTAAGCTTGAATATTACTGACACAGACAGACATCACCACCCCTACCCCACCCACCCCACACACACCCATCCCCACACACACTTATACGCGGTCATATACGGTATATCAATGTCAAGTGGAAGGAGACGCCAGCCTAAATATGATTGTTTCAAGTTTTGCTTGCTGCTCCAGGGAGGCGGCCGTGTGATCCCAGCTGCAGCAACGGTCTACCTATGTCCTGTAGAGTCAGAAACCATCAGAAAAGGAAATAGGTAAGCTTTCTGTCAATACTCCCATCACATATCATTATAGGCCAGAACCATTTATACTGACCCATCTATCACTTTGTAGCCATCTCTCCACTAGCCACCCCTCTCTCTCTCATGACCGTGTTTTTTCTCTCAGCTCTTTCCACCACAGACCTCACATGACATGAAAGGGAAACTACGGAAGTATGCACAATGCAGTGATAAGTTCACTTGGTGAAACTTTTAGTTTTAGAAATTTTTTATATTTCTTATTTGTTCTTCTGTCTTCAGGGATTCAAATATGTTAAATAAGAAATTAAATTGGTACTACCTTTATTGAAGAATCACTAGATATTTTGATATACTTAAGTTCACTGTTTTATGTCTATGATTTGTCTTGTGTACATTTGCTGTTTGGTACTACATTGTGTATATCTCACCAGACTGCTGTATCCTGTGCTGCTGAACCTTGACCTCCGGGGCATTGACCTCGTGTGTCAGACGTCAGTCAGTGGGGAGGAGCCCTACACCACAGAGCGGCTGTCCGCAGTCAGGGCGGGGTACCGGCAACTTGCTCCACCAAAAGTAGCTCTGAAAGTCAACTTCTGTGATCCACAGGTAAATATGTCGGGTGTTTTCTCGTGCCTTTGAGGGGCGGTCGGGTAGCCTAGTGGTTAAAGCGTTCGCTCGTCACGCCGAAGACCCTGGTTCGATTTCCGACATGGGTACAATGTGTGAAGCCCATTTCTGGTGTCCCCCGCCGTGATATTACTGGAATATTGCTAAAAGCGGCGTAAAACCATACTCACTCACTCACTCACTTGTGCCTTTGAGGAATTAATGATGTATGGATGGTGGGGTAGCCTAGTGGTCACTCGGCATGTCGGCTCCCCACTTGGGCACAATGACAGAAGCCTATTCCTGGTGTCCTCCTACTGTGATGTTGCTGGAATATTGCCACATAAAAACCAAGTTTACTCTCTTGTTCATGTTAATGTACGAGTATTGAAGCAGTGCTATCACTGCCGTTAAGTCACTGTGAAAAGCTTGTACATTTCTCATGATGCATATGGTAATAGCAGTTCCCTCGCTTGTTGGTCTTTATTTGTCTCATCTCTGCAATGGGCTTGTGAAGATCTGGGTTGGAATAGGTCTTCAGCATCCTATGCTTGCCGTAAAAGGCAACTATGATTGTTGTAAGAGGCGACTAACAGGATTGGGTGGTCAGTCTGGGTTGATTCATGTCATTGTATCCCACTTGCGTAGATCGATGCTCATAATGTCAATCACTGGATTGTCTGGTCCAGATTCGATTACAGACTGCCGCCATATAGCTGGAATATTACTGAGTGTGGCGTTAAACAGAAAACAAACACACAAAATTCTGCAATGTGTTTCTGCCACTCTTCAGTGAACCCCCTAATGACCTTTATTGGTTGATACTGAAGGTCAAGATCGCTATTTGGGGATAAAAACCCTTGATTACAATCACAGTGTTACTTTTTGGTAGGATTTATGGTATGCTCGATATCTAAGGTACAGTTCCATCTTGTAAGTGCAATGCTTACATTTAACGAAAATGCTAAAGGAATATGGCCATCTTCCTTCCAGGAAGTTGCAGCACTGTATGATGGTCTCGACATGATGGAGGAGCTGCATATCAACCAAGGAGGCAAGTTAGATGCTGTTGCCATGTGGTTTGACCTTGACCTTGACAAGAATGTAACCATAACGACGGCTCCACACATTGCCAACTGCTGGGACCAGGCTGTGTTCCCCGTCCTTGCCTCCCACTTCAGACACGTACAGCAAGACGAAGGTACAACTCAAACAAACATACTTGTCCTCCCACTTCAGACACATACAGCAAGACGAAGGTACAACTCAGACAAACATACTTGTCCTCCCACTTCAGACACGTACAGCAAGCTGAAGGTACAAGTCAAACAAACATACTTGTCCTCCCACTTCAGACACGTACAGCAAGACGAAGGTACAACTCAAACAAACATACTTGTCCTCCCACTTCAGACACGTAAAGCAAGACGAAGGTACAACTCAAACAAACATACTTGTCCTCCCACTTCAGACACGTAAAGCAAGACGAAGGTACAACTCAAACAAACATACTTGTCCTCCCACTTCAGACACGTAAAGCAAGACTAAGGTACAACTCAAACAAACATACTTGTCCTCCCACTTCAGACACGTACAGCAAGACGAAGGTACAACTCAAACAAACATACTTGTCCTCACGCTTCATTGACTCAGCAGCAGTTCCTAACATTATTGTTCAACCAAAGCTTATTATACTGGATGTTTTTGTCTGTATAGATCTGTTGCTCGGAGGGTGTGTTCCAAATCAGTTTGGCCTTGTGTTCACATTTCTGTATGATTCTGTAGGATATGTCCAGTTCTGAACAGAGAGACCTTTGTGAGTTGCCCTACATGTCTTGGTTGATTTGTTAATTATACCCTCGACCTTTTAGGTCGGGGGTATATAGTTATACCAAGGTTTCATCTGTCCGTCCGAAAACTTTGTCTGCGCCATTTCTTTTAAACTATTCAGTGGATTCAACTCAAACTTAGTACATATAATCTGTGTCATATGTTATTAATTTTCCATTTTTTTATGAATTTTTCAAACCCTAACCCTATCCATTATTTAATTCGAAATTACTGACACACGAGGCGGGTCAGGGGTATTAGTGAGCCACGCTCACTTTTGCCCTTGTTAAGTAAATTTTTCCTGTTGATTCAAAATGGATTTTTAGAAAGTTGCAATATTGTGGGAAGTGGAAAGGGTATATATATATAGGAATGGGTGGTGTCCATCTGTCTGTCACGTTTTGTTTCCGGAGCACAACACAAAAACCATGAGAGATATCTTAACCAAACTAAGCACATAGATAGTTCTTGTGGTGAACTGGTGCCTTTTGATAGTTTGTAATTTATTTTTTTTTTTATATTTCGAGTTTCCATGGCTCCACACAACCTGACACGTCATATTGGCAGGGGATATGGGTATATCATGCTTGTTAAACAAAATTGCTTTGGTCCATGTACTGTGTCATTTGTATTTTAAGATGTGCGTGAAAACTTCGCAGTGAAAGAAGGCGACACAGTGAGTGTGAACTGTTCTTTGCAAAATGACTGTTTCCGGGTGCTTTGTCGAAAAGTGACAAGAGCTCACAGCCCTTCCAGGTCCGATGATAAGAAACATTTCCGTAAACGGGACGATGATAGTCGAGTGTATTCTCTGTCCCATTGTGAAATCTCCCGGCTGAATGACATCACGCTGAACAGACATTACCTGCAAGCCCTGGAAGCCACGAGACAGAAAATACCTCGGTCAACGTCGCTACTAGATCTTTCCGATGGGCTGTCTCCCCTTGGACTGCAGGCGGCTCTGATTGGCTACAGTGACATAACAATGACAACTGCGTCGGAGGAGACAAGGGAAATATTGTGTCATATTGCAGACATTAATAGCATAACAAGGGAGAGGCTTTGTTTTATTCAAGCGAAGGAGATACTCGACATGGATATGGAGTTTGATACAATTGTTGTTGAACTGTTGGAGTCCAGTGGAGTCTTCAGACAGCAGATACTTGAGGACTTGGCGCTTACACGGTAAATGTTCACTTGGAGAAAGTAAAGCACCATGTGTTGTCACCAAGACTTTCAATATTGAATATATATATAGTGTTTAACCCACGATCCGATTTGTATCCCAATAAGTACTTTTGATCACAAGTTGATATCTTTCTTTTTGCAAGTTAATCACAACCTTGTATTATTTGTTTTTAGATTAATGAGATCAAAAACAGCATATTGTGTACATGTGACAGCTTCACAATTGTGCAAATCGTCGAGGGGGTTCGACCTGTCACGGAAAACACGTTCTCGCTTACATACTTTTTTGGCAATCTCGTCCGTGTTTAGATTGATCGCCATCTTTATCGCTTGCGTAAATATTTACACCACCCCAAGACAACAAGTAGAGTTTATGCCAATTTTACACGGACGGAATATTACACTAGCTTTGTGAAACGCCCCTAGTTCAGTATTTCCGAGTTACGCCAGTTTTACACGCACGTAAGACTCACTACTGCTTTGTGAAACAGATAGGCAATAGGGCATGTGAACATGTAATGATACAATACTGTATCACTGTATCGATACACCGCTAATAAGGATAGAGAAGAAGTGTTTATTTCAATTTATTATCAGGAGAGCACATCAGCTTTTAAGGACTATGTCAGGACATTTTCTGACACCATTACTCCTGAAGGAGGGATTGTTCATTAACCATGACAAATGCTTTTCCAAATTTTATTTACATGTACACCTTGTATCTTGAATTACATTCCCCCTGTACATGTGGTATGATCCAGTGTGAACATTTGCTGTTTTAGACTGACTTCCATGACTGGCGGGGGCGTTGTGTTGCCAGGGAAACTGACGGTGATGGGAATGTGTGTCGAGTCCGAGGACTTGGCGAAGTCCAGTTTTGTAGTGACCAGTGAATACACTTTGGGCTATCAGATAGCGGACTTTATCCGAGACTTCCAGGTAGTGATATTTTACATAATGGATGCCTTTATCAGTGCTCTGACGACAATCATTTACATAGTGCAGAGAATCCTTGATCTGTGCTCTCATGTCAATCATTTACATAGTGCAGAGAAGCCTTGATCTGTGCTCTCATGTCAATCATTTATATAGTGCAGGGATACCTTTATCAGTGCTGTCAAATCAATCCTTTACATAGTTCAGGGAATCTTTATCAGTGCTGTCATGTCAATCATTTACAATGAGCAGGGATACCTTTATCAGTGCTCTTTTGTCAATCATGTTTTGTCATTTGATGTCATATGTTTTGCAGATAGAATTGTATGTATAGAATTTAGTGTTTAGTTTTACGTCTTAGTATTTATACAGGAAATATTTCAATAGCAATGCTGATTGCATCTTTGTCAAGTGGCCATTTCTGTTGACATATTACACTGTTGACTACATATCCAGGTGAGCTACAGTGCCTTGGCCCTGTTCTGAAGTAACAAAATCTGTAATGAATGATTGTTTTCGCCACAATCAATCAGTAACAAATAACAACTGAAAAGAATCAGTTTTCACCAGTCAATCAGTAACAAATAACTACTGATATGTTCACTCAATATTATTATTAAGATGAAGCGCAGGTATGTTTGCAGCTGATCAATATCTTTTCAGGCAACAACTCATCCAGACATCGACCTTCACACCCTCACATACAAGAAACTGTGCGAGCCGTTTGAACTGTTTCAACTGGACTTCAATGAAGACAGATCTGATTCCGATCTCCCATCATTCCTTCAACAGGAAAAGGAAGTGAGTGTGTTTGTGACAGACACTGGGTGCGTCCATGCAGTGGTGTACTGGTTTGAGGTGCAGGTGATGGACGACATCCGATTCAGCACATTGGATCCAAGTCTTCACTGGAGACAAGCAGCCAAGATGATGGGCGGACAGGTGGTTGTGTCGGCTGGCCAGACACAGACATTCAAACTGCTGCTGAAAAACAGCTGTATTGATGTTAAGCCAGCTAACTGAGACAGCTGTATTGATGTTAAACCAGTTTCATGAGACACAGCAGCTACAAAGGGACTGTTATGACATGAGACAGCTGTATTGATGTTAAACCAGTTTCATGAGACGGCTGTATTGATGTTAAGCCAGCTAACTGAGACAGCTGTATTGATGTTAAACCACAGTAGCTACAAAGGGACTGTTATGACATGAGGAACCCTGCTAGAGGTTTCAGGTCTAGTTATAGAATGTTTGGTCAGATTTAGTGGACTGAAAAATTGTTAATTTCATACAGTGTTGGCACAGTGTATGAAGGATTCTGGTGATAAAGGCTATAGTGAAACTCAAGAAAAACATGTTAGAGATTCAGATGAAAGGTCTGTTGTGAACCAGGAACACACATTTTATTTTTGACCCCAGCACTAGTCACAAATCCACAACTTCCACTTGATCAACTTCCTGTAAGAAGTGACGTTATGGTTCAGGAAGACTTGAATCACGGTAATTGAATATTCATTCATGACTACATCATTACGTGTACGTCGAGATGCATCAGGTAGTGAGATATTCATTCATGACTACATCATTACGTGTATGTCGAGATGCATCAGGTAGTGAGATATTCATTCATGACTACATCATTATGTGTACGTCGAGATGCATCACGTAGTGAGATATTTATGCATGACCACATCATTATGTGTACGTCGAGATGCATCACATAGTGAGATATTCATTCATGACCACATCATTACGTGTACGTCGAGATGCATCACGTAGTGAGATATTCATGCATGACCACATAATTACGTGTACGTCGAGATGCATCACGTAGTGAGATATTCATGCATGACCACATTACGTGTACGTCGAGATGCATCACGTAGTGAGATATTCATGCATGACCACATCATTACATGTATGTCGAGATGCATCACGTAGTGAGATATTCAGGCATGACCACATCATAACATTGTACCCATGAAGATCCGGGTTAGAATAGGTCTTCAGCAACCCATGCTTGTAGTAAGGGGCGACTAACATGATCAGGTGTTCAGGATTGCTGACTTGGTTGATCCATGTAATCATATCCCAATTGTGTAGATCAATGCTCATGATGTCAATCACTTGATTGTTTGGTCCAGACTCCATTATTTACAGACCGCGGTCATATAGCAGGAATATTGCCGAGTGTGGCGTTTCACAATAACCAAACAAATCATTATGTTGAGATGCATCACAAGTTGACAGATACGACACACCAATCAACAATAAATAAATAGTATTATTTAACAATACATCACCTATGGGTGGTGTAGGATCTTCAAAACAACCAAATGTTTACATATTTGTTTATTCATATATGTGTATATTATTACATATTTACAGTTTCTTGTAAAAAGGTGTGGAAACAATAGCACATCTTCAGTGATGGGAGACATTCCGTATTTACAAGATTATATCACGTTGGGAAACCGTAATAAGTGTGTGAAACCTATGTTCTGTTCATGTTTATTCTAGGATTAAACTTGTTACAGTTGTTCAATATGTGTACTATCATTTCCAACAACTACATGGTTAGGCTAAAAAAAATGATAGTCTTGGTTCTCAGGCACCGCATGCATCATCATAAAGTCTGCTGCACTTTTCGGTTTTATTTCCACTTTCAAAACAAATTACAAAAATCCTAATACTTGAAAACAATGCAATCCAATATAGCACGCATTTACTTCCCTTTACATGGCTACTGCTTTACTGCACATGTTGTCATGGTCGTGGGGCAATAAGAGTTTGTATGCTTCTTTATGTAGGGAGGTCCTTTCCCAGGTTGATGGTACACAACTGTTTGTTTGGTTACATACTAGTTTGAGTAAGCAACAAAGAAAAAAATCCACCACCCACCCCAACTCTATTTTCAAAAGTCATTGCCTGAGAACCAATTCTTGTATTCAGAATCAGTGTCTGGTGCACCAACATCAACTGACAACATGGTCAACACACTGTCTTGATATTTTGTCTATCCACAGTTACAGACTGGACCATACATTTAATATCAATAGGGTATTCTTGTGTTAGCTGGTTACCTCAGTCAGGTCTTTCATTGGCATGCTTGAAATTGATGACAGCTTTCACAGAAGTTTCTATTTCACATTTCAATGCACAATCAAGCACATTATTTAAACTTTATGTTGACGTGTCTGTGCATCACAATACTAGTTCAACACTGTCATGTTGGAATGTGGAAAAAGATCTGAGTTAAGCTCTCTTTAAGGACGTATGGATAAATTGCACACAACTCCAAGCACTCCATCATTATTGCACAGGTCAAAGGATCAGTGCGCACACAATTCTCAACTCCCTGGGGAGTATACAATCAAAGTTACCTGTAAGGAACCAGAAGGTTACCATTACATTAACATCTCATCCTACTGGGTACCCATTCACTCATGGATGAACAGAGGCGTATTTCAAACAGTCACTTGCCCAATGAGAAGCCCCGTGTGGGGTAGGACTGAAGCCGAAGAAACTCTCAGGGACCAAGTTTCCAAGGACTCACTGTAACCAATGGTGCTTAACTTCACCTGATTTCTGAACTGTGTGCTTTACACAGGACCATGTACAACCACATTCAGTAACTTATTTCCCTCATTTGTGAATATGCAGTGGCATTCCATTGATGACATAGCAAATACACCATGTAGCTAAGTTTCAAAGCAGTGACATTCCATTCATGACATACAGAGCAAATAAGTCACAAAGAGATGCAGTGACATTGTTTAATCATGTTAAAGGATGTTGAAGCAATACTCCCATTCACTTTATATGGGAACAAAATATGGGAACTAATTCACTTTTTGTTTGATACATGATGTTAATAATAGCTTATCAGATGCAGCACTTCATTTAGACTTTAAATATGTTGTTAAAGGACACTGGATACAAAACAGCTGCGAAACACAGTTGCGCAGTTAACACAAAATCATACCAGCAGACATTGTTTATCATGTGACAATCTTGCACTCCTGTGCTACAGCATCTTCCCAAGGCAAGAATGTCCACTAGCCTAGTTTCTACCCTTGCCACCTCAAATAGATAGGCAGTGGTAAATCACTTTCGTACAAATATGTACCATTGAATTGATTTTGTGAAACGTTCTCTGATTGGACTATCAATATGTGCGATAGTCCAATCATATGTAGCACAGGAAAGTGTGTTTGATGTGGAAACAAGACTTTGATAAAAAGGCCAGTGGGTGCTTTTGCCTCAGGAAGATGGTGCAACAGGGATATGTATTATTGCGCATTGTTACAGCCCTATGACATGGAATTAAATAATCCTGGAATTACAAATTATATTTTTGAATCTTTTCTTTTTTGTACAGCCTTTTAACCCCTGGAGGTTTTTGATTCATATCTGAATTAAATGTCAACATAAGTAATAAAATATACATGTATTTTCAAAAATATTAACTTTAAATGTTTAATCACAAAACCAAGTAAAAGCAACTCACAGTATGAACACCAAGTCATGAAGTATATATACAAGACATATGGTGGATGAGATCAATAATTAACAGTAATATCACAGACTTTGAGCAATGAATGATCTTCCTATAGCTATATTTCAGAAAGGAAATCAATCGTTTCTGAAACACTTTCTCCCGAGTAATGATGCATATTACTGTACTAAGGTGTACACACTGACAGGAATCTAATATGTGCCTTTTATGATGTTGTCACATTGTTACCTTGTCTTTCATCAGTAAAGTACACATAAATCTGAAATTTAAGATTCACTTGTCACATGAAAAGAGTTTGAGGGGTAATTCCATGTACAGTCAAGTCTCGTTAATCCGACAATTGGCTTTATCCAACACTAATGATTGGAACCGATTAAATCAATGCTATTTAGACCCGTTAATCTCGCACACCGACTCCGACACACCTAATTTGCAATGAATTACCGAAATCACACATTAATCAGTCTCGTTAATCCAACACAGTGATCATTGTGCTCCGTGGTTATCTGCCCGCGAGTACACAGCCAGTGTTTTGATGCGAGACGAGTCGGCTGGTAGCTGCATATTACAAAGCTGCAGAGATAAACTTTGCTTAACATAAACAAATAATGCTTTAAATAAAGAAAACAGGATTAATCACATGCTTAGATTACATCAGTCTCATTAAAATCAGATACAAGTTCTCGCTATTGCCGAGGACATCCCATTACAGGTCACGTCAGAAGAACCTTTCACTAACTATGACCGACGAATGTTGGTACTACTTAATTTCGTTTATCTGACATACTCATTTACCCGACATAATCATATGCAACCAGCCATGTCGGATTAACGGGACTTGACTGTATGTGGAAATGGGAAACAAACAACATACTTCTCTTGGCCTTGTTCCTCAAACCAATCTTGATGCTATGACTTTGTAAGTCCAGATGTTAGGTATGGGAGTCCACAGCGACATGACACCCCAGAGTGATTGACAACACCAAGCACTTGTAAACATGGCAAGCAATGGAAACATAATATTATACAATTTCAAAGGTGGGATAGATTAGTCCACAGTATGCTAATTTGCATGCGTACTGAAATAATTGTACATGGACAATATCTTGGTTGATTTGTGTAGAAACACCACACATTCATGCATGATTTTGTTTTTTGACATTAGAGCACATGGTATTGATGGAATGATAAAACAACATGATACTTCTGGACAAGGCACTCTACCTCCTTCAGTCTTTGTATTTTGACTGATAGTATCTCATACATTCTGGCTATTTAAGGAAAATATCTAGACTCTTGCTATTGATATTTGCCTGCAAATCCTTCATATTTCTTCATAATTCATCACTACTAGATTAAGTATTACCCAGGCAATCTTAATCCACTGATTTACCTTAATAATTACAATGAAGATAGCAGTTTCCAGGGTATACAAAAAACACTGCATTCTGAAAGTCAACCCATAATTTACATATCACTGATACAGTCTGTACCCACTTGCCCACACTTGATTTCATTAGTACTCCGTGTATCGGTTAGCTTGGAATATGTTGAATATCAAATTGAATTCATGGCATTTGACATGATAAAATAGGTACCTTGAGTTGAAACAAAAGGGTTTTTTTCACAACTTTCATATCCATATTTACATTTAGTTACAATACATGTACATTGTAATATAAGGTGTTTTCAGCATTTTATAAAGTGTCATGTCGACTTCACAAATACACATTGCTACACATTTTCTGTCCTTCCTGTATCCGGTCGAGTAGGAGGAGGACTTCCTGTTTGTGAAATGTCTTTATCAATGGAAATATCCACCTCTTCATCCTTTGTGTTTTGTGTTTGTTGTAACTGTGGTCCCTCTTGTGGGGCACCCGCCTCCTGATCTGAAGCAGGAATGTCATCACTGACTGCATCCTCACCGGACAAATCTACTAAAGGGGGATCACTCTGTACAGCTATTCCCGACTCAGTCACTGGATGCACTGTCACAGTCTCTGTCTCAACTTTCCCTTTCACACTCTTGCCGACTTTGTTTAAGCTGGACATGGACCCAGCGGCAGCAAGACTTTGGTCCTGGTAATCTCTACCAGCAGCTGCCTCAACACTCGTGCTGAAGTCAACATAGTTGTTCATACTGGCTGTCGCTGATTGATTCACGAAGGAATCGTGGGTCTGGTCCACTGACGACCCATCCCAGTCAGTGGCAACAGATTCGATGAAGTCATCACTGACGACTATAGGAGGTGTGTTAAGTTTGGTCCCCCTTGTTTCATCATTAATTGATGTGGCGCAGTTACTGGGGCCGTTTAGTAGTGGCGTCCTCTCCCCACGTTTATCGTCTTTCCTCCTCACCAATCTCCTCGTTAAACCTTTTCCTGGTAAGTGAAGAGTAAACATATAATATAATGGCTGCAGGCAAAAATATCGATGTCTGCTAAAAGAAATGAAAGTCCATAATGCTAAGTTGGAGGCTCCAGCTAGGTTTCTTCCTGGCCCTCATAAGGACTTAATGTGTGAAACTTAGTGAAAACATTGATCATCAATTAATGAAGCCTTTTTACATCAATCGCCTGTTAACTCCATTCTATGATGAAAGTAGAATTATCTATTTTCAACAGAGCAAAAACTTGCAGAGGCTAGACCTTTTTTAAAACTTGGTTTTCAAATCCACTGACTCAAAAAAACTGAAATGTGTGAAAGAAATTGTTACAAATGAAAAGCAGTGGGTTTTTTTATATAACGTCCTCACCCCACCCCACCCCACCCCCTCCTCGATATTTTGCAAACAATCTGTCCCCATCCCCCACACCCAAATATCTGCCCAGAAGGAACATTTGCATTTCATGTTAGGAATCACTTTCTTCTCTTTCAACAGTACAGAAGCATGGATGGTAAGATTGATGCAGTGGAACTGACCAACGTAGCGCGCGTGTTCGATGACATCGTCCCTGACGTCACGTACGTCCCACATGGACAGAAAGGAGGAACAGCAGTTACTCTGGTCGGCCTCCTCGTCCATGTACGGTTTGTGTGAGAAGGAGAAGTAGTGAGCCACTGCGGCAAAAAACATCTCGATGCAGATACAGAAATCCTGAAACAAAGTAAAACAAACAAGCATGAAATACTCATATCCCCGCCAATATTATGTCCGGTTGTGTGCAAGATAAGAAGCATTGTACTGTTTTCAAGATCTGCTCGGGAAACAAGCATTACCACCATTTTCAGTCAAAGTCAAATTTGTTGCTATGAAAACTAAAAAAATACATTTTTCAAAAATCCCAAACTATCAAAAGGTACCAGTTCACCAATAGACCTGTGTATGTGCCAAGTTTGGTTTAGATATCTCTCATGGTTTTTGAGTTCTGCTCTGGAAACAAAACGTGATGGACGGACAGCACCCATTTCACTTCGTGGCGGGGGATAATAAGTTGGAATCTGGTCAACATTTTAAGCCTCAATCAACATGTCACTGCCAGGGACTTCTGGTACATAATTTCTTTACACACCACAATTGATGGAACTATTGTTGGCATCAAAAAAACATTATCACTAAATACAAGTAAAAACATTTTGTTCATATTTACAGAATTATTTCTATTTCATAAAATGGTCATCCCTGTCAGTAGCCACCTGTAATCCCGTTGCTTCCTCCTTTACTGAATTGTAGAACAACCATGGCCCATTCTGTGGAATAACTCCAAGCTTAGCCAGAGCTGCGATCACTACGGACTGCCTGTAACAAGACCAACAGTGACATTACAACCCATTGTTACTCACAATCATCAGAATCAAAACACATACTAGAATACCAGCATAAAACCTAACATTTTTAGTCCCACTAGTCCTTATAATGATAACATACAGCAAAACCCTAAAAAAGCCAAATTTCTACTTGTCCTTATGATACCTTAACTATTGGGCAGTTTGGCAAGGACTAGAGGACTAGTGCCAACTTCTAAAGGTGAAGACCATCCTCCATCTTGTCCTGAGTTGATATCATCCCTGACGTAATTGAAGAAACGAATCAAGAATAAAACATATCATTGCATTGTTTAAATTTACCAAGTTTAACCTTTGTGCATCAGTAGCTATTTACAACTGCCTGCTCAGGACACACTCAACCATGATTACCTTCACTCATTCCCATACTCTACATCTTCTCCATCACATCCACAACTCAACATCTGATATTCTCTTCTACTCATCTTCAACTCAACTAATAATGTAAACAAACATGTCCGACAAGGACCATAGTAATCACAGCTTTCAAGAGCTTCGATACCATAGCCCTTACTGCTGTATATCCTTCCTGAATAACCGACCCGTGAATATCCGGGGTACATTACGTCTTCAGCAACCCATGCCTGCCGTAGAAGGCGACTATGCTTGTAGTAAGAGGTGACTAACGGGATCAGGTGGTCAGGCTCGCTGAGTTGGTTGAAGCATGTCATCGATTCCAATTGTGTGGATCGATGCTCATGATGTCGATCGCTGGATTGGCTGGTCCAGACTTGATTATTTACAGACCACCGTTAAATAGCAGGAATATTGCTGAGTGCGGCGTAAAACAACAAACGAACAAACCAATCCTGAATATTATCATCATTAGGAATAAGCTTGTTTGAACTGAAAGCGTTTGGTCAGGAAATGATTGATACTAGTCTAAGATTTTCTGTTTATCTCTGTATACAGGTGGTGTATTAAGCAACTACATCCCTCGAAGCTTGGGATTTCTGTGTGACTAGTCTGAGAGTTTACATTAAGCTGCCTTTCACTGATTTCACAATAGATGACAACAGATGACATTTACCAAAAGGATAAGAAGACCACAGCCTTGACACACAGGAACTTGGGTAGGGGCTTGATTGGAGCTAGTTCTTCCTTGGCAGATTTGTAGAACAGGATCAGGCAATACATGGCCCACTAAAAAATACAAAACTGCTATTTGGATTTCCTGGACTTCTTGTTGCTAAGACAGCTAAACTATACCTTTCTTTCATCTCCTGGTTCGTAACAATTGTTCATTGCCTTATTTAAACTATTCATTCACATTATCCTCAGTTAATAAGATGACAAAATAATAACACAGATGAGATACTAGTGAACTGTTCTTCTCCTGAATCCACATGGGGAATCCCCATAGTCAGTGTTAATAAACATTCACATGAACTTCATTTACCATAAGCCAAAACACTCCAAAAATCTCTGACATGTGTGAATCCTTATTAAGAGAACACATACTTACATAGACTAATACTTAGTCAATGAAAACATTTCTTTAAAATGAACTTTCCTCTTTTGCTATGGAATCAAGGAAACTAGACTTGGTTTAGTTTGATCTAGATTTGCCTAGGCTTTTAGTAAAATAAAATAGCTATAACTATATAAAATCCACAGTCGCAGGACTAATACTTACAATCTGTGAGATGTTGTTGACAATGACAAGATAGGACCAGGCAGTGGTGAAGTTGAAGTCCCCTTCATCATACTTTCCACCGAGTTCACACAGTCTGCACAAGGAAATAACTTCATCACATTCCTTGTCAAAACATATACACAGCCTTAGAAAAAACAATTAAGACTAGTCCAGAGGATTAGTGGAAAACTTATTTCACTGGGCGTAAAGACTCTGTAGTTAGTCTGCTCAAACTAGACCGAGATATTTACCATGTTAACAGTTTCTATCAGTATCTTTCAGTTCTAATTTGTAGCAAAATTGAAGCCTTGAACAGTGGTTCAGAATAATAGCTCTCAAATACTCCTGGTCAATGAGGACTACCATCATAGAATTTTCACTTGTCCTCATCACAATTTAGCAGCCTTGGGCTTGCAGGCTAGCATGAATTTTAAAGGTTGAAAACAAATATCCTATATACAAGTAGGGCTATTTATTTGTTTTTATTTTGTTTTTATTAAATTTCAATTAAATTAACATTTTGTATCACAAAGCACCCATGCTGTAGGTGGGCATATTCTTGTGTTGTTGTAGTGACGTATACATGTACTCACAAAGCAATAACTGTTGTAGCCGGTCTCACTATTGTGTACTGCAGCACCCCATGCTTACATCTCTGCAGAAACAATCTGTTGAAGATAAAGAATCTTTTATTTCATACACAGCTACCACCACAGCCTTTGACTTATCATAACTGCAGTTCCAACTGTGACATTCCTACTGATGTATAAAGGCTTATCCAAGGGACCTAGGGCCTGCTAATTTTCTGAACAACAGTCCTACTCTTAAACATGTTTCATAAAATATAATAGGAATTACAATTGGAATTGCTATGATTACTGAAATCAGTACTTAACCATGTTAACCATTAGAAATCTTGCACTTCTAAGATCTGGAAAGATTGACAAAGTAGTCATTCCCTGAGACAGGGCACCTACTGGATCATCAGGGAAAAGACATTTAGCTTAGCAGAGCACCACTCTCTTTCACTGCAGAGAAGCGTGTCACTCGGGCACCATCTTGTCCCTGAAGCTAATGTTATACAAGGCTTTTACAGCCACATGTTGTATTATTGGGAACATGCAAATTGAATGGAAAACATCCGCAAAGATAGTAATAATTGTGCATATTATGGCATACAACAGCCAGGAAGTAAATTGCAGATTTGATATGGACAGGTTGGATTTTTTATTGGCTGGCCGACATGATCTGAATGGATGAATCTGAAGGAACCGTCACTGCTGTACTTACTTGCCCATCGGCCATGGTGGGAGAAGACAGAATGGGATCATGTGTTTGACCTGGGCCTTATTCTCCAGTTCGATATCCAGATGTGGATGTTCTTGATGAAGGTAGTTCATGAGGTAGCGCATGAAGTTGTAGATGACATATGCCTCGTAGCATTCTCGCACTGTGTCAAGGTAAATAGCAGCCCTTGGGAATCTGAGAGCTAACCACTGAAATTAATAAAATAAATATTTTATTAATTAATGATTTAATGAGCATTGATATTTTACAAAAGCGCCTGTAATCACAACAATTAATTTAAATGCTAGCAACCAAAATAAAGTTAATAAAATAATTGACCAGTACTGGCTGTTCCAATTAACATTTCATTGAGAAAAAACGTGATACGGCACACCTGGAATATCGTTAATAAGGAGAATTGTGATACCTGCCCATTAGAACTAATATCCTATATTTGAGGTCGTCAATGTCAGTAACCCAAAACATAGTGTCATGTAGCTTATCTTTCTTCATATTGGCAATATTATGGATAACAACTTTATGAGAGAAATGAAAGGATAAATTGTTTGTTTATTTGTTTGCTGCTTGACACCTCACTCAGCAATATTTCAGCTATATGATAGCAGAGACCAGCGACCTGTAAATAATTGAGTCTGGACCAAACATTCCAGTGATTGATATTGTGAGCAACGTTCCACATTGTTGGGTGTACATTGACATGCAATCAACCAAATCAAGGATCTTACCACCCAATCAAGCAATTCACATCTTATAGTTATAACCAGCATAGGTTGCTGGCAATCTGTTATTACCAAAATCACCATGGGTTAGACAGATGGATGACGAACAATGTGCCATGTCATAAGTTCACATGAACCTTCAGTTCAAGTGACCCAATACAAAAAAAATACACTCACAGCATTAAGAGCATAAATTGGAACCATCCACAAAATTCTGAAAAAAAAGAAATGTACCAGTCATTCACATTCATAATCAAGTTAAGAATAATTAATACTTTCATAATGTAAAAATATATCTAAATACACAGTCTTGGTCTTAACTTTTCCGTATAATATCAGGGTTTGAAGTTAATAGACCACTTGGGTACTTTAGGTTTGCGCCTATAGTTTTTTTAAATCTCAACTTAAAGAACCCCCCCTCCCCCAATTTTAAACTTTTAAAGTTTAATGACAGACACCTTGACTTCCATACTCAACTTTGAAATTTGAAAATAGGTCCAAGCTGTTTTCTATCATGAAACAAACATTTATAAACAATATTGATAATGTAAACTCTATGACAGATATCCAAATAACACAACTTAACAGGGAATTCTTAGTACCTATTAAGTGGAAAGATTTAAAATGGACAGGTGTGACCTTCTGTCCATGACCTAATCTCCAAGCAAGGGGAACTTTTCCATGCTCTACTTTCCTGAGATTGAAAGTACTGAACTAATATTTCAAACGTACTTGAGCAAATAGTAACAAGGAAACTGACAGTGACTTTATCCATGTTTTGCAAGAGTGACTATGAGCAATGATGATCAGCGTAATTCTGTAGATCCAACAGTAACATAGAACTTAACAATCGTGACAATTCAGAGCAGCAGAATAATGAGACATACCTTATAATGTTTCTCTGCAACAGTGGTTGTGTACAATATACCAGGTGTTGTACAATTCCCCACAAAGAAATTGGCAGCGACATCATAACAAAGAGTCCACCCACAAACCAGGCTTGAACGTGAACCTCCTTTTTCCTCTTATTTAATTCCCATATGCATAAAGGTAATGCTATTGTCAATAACAGTATGTAGACAAGCATAACCAAAGGCCGGATCCATCGCCTCCATCGATTAAAACAATCCATGGTGCTTCTTCAACTCGGAAAACCCACCGCTTCACGTTAAATCTTATTATTTCGAATAGCAGCCGACATTTTGCTGTCATGTGATCGCACCTGCGTAAATTTGCAACATCCGGTTCCAATAAACTACTGTATGGTAAACTTATTGCATTAATATATGTTTTGTGTTCTTTTTCCCATCGATATCAATTGATTCTGTTCACATTGCAGAATACATAAATATGTACTGTTCTGTTTAGTTACGTAAAAAGGATTCTTGGTGAAAATAAGGACGGGTGACATAGGTCTTATACAAATGTGTTAAAAGTAGTTAATGAGTTGTTATACCATTCCGATATAAATCTGACGAGAGTAATCACTTCCGTGTTGTTGACAGTGCGTCATATGTTTTGTGCAACAGTTTTGTGATAGTTAGTCAGAACTTACATCGGATGATATAGAACATCTGAGGATTCAGTCCAAAGGTAACACGGGTAGATTTGAAGGTAATGAAGGGTACTTGTCAGTTTGCTTGAATGTCATAAACATATTGTTTAATGTTACCTGATAACTTGTACACAACTAGGCCTAAATCGAACTCTGTGATTGATGAAAATCAGAGCCAGAGTGTAAAGTGCCATAAGACATCTTTAGGGTCAAGTGAAATACTGTTCGAAATATCAGTTACTTTTCTTTTCAAATTCCTTCTATTCATGAAATTCTGTCAAATTGTGATATCAAGATTGTGTAATTATGAAAGCATTCTTATTTTACGACTCCTTTAAATGAAAAGTTGATAAAGTGCTACATTTTATTTGTTTGTTTGTTTGTTTGTTTGTTTAACACTGCACTCAGCAATCTTCCAGTGATCTGTAAATAATCGAGTCTGGACCAGACAATCCAGTGATAGACATCATGAGCATCGATCCACGCAATTGGGACCGATGACATGCATCAACCAAGTCAGCGAGCCTGACCACACAATCTTGTTCGTCGCCTCTTACGACAAGCATAGTCACCTTTTACGGCAAGCATGGGTTGCTGAAGACCTATTCTACCCCGAATCTTCACCGGCCCGTAATGACTGTAAATTGTACATAGCCTACAACCAACCGGGACATAGGAATAGAATGAACTGAAAGATAAAAGCAGCCAACAATTTATACCATGCTGCTATGGATGACTGGAAATTGGAAATCCAGGTCTTGTCAGTCCGATATGAGAAGTAAGATAAAACAGGCATTGTGGGTAGAAGCCGGAAAAATCCTAACAGGTGAAAACTGTTTAAAACAAAGAAAATTGCAAAACACTGGCACAAAACAAAGCGCTTTGCATAGACACGAAAATAAAGACTATTCTACTACACAGTATGTGGCAAAACAACTGCTGTTGTGGATCTTAATTAGGCATTGTCAGTATGATATGCTCGGCTGACAGGTGAGAATTGAATACCTTCAAGGCTGCAGGCGACACACAGAAAACTGTAATTTTCTGAAGACATCCAAACCCCAAATGAGATGTGAACTATCGTGTTAATATTTTGCTATGACAGGATACTGACAGCAGCGATGACACCCATGTTTGGTTTTTCCAAATTTACGCAATTATATTGACTTCCATAATGATTAAGGGTGTGCAGTAATACCGGTATATAGGTCAGTTAACTTCTTTGATGGGTCAGTTAAGGTTCATTCTTTCCACGATACGTATCACAACATAGTTTTTTCATGCTTGGTATATCGGGTGATTTCAAATAGTGATTTGTATGATCGCATTGATGTTTAATGTTATAGCATGCACCTGGAGCATATTTATTGAATGAGTAAACATTATGTTGTACCAGCATCTTGTTTTGTTCCATTTATGAACTTCAATTCATACACTGGTGTTTCAAATTACTTCTGAATTCCAAAATTTAGATTTATACAATAGATTGTGATACGTGTCACAATACAGCCGTGTGCATATGGTGATACACTGTTAACCTCAAATACCCATCCCTAAATTAATAAGCCAATATTGGATCAAGTGTAGGATTAGAAAACTGTTTGAAAGAAATATACAAGCAGTTTTACAGTTATGCAATCACTTAAAATTGATGTTCCCAAAATGTTGGCATGTCTTCACTTGCAAACAGTGAACATCACCAATGGGTAACTCTGGTACCTGTCATAACAACTTGTGCTTTAACCAGCTGACACATCACACTGAAACATAGTCCTGTCTACAAAGAGTCATCAAGAATAAACAGTCATGTTCATGTTGTAGGCATTATAGAATGTCAAAGTAATATCTTGCCTTGTATTATTATTTTGATGTGCATAGCATTTTACTTTTCTTTGAATTTTCAGATTCAACATGGCATGTGCCCCAGTCCCAAGAGAACAAGGAGCAAGGCCACGCCCCCCTCGGCCACCTCCACCCAATTTAACTTCAGCCGAGAGAAGTACATTTTCTCATTTCAAGAAGCTTTTTAGTAAAGCTCACCAGCATGTGGATGAAGCCCTGTCCCTGGATGAGGGAGGGAGAGACTTGGATGCCAAGGAGGAGTATCTACAGGCGCTGCACCTCATTGACCAAGCAATGGCTATGGATTGTGAAAACCTTAATTTTACAGCTGATGATACAAATGCAGCCAAACTAATGCAGCAAAAAATGACAAAAACCAAACTTCAAATTGAGTACAGAATACAGTCCATAGAGAGTGAAGAAGCTGCTGCTCGGGCCTATCCGGATGTGGAGGAACGAACCAGGCAGGACTCTCCCCCTTCATACAACGAGGCCATGTCCGCCGGTGTGTCCAGTCCCGTCATGGCCCCTGGGGACGCCATGATGATGAGTTTGGGGGACAGTATCATGAATGATGAGAGACAGAATGGGGATCTCACACAACATGCAGATGCAGTCAGAACATTTGAGATCGCAGATGGCGTGCAGATATTTTTCATAACACCTCAAGGTTACGTGAGCGCTCCATCGTATCCCAGTTCCTTGTCGGTGTTTAAGTTCAGGGATGAGCAGAGCGGAAGTACCCAGAGGCCACCGACGTTTATGCAGGTGAATGACTGGGTGTATCCACTGATTCCGGGGACGTCGCCGTCACTGAGGACCACGTACGGGGCCTACATGTTCCCCGACACATCGTCTGATGTCCCAGGTGTGTCAGTCTGATTCTTTATACAGTTAGTTTGGTCATCAGGACCAGTGTTCAAAATTAAGCATGAAAATCAAGGGGACTTCTTGGATGGGATTTGTACCTCAGACTAACCTCAGTGAATATGTATTGATTATTCAATGTTGCTATGGCAATAATTTATCAGGTGTATCAGTCTATTTTTGGACTGAAAGGGAAAGAATCCTTACTTTGCTTTATGATTGTATTTACTCTTGGATTCTGTCCACTACTTTTATAAAAGATGTTCTGATAATATGACATTATGGCTAATTTTGCCATTATATTATGTCTACAGTAAAATCAAATCCAGCTTAAAATTAGCACCGTGTTATCACATCTTCCCTAGGCAAAGGAGTTAACTGACTATAAAGCTTTGAGGCTGGAATTATTGAGTTATATTTTGGCAGGACTAACGAGTCTATGCATTGTCCAATCAAAATCACGTAACAAAATCAACATTTGGTTTATGACCATCATTTCAAATTTCGGTCGACTACTGGATTTGCAGAGCATGTGTACCGTCAACTGGGTGACAACAGATATAGTCCGATTCTTTTTATGTTTTTAATCAAGGTGCTTAAATAATTTGATGCACTTCGCAAGATAAGACCCTCTTTGTTTCAATATAGATCTTGATTATTAATCAGATCGTCTAGACTGGGTGCCGCCATTTTGTTTGAAGCAAATGGAAATGATTTGAGAGATGGGATCTGATTGGTCAATAGGAGGGACATAACTCATAATAGCCGCTGGTGGTGCTACAATCGGGCCCATAAATTCCAGCCGAGTTCGGCAAGGGTGGAAACTTTACAGTCAGTTAACTCCCTTGCCTCAGAAAGATGGTGTTATTATGATTATTTAGAAAATATCCATAAATTTGATCTTATTATCCTCGAATAAATGTGCTGGGTTGTTGGTACAACTATTCATTGTAGAAGATAATTTATGTATCGGAGACATGATAATATTTACTTACTCTTTAAACATTGACTCTTCAGGAGCTGCAGTGGGGTTGATGTTGCCAGACACAATGGATGCTGAGGAGAGACAGAAGTTTGAACACCTTCTCCGATCATTGACAGTGATGGAGGACCAAGTTGTCATTTCCCCAGAGGGAATTCCTTCAGAGCCAGCACCAGCCTACCCTCAAGTACCTCACGCTGAGCCAGCACCTGCCTACCCTCACATGTCCCGTGTGGAACCAGCGCCTGTCACCTACCCACAGCTCCCAAGCGCACCAATGGAGCAGGTTCCAAGTGCACCAGTTGAGCAGAGGGAGGGAGCTCCTCAGTCTGGCGAAGGTGAAGGTCACAGGGAGGGTGTGCAGTCAGACACAACCTCCGGGAAAATCTCAAAGGGAATTCTTGTAGGTGAGAAGTTGACGTGTGCATTTTGTCACTTTTCGAATATTGTTGCTGAACCATAGCACTCACCAGTTAGTACTCATCTTCCCAAGACAAGGGGCGTTAACTGACTTTAAATGTCAAGTTTCCACCCTTGCCGAATTTGGCTGAAATTATGGAATTAGTTTTTGGCTGGACTAACGAGTCTATGCATAGTCCAATCAAAATCGACATCCGGTTCGTAAACTGACATGCCGATATTTTCCAAATCTTGTCATGTTTTTAATCAAGGTGCTCGCTGGGGGTGCTACATGAGCCCAGACATTCCAGCCTAGTTCAGCAAGGGTGGAAAATGGACTTTTACAGTCAGTTTACCCCCTTGCCTCGGGAAGATGGTTAGTCCTTGGCTTTAGATCGGCACAATGTGTGGGGGATTCTGGGGGAACCCCATGCTTACCCCAGGTAACAAACGCTTTCTTTTTCATGCGAATTGTGGGAGTGGCAGGTGCTAGCGGTAGAGCAGGACATGCTTACCCTTTGTGTGAACGCCTGGTGTTATCAATGGTATACAGTGATCTGTACATAGCATTTTCAATTCCATTTTGCCTTTCATGCCCAATGGAATCTGTTTCAGCAGATAATCCAGAATGATTAATCTCTGACGTTGACACTTTATATTGATATTATCAGAGCTAAGGAAGAAGCTTCGGTGTGAACTGCTGATTGTATGTCATCATATCCTGACAGCGTGAATAATTGCAATCTCATTAAAATCAGATCTTTGTTCTCACCACCGCTAAACAAAGATCTGAGGACATCCCATTACGGGTCATGTCAGACCGACCTTCCGCGAACTTTGACTGACCAATGGAATGACCAATCAGAAGGCAGCTTTCTCGTGCGTTACGGCACTAATTTCAAATTGACGCCTACGCTTCGAAACAAATTTTGACAAATTCTTGTTTACAAATTTGAAACCTGAACAAAAGAACATTCTGGAATGGCTAATAGATAGTCTAGATTGTATGGATTCAGTAGTTAAACCCGTAACTATCATTCGCAATACCCCGTGTTAAAGTTTTCAAGGATGCATGAGTAGAAATCACATTCCGACTGTCACTTTCATAATCTGGTAAGTGACACTCTGATTGGTCGGATGAAAGGTCGTTCTGACGTGACCCCTAATGGGATGTCATTAGATCTTTGTTTAGCGGTAGCGAGAACTAAGGTCTGATTTAATGAGATTGGAATAATTGCTCATGCTTGGTAAAGTCTCAATTATTTACAAGCTGCTGCAATGTAGTTGGAATAATACTGATTGGCATTAAAGATGTCTCATAGTCAGTGACATACACACATTGTTTAAAATATTATTATGCCTCAAAGTGAGATTGACCGATGAGAGAGCAGAACTACTGACCCCACATGAGCCCGTATACCGTCAGTAAAAATCCAAGATGGTTAATACTGACCTGATATGAGACCATATTCCGTCAGTAACCACCATTTTGGATTTTCCAACACACACCTTACATATTTCACAGTAAAACTCTGGTACAGAAAGTCATTATTTGACACTGTTTTGTGTTTTACTATCATTAATTGTGATGTGCAAGGACATTAATCTGTCTTTTAGATCACGTTCGTGACTTTATTGACAAAGATTATAAATAAAATTTTCAACTCGGTTGGTCTCTAAGGTTTGAAGAGTGGTCTCCCTTTGACATCAGCAGTGTTGTAAGTGTCAAGTTTTCATTTTGACATGATGACACGCCTCGCCAAATATGTTTCTGCTAACCTAATATGACACCGTATACGGCAGCTAAGGACAGCATAGCTAATAATTTCAATCACTGGTTTGCATGGTCAGACTCTGGCAGCCGTGATATAGCTAAATATTGCTGACTGCGGCATAATATCAACACACAAGAAGTTGAAGTGATAGAGACTAGAGGTAATGTTTCCTTGTCTGCTGTTAGCGGCTGACTGGATCACGTGGGGCGTCGGCAAGGGGGCACAGAAGGCGGGGCAGCTGATCAGGTACGGGTCCGGCAAACTACAGCAGCAACTACGGCCAGAAGACAAACCACGCCCCATCGACCCTAAAGTACAGAAGGGAGCCAAATATGCAAGACAGGCCACAGATGTGGCAGTCAAAGTCAGCTCCTTTGTAGGTATGTGTCTGCATTGTAGGTCTGTACAGACATTTGTGTGTTAAGCGCTGGTTAAGGTCCAGGTATATATATGATCTTATTTCACAAGGCTGGTATGTGGTCATATTTCATAAGGCTTACATGTGATGGTATTCCACAAGGCTTATGTGTGATGGTATTCCACAAGGTTTACATGTGTGATGGTATTCCACAAGGCTAATGTGTGATGGTATTCCACAAAGCTTACATGTGTGATGGTATTCCACAAAGCTTATGTGTGATGGTATTCCACAAAGCTTACATGTGTGATGGTATTCCACAAGGCTTACATGTGTGATGGTACTCCACAAAGCTTACATGTGTGATGGTATTCCACAAGGCTTACATATGTGATGGTATTCCACAAGGCTTATGTGTGATGGTATTCCACAAGGCTTACATGTGTGATGGTATTCCACAAGGCTTACATGTGTGATGGTATTCCACAAGGCTTACATGTGTGATGGTACTCCACAAAGCTTACATGTGTGATGGTATTCCACAAGGCTTACATATGTGATGGTACTCCACAAGGCTTACATGTGTGATGGTATTCCACAAAGCTTACATGTGTGATGGTATTCCACAAGGCTTACATGTGTGATGGTATTCCACAAGGCTTATGTGTGTGATGGTATTCCACAAAGCTTACATGTGTGATGGTATTCCACAAGGCTTACATGTGTGATGGTATTCCACAAGGCTTACATGTGTGATGGTATTCCACAAGGCTTACATGTGTGATGGTATTCCACAAGGCTTACATATGTGATGGTATTCCACAAGGCTTACATGTGTGATGGTACTCCACAAGGCTTACATGTGTGATGGTATTCCACAAGGCTTACATGTGTGATGGTATTCAACAAGGCTTACATGTGTGATGGTATTCCACAAGGCTATGGTTGAAATATTGCTAAAAGCAGCATAAAGCCCAACTCACTCACTCACTCACTCACTCACTCACTCACTCACCCACCCACCCACCCACCCACTCACCCACCCACCCACCCACCCACCCACTCACTCACTCACTCACTCACTCACTCACTCACTCACTCACTCACTCACTCACTCACTCACTCACTCACTCACCCACCCACTCACTCACTCACTCACTCACTCCACCGTGTGCATCTACAATTGGGGTCTAAGTGAGACAAGGTGACAACACTCAGCTCATTTCGGTAGTGTCCTCATTGCTACACATAGATAAGGCTGCCAACCCGCTTTGGGTGCATGGGATTCAGGGATCTTTTTAGAGGATATTCAGAACTTGGCAGTGTGCTACATGGGACGCAAATAATATACTTGGTACTAAGATTCAACATTTTAGAGAAAATATCAGTACATTGTACAAATTCCTTTATATATTCTATATTTTCAGTTAATTTACTTCAAATCGTACCCATTTATGACATAGGAACGTGTTCTATGAGTTTTTGTCTCTGATCGACATTCTGCCTTTGTTGGGTGAATTCTGAATTACTTTTGAGATTTGTGTTACGTAGTGTTTGGGATTAAGGGGTGTGCAAATGAAACTCAAAATTAGATGGTATTCAGTTTTCAGGGGATGGGGGTTGGCACCAGAAACTAATCATTGATCACTACTAATGTTTTATTTTCAGTGGGCAAGTTAGCTGATGCTACTGCAGCACTGGGGAGACAGGTGGCGCCCCACATCCGTAAACAAGGGGAGAAGATACTGCCGCAGGTGTTTAAACCTTCAAAAGATGGACACTCCAAATTTGATGGAGTGCTGGAGGTGGCAGCTAGTGGACTTAAAGGTAAGTTCAGGGATAACGTGTGGTGCCAACTCTAATGTGTTCTTCCATGTTTATATTAGGAATGTGAATATTAGAATTTTGTGCTTCTTTTTGTTTGTTTGTTGTTTAACACTGCCCTCAGCAATATTCCAGCTATATGACGGCGGTCTGTAAATAATTTGAGTCTGGACCAGACAATCCAGTGATTGACATCATGAGCATCGATCCATGCAATTGGGATACGATGGCATGCATCAACCAAGTCAGTCATCCTGACCACCCGATCCCGTTAGTCTCCTCTTACGACAAGCATAGTCGCCTTTTACGGCAAGCATGGGTTGCTGAAGACCTATTCTACCCCGGATCTTCACGGGTCGATATGCTTCTAAACCAGCAGTATATGTTACCACAGGTTTCATACTTCTCTAGGCTATTCATAACTTTCTTTAATATTTAAAAAAACCATGAACAAATCTTGAGTTGTTTACTTGGATGATCAACACATGAGGGGAGCCTGTTCAACAGTTATGGAACATTCTGAGTTATGTGTTTTAAGAATTATTTGGTCACCGAATATGCTTCACTTCCAATGGTGCTAAGGCTAAGGTGTAGACATAGTATCCATCATAGCTGCCCCATGTGGGGCTGTAGGACTTTTCATTCAAATCTTTGACTTCATTGCGAGGAAAAAGGTATTAAGTTGGAGTAAAATCCTGATTGAATGAGATTGTACAATTTACTCATGGAAAAATTGTTGTTTGAATGAGTTGAGAAATAGTATGTTTGTAAGCTCCATACTTACAGCTGACTCTGATTGTAGAAACCAACACAAGTTGGGCTATAGAAGTTGGAGAATAGTATCTTCATTTTTCTTCTGTGAACTCAATGTCTTCTGAAATAAGTTTCAGTGAACTATATCTGATCCATGAAATATTTCTGTTCTGTGTACAGTGACATTATGTTTCAGGGTTTGGGACCGTCTACATGGGGCTGGAGACTTCAGCGAAGGCCCTGGCGAAGAGTCTGGCAAATGAAACAGTTGGCATCGTCAACCACAAGTAGGTAGTCTGACAGTGATACCATCTTTTTGAATAACCATGCTGTAGCTTTCAGATTCATTCTGGGGAATGTGGTGATACCAGTTCATGCTGTGTTCCAGCTGCAGGCAGGAGGTTTGGGCAAACATCTTCAATATTCACTGACTCGTATACACCACGTCCCTACCACACCCATAGACACAGACAGCCACTATTTATAGCCAGTACATGAAACCAGACAGACCCGTGAAGATTCCTGGGTAGAATAGGTCTTCAGCCACCCATGCTTGCCGTAAAAGGTGACTATGCTTGTCGTAAAAGGCGACTAACGGGATCGGGTGGTCAGGCTCGCTGACTTGGTTGATGCATGTCATCGATCCCAATTGCGTGGATCGATGCTCATGATAATAATCACTGGATTGTCTGGTCCAGACTCAATTATTTACAGATCACTGTCATATAGCTGGAATATTGCTGAGTACGGCGTTAAACAACAAACAAACCAACCAACCAACATGAAAGCACAGCCTGGTGAATAAAGCCTCTTCCTGGAGAGTGGAAGGTCAAATCCTGGCCACATCATACTAAAAGATGTTAAAAGATGGTACTTGTTGCTACCCTGCCTGGCACTTGGCATTAAGGTGCTAAAACAAGGACTGGTTGACTTGGCGTCAGTATACTGTGTCTGAGTGGGGTATCCATCATAAGATCGGATATGGTATCTACCACTATAAAACCGGCATTAGTCCCGACATCACTTTTTCAGTGCAATAATCTTGAACTCCATTTCACCTCACCTGCTAAAAAAATATAAACTAGCCAATTCTCAGACCAATGAGTGCTTAGATTACATCTCGTGAACGGCAATATTTCTCATTCAACTTGTATCACCGCTTGAGGGCAGCCATCTGCTCTACCCTGCTCTGCAGATCCAATATCAGGCAATGATGGGATTCGCAATTATATAGAAGGATCATTTGACTTCCGGTAGATATTAACGACTTCATGATAATTTCATTAGCTGACTAAAACTAGACACACATCACTGTTACAGTGCAGGAGACAGTAGGGTATACAAGCATTGGCAAACTGCTGCAGCCATGATTTGATTCAACAATGTTAATAATACTGTGTGTAGTTATGTACAGCACCTCCATACGCTCGGTGCATGCTCAAAGCGCTAACATTATTACCCCGGTCATTGGATCAGTGTGCAGTCGATTTTCATTCTCAACTCCCTGGGGAGTATACAACCCAAGCTGCCTTGTCAGGTGCTAGAAGGTTAACAGTCGCATTTCCATTTCTTCCCACCGGGTACCCCTTTACAGCATGGTGAATAGAGGCACATTTCGAACAAAGTTACTTGCACCATGTACTTCAGTGTGGGGCAGGACCGAACCCCTTGAAACTCTCAGAAGTAATGCTGCCCAGTGCTTGACATGTTTAATCTGTGTGAAATATATTCTGATGTGTTTCCTTGCGTAATTGTTCCTTGTATTTGAGTTGGAAGTGAAGTGTATTTTGAATGATGCTAGCTGTGTTTGTTCTTATGACTTACAGGTATGGCGATGAAGCGGGGAAATTCACTGAAAACACTCTCTATTCTGTGGGAAACGTTGCCATGACAGCCTACAACGCAGACAACCTCGGCATCAAGGCTATCACGAAGCGTGCAGCAAAGGATGCTGGGAAGGCCGTGTTACACGACATGCAGGATGAGCGGGCAAAGAAGCAACAGACTGACAGATGTGATCTGAACGGGGAGAAACATCCCTGTCCCTCACACGAAAAACCCCCACAGTGAAACATGGTGTATGACAGGTTCACTGAAACTGTAATTTATGTTTGAAAGGGTTCCAACAATACAGAGAACTCTGGCTAAACCGGCATCACAAGGAAATAACGGTTTCGACAGAGTGACATTTTTTGCAGAGAATGCTGATAAGAGACAAGACAACATTTTTTCATGTCGTCATATGTACATGTACTTTATTCACAGATCATGTAACAATAAATCTCATTGTAAAGCGGGCACTCAGTTTGAAATTGGTTAACTCAGTTGCTGTTGATCGCCTACTCTTAGTTGATTAAGCTTTTGTTTATGGCTTACAGTTTAGTGATTGTTCATTGCAAATTACGGAGGGGCGTTTTCAATGGTATTGGCTATTGGGACTGTGTCACAACCCATTATAGACAAAGACCGGACTTTATTGATATTATTAAATAGAGAATCTCACCCGAGTGTCTTTTGATATCAAATATATCAACACGAGTTGATGAAAGTGGAAAAATTCTGAGGCTTGCCGAGGATTTTTGCCACTTTTATCAACGAGTGTTGATATATTTGATATCTAAAGACACTCGGGTGAGATTTTATTTATCATCCAACATCATTCTTCCAACTTTTACAATTTGTAGACAGTAATTAGCAGTGACTTCAGTGTAAAAAGTACTGCTAACAGTTTCGGTAGCAGAGCCATTAGTGATGTCATTTGATTGTGACGTCATGGTAACCAGTGACGTAACAATGGTCTGCAAAGCATTGTGATGTAATTTCATTGCAGCGATATCTACAGTGTAGATATCGCTTAATCTCATCCTAGCGATATCTCCTGTGGGAGCCAGTTTTGGATGATAAATGACATTATCAATACACTCTGCCAAGACTAAAATATAATGCCAGTTCGTACAGTGCCAGATTAGACAAAAGCCGGTTTTGACAGAGTCCACTGTACTGTATTTGTATTTGAAAGGGTTTCAACAATACTCTCTGTTGAGGTGAGTATTACAGCTGGGTATTTATGTACTAGTCATTTGGGCTACTGACTACTTTGACACTGCAAGATATTAGGATATTTAAAAGCCTTTCTAATACCATAAGTATATAGACATTTTACTGTGAAATGCTTGACTATCATCTTGAAATGTATTTTAAAATGTTGAAATACAATGTTCACTGGTAAGGCATACTAGACTTGCATGACTTGTTACTTCAGGTACTACATGTAGTCTTCTATTATAGGGGGCGCTGCCGCAAGTGGCAATCATCTTTTTGTGTTATGTGTTGATTCTTCTTCAATCTCATTAAAATCAGATCTAAGTTCTCGCTGCTGCTAAACAAAGATCTGAGGACATTCCATTACAGTACATGTCAAAACGACCTTTCGAGAACTTTGACCGACCACTGAAATGACTAAGAAGAGGTCGACATCAGCCAATTAGAAAGCAGCTTTCTCAAGCTTGACGGTACTCATTTCAAGCTGGCGACTTCCATTTCAGACTACCCTTGAAAAAATATGTTGACACAGTTCTCGATTAAAATTTTGAAAACTGAACAAACGAACAATCTGGAATGCCTAATATATTGTTGAGATTGTATGACAGTGCTTCCCACATACTTTGCAACGCTTCCTCTGTCAAATGTTTATCCCATGGAAGCGAAAGATAGTCTATAATTTTGACAGAATCGGTCGTAGGGTCTGTAACTGTTGTTCGGAATACACTGTGTTAACGTTTTCAAGATTGCATGATTAGAAAACACATTCTGACTGTCGTTTTCATGATCTGGTAAGCGACGCTTTGATTGGTCGGATGAAAGGTCGTTCTGACGTGACCCGTAATGGGATGTCCTCAGATCTTTGTTTAGCGATAGCAAGAACTGAGATCTGATTTTAATGAGATGGGCCTTGAGTCAAAGGTGAAATGTTTCATTCGCAAGAACTGATCACTTTATACATGGATATGCTGCTAGTCACGGGATATGTAATTTTCTGTGATCAAAGACTCATGAATGTTCTTTATCATGATGAAAAGAAACAACTGCAAGTACAAAGGGGAAGGTGAAGCCACGCCCTTTGTACTTGCAGCTATACTTTTAAATCCAATATTGTTCTGTCCCTTCTTTGTACCTCATAGTATAGCAACCAATGGACAAATTGACTTTGAGTTCATATACTATTTATAAAAGTTGTTGATTTTAAGATATATGTCTTTGTTAGGAATTTGTACAAGGTGTAGAACAAATGTGAGTGAGTGACTATTGTTGAACTTCAGTCAGAAATATTTAATCTGCATGATGGCAGCCGTGACCAGGTAAATCAGTGGGTAAGAGCATGAGCACCCAACCTGAAGTCACCGAACCTGGCATGGCATACTTTTGATAGTTCTTCTCCGGGATCCAACCGGGATCAGTAAATGCAAGATTGAATTGGAGAGCAATTGGAGTTAAAATGAATAAGATCAAAGATTGTACATTTTGAGTTACATCAAAATGTGACAATTATCTACAAATAAAATAATTATGTAATCAATCAAAACCTGTGTATGTTGTCCTAATGGACGCACTTGTTTTTTTCTTTCTGTGGGTCACATCACCTAGATCAAAGTTTGTCTGTAGGAAGTGGAGTATTTCAATTACATCAAGACATGTAATAATCAACTATTTTGGAGAATAACTGTTTTATCTCCTCACAAGTTGTATTCATCTCCTGAGGTAATGGAAAGAAACTTCCTCCTGAAATGGCATGTGACATATGTGTTAAATTGATTTGTTTATTTCATGCTTATTACATGTTACCTCATTTTGTTATGTTGAAATGAAAATAAAACTCCTAACAGCTATATGGTCATTTTTTATGTGTCATAGGCAACAAATGCCTTATGACAAGTACTTTTTGGAGTCTGTTTTAATATGAAAGCTCAAACACTCCACTACATTATGGGAGCACGGGTGGCCCAGTTGTCTAAGGCGCCGCGATTCGCTGTGCAGAGTTGCGTCTCTTGGGCTCGCCAGAAACCTATGATTGTGGGTTCAAATCCCGGTTCGCCCCAATTATGTTTCTAGGTTTGTCAGCACCATACCTGTGCTCGTGGGTTTCACCGAAGTGGTAAACGTCTGAGAACTGCATCAATTCAGGCTTTGCCCCCACATTAAGCTGACACGCCGTGATATAACTGGAATAATGATAAAAGTGGCGCTAAACTCAAATCACTCACTCACACCACTACATTATGCTGCCAACAGATTCTGCAAGAAGATTGTGGAGTTCTGGTAAAAGTGAGGGACATCAAACTGAGTCAGACAAAACAGTTGAGTTTGATAGCATGGACAGCAATCCAAGCCGTCAAAATATGACACATTCTTCTACAAAATTGGCACAAGTTTCTGTAGATTTTGATGTTTTAATATACAGCTCCACCTTTTTTGTTTTTCCTTGATACACAAAATTACTACTCATAATGCCAAGTGTATACCTGATTATATCTATCCAGGGTTCTCTCTAGGAATGTTCTGACATGGGTCATTAATGTGAAAATTTCAAATATTCCAGAGTGCACCCACACTTGCCCATACAGCACAATGTTAAAATGCCCCATGGTATTTGAAAATGTGAGGGGTATGAGGGGACATCTTGAAAACTGATTTGACAAGGTCACACAGTGGGACCACAAGATCCTGTTTGAAATCAGATCCTACAAGCACAGCATTCTGGAATCATGTTGACCAGAAAGCCCACATTGACTGTGGTTCCGTGAAGATCTGGGGTAGAACAGGTCTTCAGCAACCCATGCTTGCCGTAAAAGGCAACTATGCTTGTCGTAAGAGGCGACTAACGGGATCGTGTGGTCAGACTCGCTGACTTGGTTGATACATGTCATTGATCTAAATTGCGTGGATTGATGCTCATGTTGCCACTCACTGGATTGTCTGGTCCAGACTTGATTACTTGCAGACCACCGTCATACAGCTGGAATATTGCCGAGTGCGGCGTTAAACAACAAACAAAACATTGACCGTGACCAGTACCACATAAAGATTGATCCATCACAAGTACCATTGTAACATATTGATATTACTGATGACAAAAAAAATGCCTTCAGGAGTAAAATCTAGAATGTACATATCAGTACATACTGTTAATTTCTAACACTGATGCACCAATTCTAAACATTCAATAATTTCTTCAGTGGCAGATTATCAATATGTTTGTTATTGCAATAATTCAGATGTTTGATGACGTCCTGTACACAATGGAGTCAAACAGTGGTTGATGTATTGAGTATGTGACTTCATGTTTCCACCGAGAGATCACAAGTGTTAGATCCTATATATGCTCAAATATGTTATACAGTGATATTGCCATTAGATAAGGGATTGTCTGTTCAAAACTACCTTTAAGTCGGTCAGTGACAGCGAGACGAAATACTTTTACTTCCAAGTACAGGACATCAAGACGGACCACATTTCAACTTGACATATCTGAACTTGTCAATGAACCCAAGGTGATCAGGTGTTAATTGTCATTGATGAAATGGCTGATCATTCAGACGAGGATGTAAAGATGTGTCAAATATGTACTGATGTAAATTGTAACATTGCTGTAGAATGTCACACTAGGCATGAGTGAGCGAGTATGATTTTACACCCCTTTTAGCAATATTCCAGCAATATCATGGAGGGGGGACACCAGAAATGGGCTTCACACATTGTGCCAATGTCGGGAATCGAACCTGGGTCTTCGGCGTGACGAACTAACGCTTTAACCACTAGGCTACCCAACCGCCCCACACTAGGCATGAATTGAGTCAATAGTTAGAATGTGCTTTTCTTCATTTTGTTCACTGTAGGATAGGTTCCAAAACATTTTTTCCAAAGAATACACAAATGATTAGTTCTTGATTAAAGTATCAAAACCATCAGAAATCACACTTCTGTACTTATTCTAGATGCTCATGATAATAACCACTGGATTGTCTTGTCTAGACTCGAGTATTTACAGACAGCCGTCATGTTGCAGTAATATTGCTGAGTGCGGAGATAAACAACAAACCAACCAACAACCTACTAGGGAATTCCTAGGGTTTTCCACACAAATGTGAACATGGTGAAAGTAGTTAATTTTTACGTCCCATGAACATATCGTGAAAATGGGTCTTATGCAATTATGAGCATCAGCTTCATGGTATCTTGTCTGGTGGAAAAGATGAACATTGTGTAAAACACAGCAATATCCCATTCGGGTATGATTAAACACAACCAACCACTTCACCGACCCTCGCCCACCCTATCAAATGAATCATACCAATACCACAGTCGTTTGGTTACCCCTTCTAATCCCAAAGTCACCACTGGCTGAAATGAAGCCAGTGTTAACCACATATAAATGCTGCAAGGGCAATTATGATCCTTGATGGAAAGCATTGTGCAGGAATGAATATATCATGAAGAACAGTTGGAGAAAGTGGTGAAGGGATGAGGTTGACTGAGGCTTGATGAAGGTCAACGACAGTTCACAGTGGTTCAGGACAAAAACAGACTAAAATTGTTAACTTAAACAACATTTATTTTATACCTGTGAAAAACACAAGTTACAGTATCCATAGCTGTTAACTTTGCCAAATCATATTTAGTAGTTTGTTACATTCTTCTGGTCATAACAACAAAGCCTGACAATACATCCACAGTACAGCACAGAAATGCGATTCAAAAATCATTTTTGACCACAGAATCTTCCCAAATTACGAGTTGAATGTCTTGAGTGGACAGATGCAACACCAAAAAGCGTAGTGTAACGCTATAAAATTACTCTTTAACAGTGTTTAAAAATGAAGTCATTGTGATTTGTTTTGTCCACTGGAATACAATTTGAGTGAATTACAGAAGAAATTGCATTTTAGTTCGTAACAAACATACAAAACTTGGGACAGTAAGCAGCAATGAACATCTAAAATTGTTAAACATGATTGACAAAACACAAATTTCTTTCATTATCTAAAAGACATGGCCTTGATCAAAATAACTACATAAAAGTTCAATTTCCTCCACGAAGACGGAGCACAAGATGCAGAGTGGATTCTTTCTGAATGTTGTAGTCGGAGAGGGTGCGACCATCCTCAAGCTGCTTTCCTGCGAAGATCAATCTCTGCTGATCTGGAGGAATACCTTCCTTGTCCTGGATCTTGGCCTTCACATTTTCAATAGTGTCTGATGGCTCAACCTCAAGTGTGATGGTCTTGCCAGTGAGGGTCTTGACGAAGATCTGCATACCACCACGCAGACGCAGCACAAGATGCAGGGTGGATTCTTTCTGAATGTTGTAGTCGGAAAGGGTGCGACCATCCTCAAGCTGCTTTCCTGCGAAGATCAATCTCTGCTGGTCTGGAGGAATACCTTCCTTGTCCTGGATCTTGGCCTTCACATTTTCAATAGTGTCTGATGGCTCAACCTCAAGTGTGATGGTCTTGCCAGTGAGGGTCTTGACGAAGATCTGCATACCACCACGCAGACGGAGCACAAGATGCAGAGTGGATTCTTTCTGAATGTTGTAGTCGGAGAGGGTGCGACCATCCTCAAGCTGCTTTCCTGCGAAGATCAATCTCTGCTGATCTGGAGGAATACCTTCCTTGTCCTGGATCTTGGCCTTCACATTTTCAATAGTGTCTGATGGCTCAACCTCAAGTGTGATGGTCTTGCCAGTGAGGGTCTTGACGAAGATCTGCATACCACCACGCAGACGCAGCACAAGATGCAGAGTGGATTCTTTCTGAATGTTGTAGTCGGAGAGGGTGCGACCATCCTCAAGCTGCTTTCCTGCGAAGATCAATCTCTGCTGATCTGGAGGAATACCTTCCTTGTCCTGGATCTTGGCCTTCACATTTTCAATAGTGTCTGATGGCTCAACCTCAAGTGTGATGGTCTTGCCAGTGAGGGTCTTGACGAAGATCTGCATACCACCACGCAGACGGAGCACAAGATGCAGAGTGGATTCTTTCTGAATGTTGTAGTCGGAGAGGGTGCGACCATCCTCAAGCTGCTTTCCTGCGAAGATCAATCTCTGCTGATCTGGAGGAATACCTTCCTTGTCCTGGATCTTGGCCTTCACATTTTCAATAGTGTCTGATGGCTCAACCTCAAGTGTGATGGTCTTGCCAGTGAGGGTCTTGACGAAGATCTGCATACCACCACGCAGACGCAGCACAAGATGCAGAGTGGATTCTTTCTGAATGTTGTAGTCGGAGAGGGTGCGACCATCCTCAAGCTGCTTTCCTGCGAAGATCAATCTCTGCTGATCTGGAGGAATACCTTCCTTGTCCTGGATCTTGGCCTTCACATTTTCAATAGTGTCTGATGGCTCAACCTCAAGTGTGATGGTCTTGCCAGTGAGGGTCTTGACGAAGATCTGCATACCACCACGCAGACGGAGCACAAGATGCAGAGTGGATTCTTTCTGAATGTTGTAGTCGGAGAGGGTGCGACCATCCTCAAGCTGCTTTCCTGCGAAGATCAATCTCTGCTGATCTGGAGGAATACCTTCCTTGTCCTGGATCTTGGCCTTCACATTTTCAATAGTGTCTGATGGCTCAACCTCAAGTGTGATGGTCTTGCCAGTGAGGGTCTTGACGAAGATCTGCATACCACCACGCAGACGCAGCACAAGATGCAGAGTGGATTCTTTCTGAATGTTGTAGTCGGAGAGGGTGCGACCATCCTCAAGCTGCTTTCCTGCAAAGATCAATCTCTGCTGATCTGGAGGAATACCTTCCTTGTCCTGGATCTTGGCCTTCACATTTTCAATAGTGTCTGATGGCTCAACCTCAAGTGTGATGGTCTTGCCAGTGAGGGTCTTGACGAAGATCTGCATACCACCACGCAGACGGAGCACAAGATGCAGAGTGGATTCTTTCTGAATGTTGTAGTCGGAAAGGGTGCGACCATCCTCAAGCTGCTTTCCTGCGAAGATCAATCTCTGCTGATCTGGAGGAATACCTTCCTTGTCCTGGATCTTGGCCTTCACATTTTCAATAGTGTCTGATGGCTCAACCTCAAGTGTGATGGTCTTGCCAGTGAGGGTCTTGACGAAGATCTGCATACCACCACGCAGACGGAGCACAAGATGCAGAGTGGATTCTTTCTGAATGTTGTAGTCGGAGAGGGTGCGACCATCCTCAAGCTGCTTTCCTGCGAAGATCAATCTCTGCTGATCTGGAGGAATACCTTCCTTGTCCTGGATCTTGGCCTTCACATTTTCAATAGTGTCTGATGGCTCAACCTCAAGTGTGATGGTCTTGCCAGTGAGGGTCTTGACGAAGATCTGCATTTTCTGTAAACATAAAAAAAAGTTCCATTGAACAAAATTCACACAACCATACTACTCTACAAATATATAAAGTTGAACTTTGATGTTGTTTCAATGAAGGCTTGATTGAATATTCAGTTCTACCATTGTTCAACATGATTAAACAATAATAACCCTACCAAGCCTCAAAACTGATGTAAAACATTGAATGGGGTGAATGTTGGTATACTCAAGATACATTTACAGAGAAGGTGTTTTTAGCCAGTGGTTCATAACCTATATTTATTCAAAGATCAGCTTTTCACTGTCAGCATTTGCAAGGCGCAGAATTCGTTATTTTATTGCGGCTATTTTTGTTTGTTGTAAACAACTAAATCTCACCATGTTAATCAGTCAATAATTAATCAAACACTAGTAAAGGTTGTGAATCAATGACTGGTAGAACCCTTTCTTTGTGGCGAACTTTCCATATTGAAATGAACATGACAAAATGGCGGACGTTTCCTTTACTCGAACTTTCTATTTACATCTTAAAAATGGATTAAATTTGATTCTCTCATCTACCATTTCTTCTACGTACAGGTAGTACAATAAAATCTACTTCAAGATTGTAAGTAAAACTGCTAAAGCTACGCTTTGAGCCTGAAACAGTCCTCACCTCTTATTTTCGTTCTCGCTTCTCTTCTTGGCGTTTCTGAAATGACGTCAGGCGTTTGGCGACTTGCATTTATATGCGTCGTGACGTCATATCCTATTTTAGTAACCGATTCTGCGCAGTTCCCCTGTCGACAGCAAGCGAACGGAGTTCTATTTTTAAAGACACGACAGTTTCTAAAATAAGATTGTTTCGCGCAGCCTCGAGGCTGTGTACGCTTTTCCATTGTACGAGATTACCCATAAGCATTCGTCGCTATTTTATTACCCGTCTCTCGAAAGTTCTGTGTTATGTGGGTGTAGGTCTATATCATGACATTGCCTGTAAAAATAAATCATGAAGAACGAAGGCTTGTTTATTTGACTTTATTACATGATAAACATCTCAGCTCATCGTTTTCTTCTTAAATAACATCCACCTTGAAATTTAGTGGTGACATAATTTTAACAACAGCCAATAATATGCATGCCCAGAGCCCAAATACCGGTAACATATGGTCTCTGATATTACACATACTTAATACGGGCTATATCGTGCCTCATATATTACTTAATTTTGAATGGGATATTTGAAATAAAAATAGACAGTGTGGGCATCGGCTCTTCGTGTTATGCCTCAATCAAGAACGTACATATAGTATGTACTAGGGCTGGGACGAGTCCAAATTTACTACCCGGGTACCCACCCCGCTATTACCCTACCCGTACCCGCTGTAGGTCTCAGGAGATGTTTCAAAATGTCCGATTGGGATATTTTTTAGCATAGTGTACGTACGTCTGTGCCTCAAAGAACCGCAAACATTAGGTGTCATTAAATGAATTCGCTCTATTGGGGAGTTCATGTGAGTCAATTTGGACTCCCTTGTTAGATTTCATTATCTTTTGGCTTTGTTGGGTATGTGGGCATGGTGTATATTGCATCATTGATATATATATATATATATCAATGATGCAATATACACCATGCCCACATATATATATATATCTGGAGTATAGATCTATATAATTGTTGTCACTACGATTTTATTTGAGTTGGTGTTGTCCAGTAAGTAACCGGTATCTTAAAAGGCTAGACTTCGAACCTAAATCATTGACGAATACTGTTTTCACGCCCATGTAGGTTTGTGACATTTAGCCTGACGAAAGAAAAATATTAATATGCTTGGCTCCGTCTCTTCTTGTCGCATATATGAGCAAGTTGATGCCGCGCAAAGAGGGCCGTGAACCATCTTAAGAAAAGGAAGTACAGTTAACCAATAGAAACAGTCGTTACAAAATCATCGAAGGGATTACGTTCTCGGCCAATGAAAAGTCTCCACGTTAAAGCGTTGTCCGCGTGGTTGATCTGAGTGTATACTCGATCATTTGGTAGAGATATATTCACAAATTCCCCAAGTGTTCAGGTAAATAGTTATATGCACTCTGTATATTAAACGAACGATAACATCATCTATTGTAAAATATGATTTATGCTTTAAACATCAACAGAAAGTCGTATTTTTAGCAAATCGGCTCATTTTACCAACCGCGTTAGCTTGAGAAGTTCATTGATTTGCATGCATGAAGCCATTTTATCTTCTCATCCTTTTTATAATATTGAAATATCAGATCAGAAATGTATATTAATCATATCGCAATTTATCTTGTTGTTCAATTAGAAACCAATCCTTATCAATGCAGTCGTCGAATAATTTATCTCATTAAACTATCATTTCGTCATTTCATCAATGTCGAAACATTGATATCGTCGATCAAGGAGAACACATCCCCCCCCCCCCCCCCCCATAATCATTATCCTCGCAAAACATACGATCATTGCATGTTTTCACATAATTTCATTCTCCTTCGACGTGATATAAATATGGAATGTGGATTTCCAATGTTCCATCCATATGAATATTATGAATATGATATTGGTTAGTCAGTAATTTTTCTATTGTTTGAGAGAGAACATAGTCCCGGCAACATCAGTGACTGCACACTCGTTGTTAAGATTGTGTGAGCAAGCAAGATCATTGCAGTGGGAATAATTTCTGCATATCTTGCCGTGTTACAGCTGAAATGAACCCTGGGTATATATGAATGTATTCCCAATGTTACTACACCTACAATTGACCAAGAGCAGGGCAGGAGCCTATTTTGTACTGCTTAATGCCAAGTTTTCATCTCTTTGTACACATTGTTTTTTTCTGGCTGCTCCTGCTATAAATGAAGTGCCACTAGTTGAGCTTATAGATTTGCTGATGAAAATGATTTACGTATTTTTGTCATGGTTGCTAACATTGCAAATTAAGTAAGTGTGAGAGGTTTTGTTCAACATGCTTTATGCAACATCAATATTGGTCAAGTTACTCACAGGGTTCACACCATATGATTAGGGGTATTGCAAACGAATACAGCACTCAAGTTAAGCTAGTAACCCAATGATAGTATTGTCTTATAAACAAATATTTAGAAATAGGGTTACAAAGTTTAATATTTTTAGGGTTACAAATTAGTTTGGGTTGCACAACCCAAAACAGTGTATTAACTTAACCTGATGGAAACTCATAAAAAAACTTATTATCGTGAACCCATAGAGATCCTGATTGTGGTTGCCTTTTCAGTCAAATATGAAGTTGTTGCGCAGCCTATTGTTGGTGACATTGCTGGGGTTGTTGTTAATACAACTTGTCCACTGCGAGGAAGCTGTTGAGGACGAAGATGAAGAAGATGATGATGGAACTGTAGAAGAAGAAGATGATACTACAGAGGAACCAAGGGAAAAGGTATGTATTAATGACAGGATTGTAAGAATCATACAAGTTTTGATGTATACACTTTCCCATGAAGATCCCGGGTAGAATAGTCATTCAGCAACCCATGCTTGCCGTAAAAGGCGACTATGCTTGTTGTGAGAGGCGACTAACGGGATTGGGTGGTCAGACTCGCTGACTTGGTTGATGTATGTCATTGTATCCCAATTGAGTGGATCATTTCTCATGATGTCAATCACTGGATTGTCTAGTCCAGATTTGATTATTTTCAGACCGCTGTCATATATAGCTAGAATATTGCTGAGTGCAGCGTTAAACAACAAACAAACGAAACAAACATAGCTAGTGGTATGGAATACTAAGAATATTGACATTTTTTATTTGAACGTTTCTAAAAGAAATTCAAAACCTTTCATAAAAACTAAAGTACCAATAAGGAAGAGAATTTAAGGATGTCAACTTTATTATGATGAACACAACATTTCAGAGTATATGCTTACTCCTTCATCAGGTGAATGAATGCTATGAGGCAGAGAGCATATATATGTACAAGTAAGAACAACAAAAGTAATGAGATAACAAAAGGTGGAAACTTAACAAGGGAAGCCAACAGATAATTGACGCTGATAGGTGATTAGCAAAGACAATGAAAACCAACACTTTACAGTAATTACTGCTGATAGTTATGGACAACTGAAAGCCGGGACTTAAATTTTCACTGATTGGTAATTGGCATTGCTATTCATTCTTTTACCTATCATTGTCCCTTGCCAATTACCATTCAGAACCAATGCAATAAACCAGAAGTTGTTATCCATGATGTTCTGTGTTATCCTAAAATACAAGTTATCACTCATTACTTACAGACCATTGATGCAACATTATACAGGGATTTACCTAGTATTCTTTACTAAGTGCCTTGCTGGCAAATTGGGAAAGATCATTATTTTGTTCAAACTTGGAATATTTTTAGAAGTTCATATTTTCTTAAATTCAGTGGTATTCTGAGATTGCATTTAAAGGAATAATATAAAACAAAGCACTAAAACCTGTTCCTATTGTTGGTCTTGTTATCCGTGAATAGAGGTTACTTCTACAAAGCCACAAAATTAGTTATTAGTTGTTATATATACATTTGTATAACAGCATTGTCAGATGCCTCTGGGCAGGTCTAGATAAACCCCTGTGATAGTCCAGATATTGCAGACTATTAAGAACATTCAAAGCTGCGTAAAAGCTAGACAATTATGATCATTATCTGATTGTGTTGAGACAGATTTTCTGACTAGACTATTGCATTGCAACAAGGCCAGGATTGACTTCATATATTTTTTATTGATGTATGTTTTCAGCCTCACTACAAAAAACCAGAACTCAAAGGAAGTCAGTTCTTTGTTGAGCCCTTCGATAACAAAGCAGACTCTATGAAGAGGTAAGATTCAACAGCTGTCTTCATGTTGTAGTTGTTGATGTGGATGTTTTCAGACTTGTCGAATGTTGAAGAAAGATGAAGTAAAACAGTCTTTACTGATGTCAACTAGTTTTGGTAGGGAAACAGTGCAGAAGTAGATTGCTGCAGGAAAGGATTTGCCATTCAAAGAACACCTTTTGCCACAATTCTTTTACTTCTTGACCCTTTTTGACATTGTTTTAAGAGGTTTTATTTCAACACCTTCATTATGTCTCTTCCCCCTGCCCCCATTGATCTATATAGAGAATCTCACCTGAGTGTCTTTTGATATCAAATATATCAACACGAGTGGATTCAAGTGGAAACTCTAAGGCTTGCCGTGAAGTTTTTCCACTTTTATCTACGAGTGTTGATATATTTCTTATCAAAAGGCACTCAGGGGGGATTTTATTTATCATCCAACATCATTCTTCCAGCTTTTTTGGTTGGTAGACAGTAATAAGCAGTGTCTTTGTGTAAAAAGTACTGCTGACAGCTTCAGTAGCAGAACCATTAGTGATGTCATTTGATTGTGACGTCATGGTTACCATGATGTCACAATAGTTTGCAAAGCATTGTGATGCAATTTCACCGAAGCGATATCTCCTGTGGGAGCCAGTTTTGGATGATAAATTCATTTATCTCACTCTGTATATGCTGGATGTTTCTCATGTTGTATAATTGTTTCCCACAGTAATGTCCCAGATGGTTATAAGGAAAGTGTTTCATTTGGCAATCCTTCTGTTTCAGATGGGTTCCTTCTCAGGCCAAGAAGGGAGGAGTAGAGGAAGACCTTGCCAAGTATGATGGTGAGTAGACCCTGTCTGGCATGGTCAGTCAACCAAGGACAAAACTCTATGGCATGAAGGATTATGTTTGCAAAATGTGTGGCGTGAAGTATTGTTGAATGACAGTGATTAATGTTTCATTATATGTGTTTTTGATACATATTACCATGATTACTGTGGTTAGATATCCACTTATGACTTACAGTGTTCACCATTAGGTATGGATGTCAGGTTATCCTTGTCATTGTGTCCCTGGACTTGTGTACTAACGGAACAAACTTTAATTGTGATAACTAACATATTAGTGTATATTTGATGTTCCTAATGCTGTTTGTACAAGATGTCCTTTCCAGAGCAGATCTTGAAAAACATACAGTATTTCTTCACCTAACTTGGCACACAGATAGGTCTAGTTATGAACTGATGCCTATTGGCAGTTTGGGATCTTTTCGAGTTTCCATGGCAACAACTTTGACTTAGGCTGAAAATGGCAGTAGTCCTTGTTTCCGTAGCAGATCATAAAAACCATACAAAATTTCTTCACCTAGCGCACAGATAGTTCTAGTTGTGAACTGGTGCCTTTTGATAGTTTGGGATTTTCAACAACTTTGACTTTGACTGCAAATGTAAGTAATGCTGGTTAACGAAGCAGATCATGAAAACCGTACAGTATATGTTCACTAAACTGGTAGATAGGTCTAGTGGTGACCTGGTGCCTTTTGAATTTGTCCTCTTGTTATTCCCTCCCCTCACTTTTTTTCTTTCGGGCAGATAGTGTTGGCACCTAGACTGACTGTCTGTCCATCCATAATCAATTGTTTTCAGAGCACAACTTGAAAACCGTGTAATATGTTTCAACAAAACATGGCAGACACATCAAACAAATCCTGAAGTGGTGCTTTTATCTTTTCACCGATTTTTTTGTCATTTTTATTTTTCTCAATTTTCCAATTTGGAAACAATTTGTACTTAGTTTCGAAAGGGGGTGGTTTTCGTTTCCAGAGCCAACATTCAATATCTTTCAACAAAACTTGGCAATTATATCAAACAGATCCTGAAGTGGTGCATTTTGCTATTTGCGGATTTTTGGCATTTTTCTTTTTCTCGGTATCCATGGAATCAATTTAAACTTAGTCTCAAAACAAGGTGTGATTTCATTTCCGGAACACAACTCAGAAACCATTTAATATCTGTCAGCAGAACTTTTGTTTTCTCCATTCTTTAACAAAACATGCCAGGTATATCAATCATGTCGTGAAGTGATGCCTTTATTTTGAACTTTTTAAGGAATATTTTCCCTACACTTAGTCTGAAACGGTCTTGGTGTTTTTCGTGAGAGCACAAGTTCAAAGCCTTTATCTGTTTATATATCTTTATCAAGACTTTGAAATGTGTTTCTAACAAAATAAAGTTTTTTTGTTCGGGTTGTGTGATTTCCTTTTTTATGTTGTCAGTTTTCAGGAAGTATTAGCATAGGATAAACATCTAAAATGCTGAAAAATGGGAACTGGGTAATATGCCACTTTCTGATGACTATACATGTCTATACATGTACTACCTTTTCTTGTTCTTTGCACACCGCGTGCTCAACTCAGTACATGCATGTAACGGCTTCACATGGACATGTTAGAACATGAGCACGTTACAACTTGAATAATTTTGTTTTTCCAGGAAAATGGTCTTTTGAGGAGCCAAAGGAAAGTCCACTTATTGGGGATCTTGGTCTTATTCTCACTGTGAGTATTTACTGATTAAAGCTCACGAACAAATAAACACGAGTAAACATTTTATGAAAGATGTATAACCTTTCAAGTGAAGTCTGTTGTCTGAAACTCTGGTGTCCCCCGCCTGATTTTGCTGGAATAATGCTATTAGCGGTGTAAAACCCAACTCACTCACTGGTGTATGGTATTTACTGATAGTAGCAGAGAGCTGACTATTTGTTGGGATATCATTGAGGAACTAACTTGTCTCCTGTGAGGACAGGTTTGAGTTTTCAGCTGCATGATGAGGCAGCATAGTTGTTTTATCTGTGTGTTTTGGTCACAACAAAGATTTGATAAGAACTTAGAAATTAACTTAAAGTTTCAATAGGCCAAGCAGTGGTCAATTTTAACTGCTGACCCATTGGCCCATGGCAAGTTAAGATTACCCAAAGCAGCATAAAACGCTCGCTCGCTCGCTCACTCACTCACTCACTCACTCACTCACTCACTCACTCACTCACTCACTGAAACATACAGTAGATGGCCCATCTGGCTAGTCAAAATTTCACCCCTTCTCTCCACTTTGCAGTCTCCATCATTTAGTTGTAGGCCAGTTAGTTTGTAGAAGGGCCAGTAACTTTTGAAAGGAGCAAGCCCTGCTGGCTACATGCAAATTTGTTGTTAACTCTACCCATGTAATAACAAAATGTAAGTTGTCCTTTTCTTGGGGTCAACACAGTGCCACTGATGCTGCATCAAATCAAATAATTTATGAATGTAATACTGTAACCATGGTAACTACATCTTCCTGTAATCTTTTTTCCAGTCACGAGCCAAGCATCATGCTATTTCTGCCCATCTCAACAAACCATTTGTGTTTAGGGACAAGCCCCTAATAGCACAGTAAGTATATATACATATATGGGTCAAACTGCATGTACTTCTCCAGAGACCCGGGATGATCTGGGGTAGAATAGGTCTTCAGCAACCCATGCTTGCCGTAAAAGGCGACTAGGCTTGTCGTAAGAAAGGCGACTCACGGGATCGGTTGGTCAGACTCGCTGACTTGGTTGATGCCAGTCATCTTATTGTATCTAAATTGCGTAGATCAATGCTCATGATGTCAATCACTGGATTGTCAGGTCCAGACTCAAATAATTTACAGACCGCCATCACATAGCTGGAATATTGCTGAGTGCGGCGTTAAACAACAAACAAACAAGACTTCTCCAGACCTGACATGGAGGCTGACATTTCCATCTTGTGACTGCTAGAATGTCACTGCTATTGACAGATGTTGTGATGTTAATTAATGCGAATGTAACCCTGGAGTGGAGTTTGAGAAGAGGCCGAGCCTCGAGCAGAAACTGATGTTTGTGTTTCCCTCTGCTTAGATACGAGGTGCGGTTTCAAAATGGCATGGACTGTGGGGGAGCGTATGTCAAACTGCTGTCACAGCAACAAAACCTTGATTTGGTAAGTGATGTCCATATTCTTGACTCTGTTCCTATAGTAAATGTGGAATGAACTTTCCTTTGACATTATTTGTTCACACTCATTAAATTCATGTTGCTTTTGAATCTAGTTAACATAGTGCTTGTAAAATAAGCCTTGTTGTAGCAGAAGGCACAAAATAGTTAAAGCCAATGTGGACTGAAAACTTTAACGTTACGGAAGGATATTTCTTTCATTGCACCCGTGAAGACCCGGGGTAGAAAAGGTCTTCAGCAACCCATGCTTGCTGTAAAAGGTGACTATGCTTGTCGTAAGAGAGGCAACTAAAGTGATCGGGTGGTCAGACTCGCTGACTTGGTTGATGCCAGTCATCTTATCGTATCTCAATTGCGTAGATCAATGCTCATGATGTCAATCACTGGATTGTCAGGTCCAGACTTAATTATTTACAGACCGCTGTGACATAGCTGTAATATTGCTGAGTTTGGAGTAAAATAACAAAAAAAAAACCCTTCTTTCATCGAGTAAATATTGTAGTCAAATAAACTAGAAGAATTAAGTTGTGATAACTGTTACTATTTGTCCTGTTTTCAGAAAGCCTTCCATGACAAGACACCCTATACTATCATGTTTGGGCCAGACAAATGTGGCCTGGATCACAAGGTGTGTACCTCATTGTGTTGCTGCCTGTCCTCACATGTCGGGGAAGACAACAACCTTGGTCTTGTTTCACTCGACTATTTGCAAAAGGAGAAATAATACACATAATTTTGAATTGGTTTGTCGTGATACAGAGTAATGCATGTAAATGTTATGAATGCATAAGAACCAAACTTCCTTTACATTCTCTTCATGATTGAATAGGATTGTGGGGTAGCCTAGTGGTTAATGCGTTATCTCGTGACGCGGAAGACCCAGGGCTCGACTCCCCAGATGGGTACAATGTGTGAAGCCCATTTCTGGTGTCCCCCGCCGTGATATTGCTGGAATATTGCAAAAAGCGGCATAAAACCATACTCACTCATGACTGAATATGGTTACTCATCATTGCCTTGTTTTCATGTATGATGTTGTTCAGTTTATCACAAACTCACTGTCTTCTATGGACTGTACAAGGGACATATTCACCATACCACAAACTTGCTATCAATAAGTATCAAGTATTTCCTGTGATAAACATATGTTTTCACATAATATCAGTGTATACTCCGTGGGGATAGAATAGGTCCCCAGCAACCTATGCTGGTCATAAGAGGCAACTTAATGGATAGGGCTGTCAAACTCGTAGCTTGGTTTATGACATGTCATCGTACCCTAAAGATCGTTGCTCATATTGTCAACCACTAGATTTGTGGCCATATTAATATACCTTGTTGTTTTTTGTGTAGCTTCACTTCATCTTCCGACACAAGAACCCCAAGACTGGTGAAGTTGAGGTGAGATATAACCCTCTTTGATGACCCTTCAAAATGTAGGAATGTCAGATGTTGCCCCATTAATGGTGAAACCGTTACTTTTTCTTGGTAACCCGTGAAGATTCGGGGGAGAATAGGTCTTCAGCAACCCATGCTTGTCGTAAGAGGCGATCGGATGGTCAGACTTGCTGACTTGGTTGATGCATGTCATCGATCTGAATTGCTTGGATCGATGCTCATGATGTCAGTCACTGGATTGTCTGGTCCAGACTCAATTGTTTACAGACCGCTTTGATATAGCTGTAATATTGCTGGGTGCGGCGTTAAACAACAACCTCACTCACTTTTTCTTGGTTCCCCAGTGTTTTTATATAAAATATAAGCATTGCTTGTATGTTGGGGTATGTTGGGGACAGGGAAGGATTTGGTAAAAATAACACAAGTAGGATTTTTAAGCATTGAAGAAAAAATTTCATGTGATCCTGTTTTTGTTCCAGGAGAAGCATGCTAAGAAGCCGTCTGGCAATCTGGATAGTTACTTCACAGACAAGAAGACCCACTTGTTCACACTCGGTAAGTTACAGAAATCATTAGGAAACATCGTCCAGAGGCAAAGGAGTTAACTGACTATAAAAGTCCAGTTTACACCCTTGCCGAACTAGGCTGTTGGTATTATGGAGTTATATTTTAGCTGGACTAACGAGTATCTGCATAGTCCAATCAAAATGTGTGATGAAATCGACACCCAGTTCGTTAACTGTCGTGAGATTTCGGTCGATTGCAGGATTTGCAAAGCATGTTAACCGCCAAATTGGCATCCACAGACATTTTCATGATTTGATGTACTTCACGGTGTAAGACCTGTTTTATCACAATATAGGTTTTGATTATCGATTAGATCGTTTTGACAGAGTGCCGCCATTTTGTTTGAAGCAAATGCAAGTGATATGAGAGGTGTAATCTGATTGGTCAAATAGGAGGGACATAGAAGGGGCATGATTTGTAACACCCACTGGTGGTGGTGCAATTGAGCCCAGAAATTCCAGCCTAGTTGGACAAGGGTGGAAACTGGACTTTTGTAGTCAGTTAACTTCCTTGCCTCGGGAAAATAATTGACAAAATCCTTCTTTTCTTTAAATTTTATTTGACATGTTTTTGTTGTTTTTCTTTATAAAGTGTTTTGGTCAGCATGGTCAGTTTGCATTTTTTGTCCACAAAAAAGGAAATATGTGTTGGTTATGTCAATGGGAACAAGCCTATTCCATGAAACATCAAGATAAGTGATGTAAGTTGTTTGAATATCTCAAATCACTGAATAATTTAGACGTACATGCTTGGTCATATCACCAGCAAAGTAATATGTGACTATTGGGACTATGCCATTAGTTTCTTTATCTCAACGCTGAAACATTGATAACTCCAACGTTTCAGTTGTGAATCCTGACAACAGTTTTGAGTTCCTCATCGACAACACTGTGGTCAACCAAGGAAGCCTCTTAGAAGATGTCAGGTGAGTGAATCTTAAGCATCAATTCAGGATTCAGGGATGCCATTGGTCTCAAGTAGCTAATTTTTGTTCAGAGGTGAGAATCTTCCGCGAATTTCCGTGGATTTTTGTGACCAAAGATTTGTTAAAACCTGATGGCTTCCCCCATAAACACCCCCAAATTATGGACGACACTCCATTGCAAAGACGTTTCAGCTTAAAAGAAAAATATCTATTCTCATCCCTGCTTGTTAGACGAGATGGATTATTTCTTGTGAAAGAAAGAGCTCCAGGTAAGCTGCGTATTTGTGTAAAATCCACAAAATAAATCAACGTTAACCAGTTGATTTTGAATTGTATTCTTTTAAATATGCATCAAATATTTAAAGATCCAAAAAGCATGACAACACTCTGCGTAATTAACCAATGCACACTTTCCAACTGGCGTAGCTGTAATTCTTAGCAAATTTTTATTTACTGAACGAATGCAGGTGTCACACACATGAACTCTACTATAGTGAATAATGCATAAAAAGGCTCTGGGTTTCGTTTGTTGTCATTTAGACACGTACATGACTGTTGTGAGTTTATGCAACATTTTACACACTTGGGTCAAACAAACAGATACATGTTAGAAGTCACCTGAAACAGAACTTAGCTGAGTTATCTTGAAATGTCCTCTCCTAGGTGTAAATATTACCCATAGACTGAACCCAAGTGACTGGGAGTATAGTGAAGACCCAATGACCAATGTGAATGGTAACTTGTGAGTAAATACTTGGAGAGTATCTGGAGCCCTGTATTAAGCATCTTCCCGAGGCAAGAGTTAACTGACTATAAAAGTCCAGTTTCCACCCTTGCCGAAGTAGGCTGGTATTATGGAGTTACATTTTGTCTGTACTAACGAGTCAATGCATAGTCCAATCTAAAGGACGCATCAAAATCGAAAACCAGTTCGTAAACTGTCGTTCCGTCGAATGCATGATTTGCAAAGCATGTGCATCATCCAAATTGGCGTCCACAGATATATTCCAAACCTTTTCATGTTTTCTTTATCAAGGAGCTCACGTTATTTGATGCACTGCGCTATGTAAGACCCGTTTTATCACAATATAGATCTTGATTATCGATCAGATCGTCTTGAGAGGGCGACGCCATTTTGTTTGAAACAAGTGCAAGTGATACAAGAGGTGGAATCTGTTTGGTTCATAGGGACATAGAAGGGACATAACTAGTAATAGCCACTGGTGGCGCTTCAGTCGAGCCCAGGAATTCCAGCCTAGTTGGGCAAGGGTGGAAACTGGGCTTTTAAAATGAGTTAACTCTCTTGCCTCGGGAAGATGTGTATTAAGTGATCATGTGAACATTGACAGGTTATCATTGTCTCTATTGTGAAATGTTCAACCTGCATCCTCTTCCAGCCCTCCAGTGAACCCCCCTAAAGAAATTGAGGATCCCAATGACAAGAAGCCAGCTGACTGGGATGAGCGAGAGAAGTAAGTGGAATCTGTCAGGCTTGGAGTCACGTCACACCCTTGTGTGCAAGTGGGGGACACTGGGTCACGTCATCTCACACCCTTGTGTGCAAGTGGGGGACACTGGGTCACATCATCTCACATCCTTGTGTGCAAGTGGGGGACACTGGGTCACATCATCTCACACCCTTGTGTGCAAGTGGGGGACACTGGGTCACATCATCTCACACCCTTGTGTGCAAGTGGGGGACACTGGGTCACATCATCTCACACCCTTGTGTGCAAAGTGGGGGTCACTGGGTCACATCATCTCACACCCTTGTGTGTAAGTGGGGGTCACTGGGTCACATCATCTCACACCCTTGTGTGCAAGTGGGGGGCACTGGGTCACATCATCTCACACCCTTGTGTGCAAAGTGGGGGACACTGGGTCACATCATCTCACACCCTTGTGTGCAAGTGGGGGACACTGGGTCACATCATCTCACACCCTTCTGTGTCAAGTAAGGGGCACTTGGTCACATCTCACACCCTTCTGTGCAAAGTTAGGGGCACTGAGTCATGTATGTGGTTGTTATGCCCTAAAAGGGCAGGGGGTATATAGTTACACCAAGGAATTTCGTCCTTCAGAAGACATTTTCTTGTCTGACCTATAACTTGAAAACTGCGACATATATCCTTTTAAAACTTGGTGAACACTTTTGATACCTATAGGAGACTTGCAGTGAGAAGTTTGATTTCAATATTTAGATTTTCTGAAAAAAATACAGCTTTATTTTTCATTTGTGTACTTACAATTTTTTTACTTGCTTAAACATTTGCGTGACCTATAACTTGAAAACTACTGCATGGATTCTTTTCAAATTTAGGGAACAGTTTCCATACTAGCAGAAGAGGTGCAGTGCAAAGTTTAATTTTGATATGTTTATTTTCTGAAAATATAAATGATCTTTTTCATGTTTCATTAGTGAACTCGTACACTTGGCCTTGTTCAGTTGTAGTTGTGATGAGTTTGCCATAAGGAACATTATGTGGTTTCAATATTCCATCTAGTTTCTAGGATAACTACAGCTATTGAAGACCTTAAAACATTTTGTAATGTAATAAATGTCTGGTTTATTACATGCATTATTTCTTTGACATACTAACATGTTGTGATCTGTATTTTTCAGAATCCCTGACCCTGATGCATCCAAGCCAGATGATTGGTAGGTGACCTGAGTTTGTGCACCAGATTTAGAGGGGCAACCCTCCATTAGGTATACTTCACCTGTGAAAATATGTTCCACCTCCTCGCCTCCATGGTCTAGTCAGTGGTTCAATCCCTGACCGCCTCCGTGGTCTAGTCAGTGGTTCAATCCCTGACCGCCTCCATGGTCTAGTCAGTGGTTCAATCCCTGACCGCCTCTGTGGTCTAACAGATAGAGCCCCTGCCCAGGTAGTGAAAGGTCGGTGGTTCAATCCCTGACCGCCTCTGTGGTCTAACAGATAGAGCACCTGCCCAGGTAGTGAAAAGTCGGTGGTTCAATCCCTGACCATCTCCGTGGTCTAACAGATAGAGCCCCTGCCCAGGTAGTGAAAGGTCGGTGGTTCAATCCCTGACCGCCTCTGTGGTCTAACAGATAGAGCCCCTGCCCAGGTAGTGAAAGGTCGGTGGTTCAATCCCTGACCGCCTCTGTGGTCTAACAGATAGAGCCCCTGCCCAGGTAGTGAAAGGTCGGTGGTTCAATCCCTGACCGCCTCTGTGGTCTAACAGATAGAGCCCCTGCCCAGGTAGTGAAAGGTCGGTGGTTCAATCCCTGACCGCCTCTGTGGTCTAACAGATAGAGCCCCTGCCCAGGTAGTGAAAGGTCAGCGATTCAATCCATGACTGCCTCTGTGGTCTAAGATAGAGCCCCTGCCCAGGTACTGAAAGGTCGGTGGTTCAATCCCTGACCGCCTCTGTGGTCTAACAGATAGAGCCTCAGCCCAGGTAGTGAAATTCAATTCCTTATCACCTGCGTGGTCTTACAGATAGAGCCCCTGCCCAGGTAGTGAAAGGTCAGCGGTTCAAACCCTGATCACCTCCGTGGTCTAACGACTAGAGCCTCTGTTCAGATAGTGGAAGGTCAGTGGTTTGATCCCTGACCACATCATACCAATGTCAAGAGATGGTACTTGTTGTTACCCTGCCTGACAATCAGCAAGGGGATGAAACAAGGACTAGCAGTTAGTGTAGTGTGTCTGAGTGGGATAATTGTGGCTTGATATCTCAGTGTGCTAGCACAGATGTCCAGACCTGTACAAGCAGCCACACATCATGCACAGCGCTATGTAGGGGACTTTACACCCCATTTCACTTCATGTCAAAATAGGATAACAGAAATGATAAGGTTACCTGTGGATTGTTTTATTCAACATAATGTATATTGCCAGATGATGTGTGCTGTGAGAAATGTGTTATTTATGATTGTGTTTCCTGCTAGGGATGAGTCGGAGCCTGAAATGATCCCTGACCCTGATGGAGTGAAGCCTGATGGCTGGTTGGATGACGAACCCCTCTTGGTGCCCGACCCAGCAGCAGACAAACCCGAAGACTGGTGAGTAGGGGACACGGTTCTCTGTTGGCTCCAAAGCTCCAGATAAGCTGCGTATCTGCGTAAAATACGCATCCGAAATGCAGAAATATGCAGTAAAATTAAATCCAAGCGTATCAAATACGGAACGAACATTACAGATACGCTACAATAATAAAACTTGTACATATCATATCAATATCAAAATATTGTGAAGTAACCCTGCGTATTCGATTCGCAAATCAGCAACTTATTTTGAAATTTTAAACGGGCATTCCGTCAACCTTGCCAAACTCCACAATGACAGTTACATGATGATCATTTGCCATCACACTTTCTTGTGGAAGTATCGTGGTATTTTTGAGTCCTACAAAGCTCTCGAACCCACACGACACCAGTTTGCAGGGACTAGATGAATAGTGTTTTTAAATATTTAACTTAAATACCCACATGTGTAAAAACTAGTGGGTAACAGAAATTTGAATACCCAGATAGAATTACTGATACCCAATGATTTTAAAATGCATGGGTAAAATACCCACAACACCAAAAGCTTATCTGGAGCTCTGGGCTCTTATAGTGCTTTCTGCAGCCTAAAGGGGGCATGGGTGGCCCAGTCATCTAAGGTACCACACCTCGCTGTGCTGAGGTGCCTCCCTTGGGCAAGTGATGGTCCTACGATCGTGGGTTGGAATCCTGGCTAGCCATGATAATGTTTCTAGGTTAGTCAGAGTCACAAAGCAAACTTAGTACAACGACTGTCTTAACTCTCACTAAGCAATCTTAGTACAACGACTGTCGTAACTCTCACAAAGTAATCTTAGTACGACTGTCGTAACTCACAAAGCAATCTTAGCACAACGACTGTCGTAACTCTCACAAAGCAATCTTAAAACGACTGTCGTAACTCTCACAAAGCAATGTTAGCACAACGACTGTTGTAACTCTTCTAAAGTGATTGTAACACAACGACTGTCGTAACTCTTTTAAAGCAATCTTAGCACTATGACTGTCGTAAGTCCCATTGTCTCACATAGATGTATGATGGCCATTGCACTAAGCTCACTGTATGGAACTGTGTTGTTGACATCCATGAACTGATCATGTTAAAGTGGTATGAGAATCTTTCTGCATTGTGTTCCAGGGATGATGACATGGACGGCGAGTGGGAGGCACCTCTTGTAGGTGAGTGTCCATTAGACATCAAAATTCTCTGATGATTTCATGTTTGAAAGATATGTCCTGTAATAAACTCAGCCGAAGTTACAGAGCTATTTGTCACATGTGTTCTCTCCTTAAAATGTGTTAACATACAATATATTCGCCCCTTAAGCATTTTGTTTATTTAAGATGATGACTTTGTGCCAACAATCTTTGAGGCTACGACTCTGAACTTAACCCATAGCATAATTTACGCTGTTGTTATGTGGATGAAATATCAAGTTTACTTGACCAAACATAATTTTACTAGACTTGGGCTTCTGACAAAAGACTAAAGTTGAAGCCTATGGTGTATTGAAATCCTTGCAACACTCTGTACGTCTGTATATGTTTGTGCGGCCCAGTCGACTAAGGTGCCACAATTCACTGTGAAGAGTTGTGTCCCTTGGGCATGCAAGAAACCCCTGATCATGGGTTTGAATCCTGGTTCGCCCAAATTGTGAATGTAGGTTGGTCAGCAGCATACCCGTGTCCGTGGGTTTCACCAAAGTTGTAAACATCTAAGACCTGCATTACTTCGGGCCTTGCTCCCACAGTAAGCTGACACGCGGTGATATAACTGGAATACTGTTGAGAACTGTGTTAAACCCACCTCACTGTGTCTGTGTCCCAGATAACCCCAAGTGCAAGGAAGCAGCAGGGTGCGGAGACTGGCATCCTGAGAACATCAAGAACCCTAACCACAAAGGCAAATGGTCGGCGCCAATGATTGACAACCCCAGCTACAAGGTGAGGCAACAAGCAAGTTGAACTGCTTTATGCAGGTAGATGAGAACTGCTGTGATTATATTCTGACAGTGTTGTAACAGAAATCTATCAATTTTCGTGATTTCATCACATTTTGATTGTTCATTCTTCTGTCTTTACTTAATTTGAATAATATCTTTAGGACATTTTAGATTACAATCAGTCAATGTCCAAGAAAATGAACCCATCTGTCAATCACTGGATTGTCTAGTCCAGACTGGATTATTTACGGACCGCCATCATATAGCTGGAATATTGCTGAGTGTGGCGTTTAACAATAAACAGACAAGCAAACATGCTGTGACACGATACAGATGCTATTTACAGTGGCATTAGACCCATGAAGATCCGGGAAGAATAGATGTTCAGCAATCCATGCTTACCGTAAAAGACGACTATGCTTGTCGTAAGAGGTGACAAACAAGATCGGTGGTCAGGCTCTCTTGACTTGGTTGATACATGTCACTGTATCTCAATTCGTGGATCGATGCACATGATATTAATCACTTGATTGTCTGGTCCAGACTCGATTGTTTACAGACCACCATCATATAATGAGAATATTGTTGAGTGCGGCGTTAAACAACTAACTAAAGTGGCATTACCTCACTTGCTTGCTCAATCTTGTGATTACTACAGAAACAAGTTGTTCTTTCTTCAGGGCATCTGGAAACCTCAGGTCATTCCCAACCCAAACTACTTCGAAGACGTGCAGCCGTTTAAGATGACCCCAATTGTAAGTACCGAGCACCGCCTCGTAACAAGATAACATTTGTCAGCAGAGCAGAGCAGAGCACACAACTATTTGTGCCTAAACTAATGGGTTTTTTTCTGTATCGATTCAAGACGATACACTTGCTAGAATAAATTACTTGTGTCACCCGCTGTGATATTGCTGGAATATTGCTAAAAGCAGCGTAAAACCGTACTCACTCACTCACTTACTACTCGTTTAATGACCTCAGCATTTTGTCAGTCAAATATCGCAATATGTGTTGTAATTAGCGTTTCAAGTTCACAAGTAAAATATATTGGTAAGACGTTACCACACGATTTGACGTAAATATGTGTATCGCATTGTGACCTTTGTATCGTGACCTTGCTGTATCATTTAACCCTTCTTAAGGGTAGACAAGTCAAGACTCGTGAAGATCTGAGGTAGAATATGTCTTCAGCAACCCATGCTTGTCGTAAAAGACGACTATGCTTGTCGTAAGAGGCGACTAACAGGATTCGGTGGTCCTGCTCGTCGACTTTGTTGGTGCATGTCATCGTATCCAAATTGCATGGATTGATGCTCATGTCAATCACTGGATTGTCTGGTCAAGACTCGATTATATACAGACCGCTGTCATACAGCTGGAATATTGCTGAGTGCGGCGTTAAACAACATAGTTATACACACTCTCTCTCCCTCTCCCAAATAAAAGAAGTTATTTCAGCTAGACATACTAGATTTGTGGAGAAACAACCAGTCATGTACTAACTCACTGTGTCCATGAGGCGGTCAGGTAGCCTAGTAGTTAAAGCGTTCGCTCGTCACACCGAAGACCAGGGTTCTATTCCAGACATGGGTACAATGTGTGAAGCCGATTTCTGGTGTCCCCCTCTGTGATATTGCTGGAATATTGCATAAAGCGGCATAAAACCATACTCACTCACTCACTGTGTCCATGTCTGTCCCTGGAACTTGGGCTACAGTGACTGTACCTGCACTCAGACTGGAGGTGTGGTGTATTCATTTGTTAACAAGACAAGCATTTCAGCTCTCAAATTATTATGGTCCAGGTGACATCTTACATCAAATTGTTGTTATTTCTTGTATGATAATCTGTCAAGTCCACAAAATGTGTCAAAATTTCCACAAAATCCAGCTGTTTGTTTCAGAGTGCTGTTGGTCTGGAGTTGTGGTCTATGAGTGATGGAATGCTGTTTGTTGTTTCAGAGTGCTGAGGTCTGGAGTTGTGGTCTATGAGTGATGTAATCCTGTTTGTTTCAGAGTGCTGTTGGTCTGGAGTTGTGGTCTATGAGTGATGTAATCCTGTTTGTTTCAGAGTGCTGTTGGTCTGGAGTTGTGGTCTATGAGTGATGGAATGCTGTTTGTTTCAGAGTGCTGAGGTCTGGAGTTGTGGTCTATGAGTGATGTAATCCTGTTTGTTTCAGAGTGCTGTTGGTCTGGAGTTGTGGTCTATGAGTGATGTAATCCTGTTTGTTTCAGTGTGCTGTTGGTCTGGAGTTGTGGTCTATGAGTGATGTAATCCTGTTTGTTTCAGAGTGCTGTTGGTCTGGAGTTGTGGTCTATGAGTGATGTAATCCTGTTTGTTTCAGAGTGCTGTTGGTCTGGAGTTGTGGTCTATGAGTGATGGCATCGTGTTCGACAACTTCCTCATCACAGATGATCGACTTGTTGCAGAGCAGTATGCAGAACAAACATGGGTTTTGAAAAATATCGAAGAGAAGGCATCTTCCTCTTCCGGGGTAAGGATGCAGCTTCATTCCAACAGTTGGGCAAATCTGTCAGATATGTACATAAAATCTACAAAAATGTTAATCTGTTAAATTATTTCTTTCTTTGGTAAAAATACAAAATGGTTTTTTTCTTATGATAAGCCTTAAACTTGCCTAACTATTTTTTTTATGAGCATTCTATTTGTTCATTGTTTTAACAGGCAAAGAAAACATCCTTCCATTTGTCCAATATATTTTACAAAGTTTGGTCAAGACTGAAATTTTAGCTTTATAGGAGAATGTAAGGTTGACAGATTTTTCCAACTCTTCCTTTGACATATTATTTCTGATTCTATCTCTATAACTTTCACGTAGTCATTTGAAGAATATAACTTTCATGAAATTTTGATATGTAGCATCATAAGAAATAAAACAAAATGTAATTGTTTCTGGCGTGTAAGAGTAATTTCAAAATTATAACATGTCCCCCCAACTGGTGAAAACACACATGCTTCCTCTACTTTCAGCGTTCCGTAGTAGATGCAATAAAACAGGCGACTAATGAACGTCCCTGGCTATGGGCAGTGTTTATAGTGGTAGTTATCTTGCCCATAGTCCTTATTGTAGCCTATTGCTGTATATCGAAGGTAAGACACGTGTTGTCACTTCTAGACTGTCTGCATGGCTCAAGGCTTCTGTCACTCCAGCCCAGGTCACTGCTGCACAAAGGCTTGATGCTAGGGAGGGAACTGTAGACCTTCAACTCCGTGGAGCTGTGTTCAGCCTCAAGGCAGGCCTGAAATCAACAAGAGTAGATGAATAAAACAGTATATCTATTAATTGTAGGGCAGTGCTGTTGTTTCATGACATGCACATGCACTAAAGTACTAGAGTTATGACATTGTCACAATCACATCTAGATCACGTTGTGACACATGGCCATGAACTCTTGTTTTCATTTTGGAAATTTAAAGTTGAATTAGATTTGATTATCCTGTAGATCAGCTGTACATCAGCTGTTTGATGAGCCTCTAGTGCAGCACTGACCTTGGTACCATATGTGCATGCTTTATAATACCTCGTTGACAATCATGTCCACGTTACACAGGGATTTTGGACCACACTGAAGTCTGCGGCTGATGACCGCCCCTGGCTGTGGGCCGTGTACGTGGTGGTCCTCCTGATGCCTATCGTGCTGCTGTCTATATGCTTGTGCCCTAAGTCAGGGCCGGTCAAGGTAACAGGCTTCTCCTTGTCATCCATTAAACAGATCAGACAGAGAAGAGGACGTTGTTTCAGGGTCCCTTGTAATGTTTGTTAATTGACAGTCAGGTACGAACATTGTTCCAGGACGTAGGACCAAGGTATGTGGCAGCTTGGTTGTTAGTTCAGTCAATCCTGAATCCATGATGGGAATGTGTGGAAACTTTGTGGTTCCATCCTCGGGTATCATGCTTGGTCCATTTTAACTTCGTGGGGTGGTGGGCTAACCTAGTGGTTAAAGAGTTTCTTGTCATGCCGAAGACCCGGGTTCCATTCCCCACATGGGTACAATCTGTGAAGCCCATTTCTGGTGTCCCCCACTGTGATATTGCTGGAATATTGTGGAAAGGGGCGTAAAACCATACTCACTCTTGACTGAATATGGTTACTCATCATTGTCTTTTTTTCATGTATCATGTTTTCAAAGTATCAGTTTATCACAAACTCACTGTCTTCTACGGACTGTACAAGGGACATTCACCATACCACAAACTTGCTATCAATATGTATCAAGTATTTCCTGTGATGAACACATGTGATTTCCCATGATATCAATGTATACCCCGTGGGGATAGAATAGGTCTCCAGCAACTCAATCACACACCTAGTATTGGTAGCCTGCTTGGACATAGGGAGGAGACACATAAGGTACGTCCCAACTACCGTAAAGCCTTGTTAATTGGGACCTAAAGGATCCGGAAACCCCTCCTTCTAGAGCATTTGGTGGGGAACCTCTACATAAGCAGTATGTAAATCCAAACAGGGATCAATGTAACTGCTGGCCCGTTGACCCGTTGCCTGTTAATATTACAAAGGGCTCTCAGAAACGTCAATGGCCCAGTCGTCTAAGGCACCACAATTCGCTGTGCAGAGTTGCGTCCCTTGGGCACGCCAGAAACCTATGATTGTGGGTTCGAATCCCGGTTTGCCCCGATTATGTTTCTAGGTTTGTCAGCACAAAACCCGTGCTCGTGGGTTTCACCGAAGTGATCTGAGACCTGCATCACTTCGGGCTTTCCTCCCACTTTAAGCTGACACGCCGTGATATAACTGGAATAATGTTAAAAGCGGCGTTAAACCTAACTCACTCACTCAGAAACGTCAAGTACATGGCCTGTCTGGCTAGTCATTATTTCACCCCTTCTCCGTGTATGTTAAAATTGTTTCATTAGATCCTCTCGGGTAAAAAGAAAACCAGCTGCCATTTTGTAATGTTGTGTACAACATCTTCTTTATTTGCTCATAAATCACCACGAAAAAAGAGGCAAATGGAAGCCAAGATTTAATCTTAGAGTGCAGGAATAAACGTTTTGGGGTGAGAAGTTGTAAAGGTTCTAGGTGGCTAGGCGACCTTAGGTTCGGCCAATATGCGGCCTCCACCATTTAGTTTTTGGGCCGGTTGGTTTGGAGAAGGGCCAGTTACATTTAAAAAGAGCATGCCCTGCTCCCTACATACAACTTACTGTTAAATTTACCCCTGTCCAAATCAACATTCCTGTGTAGACATGATTCGTTAACAACAAATTTGATCCAGACGTTGTCACTGGTAAGGTACAGTCCAGTTCAACACAGTTTTGCTCCAATCAGACAATGTAGCTATATTTTTGGAAAAATCCACACATTTCTTAGACAGATTGTGTTGGCCCTGGAGTAATAGTTGCTGTGTAGATTGTGGCAGGTGTCCCCGCTGTCTGTAGTCTCATTTGGTAGGTATCTCGTGTAGTCTTCAACTATAATGTAACAGTCTTCAGGTAAGTGCAAGTCAGTCATTATGGTTTTAGTATTTTTCTCTATGTACTTCAGTTTCATCCTTAACTTCAGTTTTTAATTTGCTGCTTTACGGTAAACCTGAGTTACAAACTAAAATCAGCATGAAAACTTAAGGTTGAAAACGATTTTGGTCTTTTTTCAGGTTCACTGTATTGCAGCTTTAGATCACTTTATAGAATTGTTCATCACGACTTTGTCAGTTTTATTATGAACTTCATTCATGTGTGCTATTTTCAACATTTGAATCACCTTGTGCAGTAATAACTATATAAACCAGCTTTTTCTTGCTGAATGGTTGAGATATTGCAGCTGTGATGTTAAATTTTAACTCACTCGCTCTAACAATAATTTTCTTCTTTCATTATGGTTAACATGATAATCTATCCGGCAGTATGACATTACTTTGTAGTTTGTAACAGTTAAACACTCAACCAAGACAATGTGCTATTTCTAACTTGTAAACTTTGATGCCTCTATCACAAGACTCATCATTCCATTTTCTGTTTTACAACAATCAGTCATGTCAGTAAAGGTGTGAAGGTATTTTAACAGTAATTACATATGACACTTTATCTGCTATCCATGACAATTCATGTTGATGAATGTAATGTAAAAATATGCTTAGTTTTGTCAAGGAAATTGACTTTAAATATTCCCAGAGCTGTACAGACAATTATTGGGTGACTGTCGCCATGTATGCATGCTAGATGTTGGAAGTCACACTCTCCGTCTTTTCAGCCTGAAGATATCGATGCCCAGAGAAAGAAAACCGACGAGCCGTCACCTGATGATGAGGAGGAGAAAGAAGATACAACAGAGTCCTCTGGTGACAAGAAGTCAGTCGGCCCAGGGGGAGATAACAAAGGGAAAACATCAAAGTCAGATTTAAATGCAGCAGCAGTAAGTAGTTGTTTACATGGACATTCAGATTGAATCATGTTTCTTGCCATGAACAGTTCATTCTAGCCGTGCCATTGGTGCCTTCAATTTTCAAATGGTGCAAATTGAAATTACGGAGTAGTAATGAATGTTACATGGTTCAGATTCCAATTCATGCTCTCTCAAACACTGCATTACGTCAAGCATGGTTAGAGTGCTCGCTATGTGGTTTTGTATGGAGCCGACCCGTGAAGGTCCGGGTTAGAATAGGTCTTCAGCAACCCATCCTTGCCGTAAAAGGCAACTACGCTTGTCGTAAGAGGCGACTAACGGGATCGGGTTGGTTGATGCATGTCATCGGTCCCAATCGATGCTCATGTCAATCACTGGATTGTCTGGTCCAGATTTTGATTATTTACAGACTGCCGTCATATGGTTGGAATATTGCTGAGTGTGGCGTTAGACAACAAACAAACAAACAACACAAATGTATGGAGCCATATCACTGTTTTGTACTCTGCACACTGTATAATAAGCAATAATTATACACAATTATGATGGTCATTAAACGCTGTCAGGTTTCTGCACAGTTTATGGCCCATAAGATTTTCTGAATAGCCCTCATTTTCAGGGTTAAGTGGGCCATGGGCCCCACCTTTTTCACAGGCAGGAATGAATGGTCATTCAGCAGCAGTGTAGCTACAGTAACTGGCTCAGATAGAGATAATCTAGATGACAGATGGAGATGCCCTGACCAAGGTGCAGGAAGATATTGTACATATGTTATGGAGGAACATTTCCTTTTTTGCATTTCCTCAAAATATTTCCTTGTGTATTTTTGGAAGAAAGATGAGTATAGGGAAGACGAAAGTGACTTCATGGCCATTGATGGAGTGGTACTCCACAGAAGGGAGATAGGCTTGTCATGTTTTGCCTCATGTCCCCGGCCATTGATTGGTCTGAAATGACCCGAGGCCTTCACAGGCCAATATAATGGTGTGGAAACTGTGCTGACTTTGCAAAACAACATTCTTTCCTGAACTCACTCATGATGTATATGATGGCTGTTTTGTAGGATGAAGAAGATGATGGTGATGATGATGATGATGAAGATGCAGATGAAGAAGGAGAAAGTGATGAAGTGAAAGAAGAAAACAAATCTAGCTCACCTAAGTAAGACCCTTAATTATGTGCCATTATTTATTGGAGGCGTTATGTAAGGAGAACAGCTGTAGAGGATTGCTGAATGACTTACTGTAGATTGCATCTGTTCAACACTTCAGCACAATATGTTGGTCATATGATCAAAGGAGGTGTGCCTTTCTTCATCACTGGACGGGGAGGTAGCCTAGTGTTTGTAGCACATGCTCATCATGTCTAAGGCCAAGGTTCAAATCCCACCTGGGTACAGTGTGTTGAGCCCATTTCTGGAGTTGCTGCCGCGGCAGTGCTGGATTATTGCTAAAAGTGGCTCGCTCACTCACTCACTCACTCACTCACTCACTCACTCACTCACTCACTCACTCACTCACTCACTCACTCACTCACTCACTCACTCACTCACTCACTCACTCACTCACCTGTGAAGATCCGGGTTAGAATAGGCCTTCAGCAACCCTTGCTTGTAGTAACAGGAGACTATGCTTGTCGTAAGAGGCGACTATGCTTGTCGTAAGATGCGACTAACTGGATCGGTGGTCAGGCTCGCTGACTTGGTTCATGCATGTCGTTGTATCCCAATTGCATGGATCAATGTCAGTCTCTGGATTGTCTACAGTCTGCTGTCATGTAGCTGGAATATTGCGTAGTGTTGCGTTAAACTCACTCACTCCAAAAATGATAGTTGATCGTCTTTTGTAACAGTTTTGTGATTTGCTGATCTTGTCTTTTTTCAGGAAATCCCCAAGGAGGAGAAAGGCCCGCAAAGAATAAATCCAAGTCATGTAACTATTTTATGCATTTTACTGTGTACAAGGACTGAGTGATGCCAAAAGCTTGAATGTGACGATGCCTGGGATCTCTTTGTTCACAAGTCGAACTGGTGGAGGCACTGATGGGAACATCTGGCCTTGACCTTTGTCCTGACCTTCCTGTGGGTCATGTTAGGAAGATTACTCCAGTATGGACAGACTGGAGATGAAATGCCACTTCGAACACCACCTACAGTAACATGTATTAATCCTATTTGTCAATTCTTGGAATATTATGTTACCCGTCAGAAAGTTTAAGATAATTTAAATATTTTTTAGTCTTATTCAATTTTTATTAACCAAGAAGAATGAAGAATTCCTGAACTGTCAGTGCATCTAACAGGTTCAGAGTTGTCATGTTGTCTCCTTGGCTGAGGTATCGGGAACAAGTGTCAAGTGAGAGCTGTGCATCTGTTTCGCATCTGCTGCAATCTGGCTGCTTACAGCTGAACACGTCAGCAATCCAAAGCTGCTTGTTATTTACAGTGTTACTGTGTGAAGCATGGGACAGTAACAAAGTATGATAGTTCCAACTTTTATCCCCTGTGACATAGTATAGCTCTGTTTATGTCACTTACATTTAATTCAGTTCGTGTTTGGTTTGGATTAAATAAATACATGCTGTGAGGTTCTAATAGAAGATTACTATTTGATACATTTTTTAAAATCAAACTAAAAATACAGGGTAATATTTGTATTTTCAAGTCAATAAAACTTAAGTATTGACACCAAAGATAGGGATGTTAGCTATTGTATCTGAATCACAAGTTTATGAAATTCCTTCAAAGACCTTCTAAGACACCAGTTGTGTGAATATTGGGGAGTCCTTGTGGGCATTCTGTGACCTGAACTTAGTTTGTCCCCCCAGGAGATGGATGTCCTCGTGTCAGAGAATCCATCACCATGGGCCCTCAAGAGTTGAGCTATTTCAGTGGCATTTAGAAGCTGTAGTATCAAGGACAGGATTTACCTTTGGATCGTAACTTCTTGTTTCTTTCAATACAAGGTTGAGTACGAACACTGTACTTCTATCAAGCAAGTGTAATACTTGCTGAGAGGAGGTGCTAGGATCTGTACTGACACACTGCATAGGAGGGAAAACAAGTTGGAATCCAAAAGGTGATCCTGGTTGGGGCCATGAATCGTCTATTGTGTCCCGTTTCATTGCTACTCTGTTTATTTGTTGCCCTTCTGTAAGTGGAGTTTGGACAATATCCTGTATATATATTAACCCAGTGTGATATTGGTGTGGACAAGATAATATAGGGGGAGATTTGTAATATGACTGCATGTGTGTTAAGATGGACTCACTGTGGACATCCCTCAAGGTCGTATTGAAGTTCAGACAACATGTTTAACAATGCATTAAACTTAAGTAAAAACTCAAGTAAGAGCTGCCATAACGGGCTTAATCTAGGTGCATTGCCTGATATTTACGCCATGATAGTATCTCCATACTTTTACACTGACTAATGACGGTCTTTCAGTGATAGAAACTAACAGTTTTAGTCCACTGGTCCTTATAACATATAGCAGAACCCTTAAAATGGCAAATTTCTACGAGTCCTTATGATGTCTTAACTAATGGGCAGTTTGGCAGGGACTATAGGACTAGTGCCAATTTCTATCGCTGTCTTTGCACTAAGATTCCTTTAGAACAGGACTCTGGTAACTTGCCTCATAAAACTGAAATTTTCAATCTAGCAATAATTTGTTACCCAACATTGAAAGATTCCTTCAAGACACCAATGACAGTGTGTAGATCTTGAAACGGGTAGTGCCTAGCTGAACATATAAATGTTGTCATATTGTCACAGAGATTATGCCATCCAAGAAAACTGGCTCCTCATAAGATGATGTTTCAACTTGTTGCTTCTAGAAGCGATGTCTGATGACATGCACCAGGTAGTAGTTCAATTGTAGATAGATCATACTAAAGTCATTCCTTGCACACACATGTGTACTGATAATACTGCAGTATTATGACTGTATTGCGGGCTTGCCTGCCACCAAATTCGACATCATTGTACACAAGCCTTCATGTTCTATTCTACCTGAGTTACCTGTAAATGCCCTCGTTAACCACAAAGCTTGGATTCCACAGGTGTGTCATCCGGTGGTCATGTGATGAATCCAGTAGGGGTGAAACGATACATCGGTGCATCGTGAATTTTCATGTGACGATACTTTACACAATACGTTGGTTTTTTTCTGTATCGATACAAGATGAAAACACTTGCTGAAATAAATGACTCACTATTTGTACCCCTGGCGTTTTTGTCAGTCATATATGGCAGGATGTGTTGTAATAAGCGTTTAAGTTCACTACTGAAAAAAAGCCGCTACGAACATGTCTACTGCTCGGTTTTCCTTTTGAAACTGCTCTGAATTATTTATTGTGAAGAAGTTTCCTTGCGATTTGACGTAAATATGCGTATAGCATCGCATCGTGAACTTATGTATCGTGTTACGGATCGTATCGTGACCTGGCTGTATCGTGACCTGGCTGTATCGTGACCTGGCTGTATCGTTTCACCCCTAGAATCCAGTCGTGAGGAACAATCACTACCTGTCAATGACTTGGAGGTGAAACATTATTCAGTGGTAATTGTAGCAGACACTGTGTTTTGTACATTAATAACTGTGTGGTGAAGATGATGGTGTGTTTGTGTGAATGTGTATTGATGTTAAGATCCGAGCAAGTCCTACCATGTGTTAGAGATTGTTTCATTCTTTGTTATAAGGACATCAGTATACCCAAGGTAATACTGACAGGTTTGCAGAAAATCTGCGTAAACATCAAATCTGTTTTTTTGCCAGTGTTTGTTTTCCATTTTGATATGATGTTTGTCATTGTTTTATTGTCAATAGCTTACATGCTGTCTATATATATTTTGTATTCAAACGTCATGATAGTTTGGTCATTGTGAAAGAATACATGATCTGATGTTTGTAGCATCTATAAAAAATTATTAACATTTCTTAAGGCCAGACACTGCACCTTACAATTGACAAAATGCTTCACAAGTATTTGTTAGTTTTAATTGGTTACAACTTTGAGGTATACATATTAACAATTGAAATGGAGTCTTTTCCAGGTGATGTTGCCACCGGTTGCCATGGAAACATCCAAGATGGCCGCCGCAAGCCTGAAAAAGATGGAAATTAGTTTCAGTTTTTCTCTAAGACCAATAAAGATATTTATATAATTTCAATTGTATAACAAAGCTTGTATGGTGTTGCATACAATGACAGAAAGAAAAATTAAAAAAAGACTGGTATATATTTTTAAAATAATTTTTCAAAATTTCACATTTTTTAGGTTGATTTTTACCCATAATTTATTTTTTAAAATCAAAATGGCCAACAAATTGTAAAAAGTCTCTCTGTTATTGTGTAAAGTAATCCTCTGCCTATATGTACACCAAATTTCATTCAAATCGGGCCAATAATGGTTGAGATCTATGTTCACTAAGATCCAAAATGACGTTAATGGAGAAAATGAGGAAATAAGTTTGTATATGGTTTTCTTCCTTCAGCACCTATTAAACACTTACAAAATCTTAGTTTACTGATGGGATGTATTCAAGATACATAAAACAATGCATGTACAAAGAAATAACAGGACTTAAAACTCCCCAGCACCATACAACAAGCCTTCAGCTGCCTCAACATGAACTCGGTCCCTTTTTTTAGCCTCCCACTTTGCACTACGTTCTATCTTAGATGTCTCCTGGCTTTACTTCCTTGCTTTGAGGGTTCTCACATTATCAAGTCTTTCAATAGAAGCTGCTGTTATTTCATTAGCTTCTATTGCAAGCTTGTTAATTACCTGAGTAATGTGACATGTACCCTCATTGAACGAAGCAATTGCAGATGCCACTGCCCGATGCAACCGCCTTGCACCCACAAAAACGGTCTTCGGACAACGGGACTAGATCACGGAATGCAAGCATTCATTAGCATTCTGTGTCTTGCCTTTCACCATCCTCTTAAGGAGGTTTTCATCAGACATTCTTTGATACACAGGTACCATCTTTTCTGCAATTTCTGCATCGAGACAATGTCTGATGTTGACAAAACTTCCTTAGTATTTTCAACAACAACCTGTGAAAGAATGTTTTGTTTTTGTTGAAATGTCTTAGGATGGAGACCTTCCATTCCAAAAACCAGACAAAACCTTTTCATTGCAGCATGACTGAGTCCTACCTCTGACAGAGCATAAAAATGTCATTGACCTGAAAGGGATTGGTACCAGATTGATTACCTTACCTTTGTGAAGTGTAATTTTTGGCAACACACATCTGACAGTTTTGACATGTCAACATAACGTTTACAGCAAATCCAAATCTATCAAAATTCTCACTCATTTCAAACAACAAAGAACCCTGTTCGTGACATGATAGGCATTCAATCTCTTGAAAAAATAAATTCATTTGTCTCATGTCAATTAACATCCATTGAGGTTTTGGTTCATCATTGTCAAGCACGGGAGATTTGATATTTTCAGCAGCTTTAAATTTTGATAGTTTTATGTCGCTGCGTGAAGTTGCATTCAATAAAAAAAGAATTCTCACCTTCATTGTCTCCAACGGGGATGTTTTCCCCAACGGCGTGGTCCCCGGATGATTCCGATGCATCTAAAACGTCCAAGCTGTCAGAATCTGACACAGGGATGATCGCGCTGTCAACACGGGTCGTAACTCTAACACCGCATTTCGAACGTGCCTGCTTCAACTGACTTGTCCTTCGCCTCCTATTCTAACCAAAGGCGTGTTCTGACCCGTGTTTTGATCTCATTTTAAAAAAATACAACAATTTTCAGTTAAGAAAATATCAAAAACGATGTTTGCCTGTCAATCTTTTCGCAAAGCAGCCGCCATTTTGTATACCTACCGGAAAAGACCGGTGTTTTGTTGCTAAGCCGAATGGTGCATTGTGGGATACGTTTTACTTTATTTGGATCGAACGAATATTCCCGAATGTTGCATTACGGGATATTTCTCCTTAAATGGTAATTTACGTACGAATGACTCGCGGGAAAAACCGACGATAGCCTCACGTGGAATATCTATTTTTAGAATGTTTTTGCACAGAAAGATGGCGGAAACGATCAGCTTTCTATCGATGTATAACATGATGGGGTTCGTTACAGCTGCGGGGGCGTTGTCATGGGTGAAAGTTCAGGTTTTTCCACATTGATTACGATCATATTTAAAAACAATACCACACATTATGATTTTAATAACGTTTTTTATTCAGTAAATGTACACAATATCGTAAAAAACATGTTGCATCACAAAGTACATGTATTATATATGCGAAAAAAATCAAAATCTCGATTTTGACATATTGAAGCAATTATGTTAATTTAAGGTGCCGTGTCTGGCCTTAATTTGTTGAAAATTGAAAACATTTATAACTTCCTGGTATACGAGCTCTGTTCCTAGTTTGTGCCTGCACAGGACTGACCTTGTACTGGTACAATAACTCGACTACCAGCTACATGGGTACGTACAAGTTGCGTATATTTTGCATGGTTTTCATAAATCTTTTTAATGCTTGACTTTTCTCTTCACAATATTTGATATGTTCTATCTGTTAAACAGTGTTTCACAGTTGCTAAACAGTTTCTTTTGCAGTCAATTTCTATCTATTTTGACAAAGGTTTTTTCCCCTGCTCTTTAGAACTTTATGCCTTCATGACCTTTTTTTTTCATAAATCTAAAATAATAATGAGAACCGAATATGGCTGTGCATTGATTAGAGGTTAAGATAGGTTTGTGAGATGCGCGGTATTACCACAACCTTATGAGCATGGTTAGCATACAGAACTATCTGATAGTTTCATCTTTCATTACTGGTCAGGCCGCGTGATCATACACAGACTACAACTTGAAATACAGTTTGGAATCGCTCATCGTTGATCTCGTGTCTTTCTGAATGGATGCTCGTCTGCCTGACCAGCCGGATTTATGTTACCGCTTTCAGTAAATTCTTTTCTTTTCATTTAGTTCTTTCAACACTTGCAGCACCTTTTCAGAGGAATTCCACTAAGGTTATATCAATCAGAGTAATACTTTATTGGATTTTATTTTGAAAGTATGTAATCAGAAATTATTGGTAGAAGTTAGTTGATGTTTTATGTGAATACTATTGGACATTTTAGTTGGCTCTGATTTCAGTGGTATATCCAGATCTTCCGTACGTATGATTTCTTGTACAGACTGTGCACAGAGGGCGTGATGCGGAGGAGAATCTACCCCAATAAGATGAAATAACCTTTGAACACTTGATACTTGTCACTCTACAATAAAACATATTGCATCTCAAGGATTTTAGGTCAAATTCTTTGGTTAGAGCAAAAATACCTCTTAATATTTGTGATTTTCACAGGTTTCTTTATACCTAAAATATGCAATCATGAATTTCCACCCAATCAGTTGTGTGGTACATGTTCCTCATTCTGAATTGCTCGCCAGGTTGTGCTCTCATTAAGGACTTGAAGCTGATACTACCTGCGTTCCTGGAAGTTATGTTTTGTGTGTGTGATAACGATGTTAAGAAAGCAATTTTATTCTATTTGGAAGTTGCCTGTTGTCATGTTGTACTATTTAATTACTCATAATCATGTGAGAATAAAAAATGTTTACTTTTCATGAGTCTGTCTGTTGTCTCTATGGGAGGCTTGGGTAGCTGTGCAGAATTGTCTCCCTTAGGCCCATCAGGACTTGCTGATTGTAGTGTCAACACTGTTATGATCAACACAATACCTGTGCTGTTTTGTTTCACTGAACTGATGAATGTCTACTACAAGTGTCACTTTGGGCTTTCCACCCACATGCTGTGATATGTTTCCGTGGTATGTCGGGTAGGATACACTTCTACCTCAGAAACTGATTCTTACAACTCCTTGGTTCCGAGAATGATGTTGTCTGTAGCTCACACAAAGTATAAGTCAGATTTGTTGCTATTGGAGACAGAATTCTTGAATATTATACACAATAGTTCCTTGGATGTGTTTCTGTTGCCTGATGTATTTATACGCAACATACCTAGGGGATGCATAGAAGAGTCTGATAGTATGTCTTATCAACTCTGATCTGGACTTCTCTGTTACAGAGAGAACCTCTCGTCAGCGGTGAGGTTCCGAAATCCCCACGCCACTCCTGGACAACTAATAAAATACTATCCATGATAATTTCAGCTCCTCCCAACAGAAAAAAAATGTTTATCGTCATGCGAAATGAGTCCTAACACATCTCCATTCCCTCAAGTGGTCCATTTAGTTTGTGCTATCAAACTCTTTTGATTAAAATAACTCTGTTAACTGCCTAAGTTTATTGGTCAAAATGGACTATAGTCAAGCAGTACATTTCTGCAGTCAAGCTGACATCTTTTATTTGCTCTCTGGCACTTGGGCCTAATCCTGCTACTTTTCTCCTAACACATGAATAAGTATTTCTACCCTAAAAAGAAACAGAAGCAATCAATCTTCAATCTCACAGGTTGATGGTTCTTCCTAGTACAATCATCCTACTTGTCTCCATTTACCTATTTGCCCTAGATCATGGTAGAATTTCATAACCATATCAAGTTTACACAAAAGCCTTTCTCCAAAACAGCCTGGTTATGTAAAACTGAAAGTCATGGCAAGAGCTGCAATAATCCCAACTTGCTCACTGTGGATAGATCATCTGCCCAGAAAGCGAAATATCAGTGGTTCGATCCCCGGCTGTGTCATACAAAGATGGTATTCATTTCCCTGCCTGGCTTTAAGGGGATACAATAAGGACTGGTCAGTATACTTTGGCATGGTACCTCACTAACACAACATTAAGCCCCATTTCACCTCTCCCTTTTGTCTCTGTTGGCGCTTAAGGGCCAGTGTTAGGGCTGTGGTTAAAGTTGGTTTGTTTGTTGTTTAACGCCGCACTCAGCAATTTTCCAGCTATATGACGGCGGTCTGTAAATAATCGAGTCTGGACCAGACAATCCAGTGATTAATATAATGAGCATCAATCCACCCAATTGGGATCGATGACATGCATCAACCAAGTCAGTTAGTCAGACCACCCGATCATGTTAGTCGCCTTTTACGGCAAGCACGGGTTGCTGAAGACCTATTCTACCCCGGAATCTTCACAGGGCTGTGGTTAAAGCATCTGGACATCAGGGTTTCATTCTCCACATGAGTACACGTAAACTATGCTTGTCGTAAGAGACGACTAACGGGATTGGGTGGTCAGGCTCGCTTACTTGGTTGATGCATGTCATCGTATCCAAAGTGTGTGGATTGATGCTCATGTCAATCACTGGATTGTCTGGTCCAGACTTGATTATTTACAGACTGCCGTCATATAGCTGGAATATTGCCGAGTGTGGCGTTAAACAACAAACAAAACAAAACAAAAACAATGAATGAACACCATACGTGATGTGCCTGCCATTATACTTGTCTTCACTGTTTTAAAAATAATCATGAAGACAATTCTTAAATTGTTGCTACAATCAGCAATATTGCAGCCAAATGGTTGTTGCCTGTAAATAGTTGAGGATGGAGCAGATCCAGTGATTGACCTAAAGAGCAACGAACCACGTCCATCCGATCCATGAAGTCCACATTGGGGACAAAATCCCCAAGGGGAAACTGGTATAATTATGGAAGACCACAAGGATTAATGGTCATAATGGCAATGCTGCCACAGATTTCAGAAAATGTGAACTCATATGAGAACATGTTCGCTCCTTTTGCCATCCCACTTCTATTCTGTGATGTGCTGGGGGCACGGGTGGCCCAGTCGTCTAAGGCGCCATGATTTGCTGCGCAGTGTTGCGTCACTGGGCATGCCAGAAACCTATGATTGTGGGTTCGAATCCTGGTTAGCCCGGATTATGTTCTAGGTTTGTCAGCACCATACCTCAATCTCATTAAAATAAGATCTTAGTTGTCGCTATCGCTAAACAAAGATCTGAGGACATCCCATTACAGATCACTTCAGAACGACCTTTCATCTGACCAATCAAATTGTTGCTTACCAGATCATGAAAGTGACAGTTGGAATGTGTTTTCTAGGCATGCAATCTCGAAAACGTCAACACAGTGTATTCCGAACGACAGTTACGGCCCGTGCGACTGATTCTTTCAAAGTTATAGTCTATCTCTCACTTCCGTGGGATAAACATTTGAGGCGTTGCACAGTATGTGGGGAGCACTGCCATACAATCTCAACCATGTATTAGACATTCCGGATTGTTCGTTCTCAACCATATATTAGACATTCCGGAATGTTCATTTGTTCAGTTTTCAAAATTTTAATCGAGAACTGTGTCAACATACTTTTCAAGCGTAGTCTGAAATGGAAGTCGCCAGGTTGAAACGAGTGCCGTAAAGCTAGAGAAAGCTGCTTTCTAATTGGCTTATGTCGACTTCTTGTTAGTCATTTCAGTGGTCGGTCAAAGTTCGCAAATGGTTGTTCTGACGTGTCCTCAGATGTTGGTTTGTGCTTGTTGGTTTCACCAAAGTGGTAAACGTAGGAGACCTGCATCACTTCAGGCTTTCCCCCAACATTAAGCTGACATGCCGTGATATAACTGTAATACTGTTAAAAGCGGTTTTAAACCCAACTCACTCACTCTGTGATATGCCAATCACTCTGAGAGGTGCGGGAATGGACACAAGGAGTGAGTGAGGATGGTTTTATCAATATTCCACCAATATCCCGGCTGGGGGCCAACA